TATATATATATATATATATATATATATATATATATATATGTCACAGATATATATCTATATATCTATATCTATATTTAATTTCTTTCAAATGACTTTAGTTTGTGTCAAGTTGACATAAAAGTATCCAGCACAAAGTTAAGTTTAAAGGTGATTTGCAAACAAATTCTCCTAAGATGTGGAGCCAAATTCTGAGTCCAGGCACAGGTCTTTTAACTATTTGATAAATCAGCTTCTTGATGCTGGAGTGATGAGAGCTGCATTTTAAAATAAAGGGTGAGTGGTATGCTTATGTGTCCACAGCATGTCTGTCTGTCAGTCTATCTATCTATCTATCTATCTATCTATCTATCTATCTATCTATCTATCATATTTTTAACTTAGTTTACATCCCAATCATGTCTTCCCCTCCTCTCCTCCTAGTTCCTCCCTCTCATCTCCCCTTTAGCAGTGAATTGTTAATCCACTTGGAGCTCCTAGCTCTAAGAGGTGATTGAGCTCTAAGGTGATTGAGCTTCTAGCCATCCCCCAGAGCTCTCTGGATTCCCAAATGAAAGACAGAGACACATATATCAGCTCAATTTTTAATATGCCTAAGTAGCTCAATGACTGGTCACTTCTAAACCTTCCCACGGCAAGCACATACCTCCAGTATTCCTGAGTTAACATTTTCTAAATCTATTTTTTATCTTTGGTTCCCCAGACCCAAGTAGGGGAGTGGCCCCTGGGGCTACTTCCCCAGATTCTTACAAGTTGGCAAGCCTTTAATTCTGATCTCTCTCCTTCCCCGTCACAGCATGGTCTGTCCTACGACCCTCTCATGGCAGAATTCCTTCTCCCCTTTGTCCTTGTCCAGGAAATTTAAAAGTCCCACCTCTGTCTCCCTGCCCAGCCATTGGCTGTTGGCAATTTTATTTCCCAATCAGAGTCAACTGGCTGCAGGCTTCCTTTAGCCTATGTGTGGGACACTGCAAACAGATTTTTTTTGGGTAAAACAATTAGCATGAAAACACAAGCCGATATACTCCCCTCCCCATTTCCTCCCTTCCTCCTCAGAAAAGGGGAGGCCTTCTGTGGAGAGCAACCCATCTTGGTCTATCACGTTGCAGTAGAGATAGGTACATCTTATCCTATTATGGCTAGGCAAGGCAGCCCAGTTGAGAGAGAAGGACCCAAAGGCAGGCAGCAGAGTTGGAGACAGCCCCTGCTCCTGCTGTTGGGCAGCTTAGTCTTCATATGGGACTCCTAACTATTACACATGTGCAGAGGGCCTAGGTTGGTTCTATGCATGTTCTCCATTTGGTGGTTTAGTCTTTGCAGACCCTATGGGCCCAGGTTACTTGATTCTGTAGGTATTCTATAGTGACCTTGACCTCTCTGACCCCTTTAATTCTTCCTCCACATCTTCCACAGGATTCCCCAAGCTCTGCCTAATGTTTGGTTTTGAGTCCTGCATCTGTTTCCATCAGTTGCTGGGTGAAGCCTCTCCAATAAATTATGCTAGGAACCTGTCTGCAAATATAGCAGAATATCATTAATACTGTCGGGAGTGGGTTCTCTCTCATGACACTGGTCTCAAGCTGGGCCAGTCGTTGGTTGGGCATTCCCTCAATTGCTGCTCCATGTTTTTTACTCCTGCATATCTTGTAGGAAGGACAAATTGTGGGTCTAAGGTTTTGTGACTGAGATGGTGTCCCACTGCCTCCATTGGACGTCTTGCCTGGTTACAATAGATGGCTGTTTCATGTTCCATATCCCCATTTCTAGGAGTTTTAGCTGTAGTCATCCTCATAGGTTCTTGGTTTCCATTGTTCTAGGTTTCTAGCTGGTCCCAGAGATGCTCCCTTACTGATTTCAGTTCTCTCTTCCCATACTCTCTCCTTTCAACCTCTCCCCGGTTGATATCTCCTGCTCCCCTCTCCATCCCTTCCCCTCCCCTCTTCCCTCCCTCCTGTCCCAGATGTCTATTCTATTTCCTCTTATCAAGTGACCCCCCCCATTGGGCCCTCTTTGTTATTTAACATTTTGGGGTCTGTAGCATGGTTATCCTGTACTTTATAGCTAATAGCCATTTAGAAGGGACTACATACCATGTTTATCTCACTGACATACCATTACTCTTTATTCACTTCTGTTCCCCATGACTATGAAAGCTGGCCTATTGTCAATTTCATTTTCTATTTATTAATCCATGTGCAGATCTCCTTTGGATCCTATCGTTAGAAGCAATATTTGTTTGTTTTGTAAGTGTGATAGTTATTAATGATGACTCAGCACTTAAGGTACAGCCTCTGCAAGTTGCAAAACTCTCTCTCTCTCAAAAAGGCTTATTTTTAAATTGCACATGTGTGTGCACGCGCGCATGCACAAGTGAATGCAGATTCCTACATAGGTAGAAGCGAGCATTGGATCCCCTAAAGCTGGAGTTACAGGAGATTGTGACTGCTCAATGTAGGTGTGGGAATCCTCAGCTTTTTGCAAGAACAATACATGCTCTTACCTGCTCAGCTGTCTTCTCCAGCCCTGGGTATGCCCATTCTTACACAAGTAACTAAGCTTCTGTTCAGTGTAGGATACTTTCATTTGGGCTCTGATCAGCACACTGTTCCCAAATCCTACATCTTACCGTAGTCACTGAGTTTTCTTATAAATGATATTTGTTTTCTCTGCAAAGTCTCTCCCTCTTTGTATGTATTATGCTGCCACCTACTGCTCTCTGGGACAGTAAAGGCTGTATTAATTCCTAAAGAACAGCATACTCTGGGCCCTGAGCACATTGTTTTATTTGTTTGGCTTCAATTTTCCATCCTATAAAATGTCTCTGGTCATTGCATAAACATTTACTGTTCATGTGCAGAGTGAATTGTGATGACCTTCAGGGGCAAAGAAGACAGAATAGGGGGAGCTTGGAAATCACACAGCACAAGAGCTGTTGACGATCACCAGATGGAGCCACTCCTGCCTAAGTCACTTAGAAAGGGTCATGGCAGGTGTGCATTGGCCACATGGAGACAAGAAGCCTACATAATGGGCACTTGTAAGCTGAGAGAGGCTGGGAAGGGGACTTTAGTTCTATGTGGATGATGAATGAGGTCTGGGAGCGACAGAGCTGGGAATGGGTGACTGGGACTAGCTAAGGACATTATCCTGTGTCACACCGGGGTCACTTAATATTTTAAAGACTGGTGCTGAAGAGATGGCTCAGTGGTTAAGAGCACTGAATACTCTTACAGAAGTCCTGGGTTCAATTCCCAGCAACCACATGGTGACTCACAACCATCTGCAGTGGGGTCTGATGTCCTCTTCTGGTGTGTCTGAAGAGAGCAATCATGTACTCATATACATAAAATAAATAAATACATCTTTAAAAAATATTTTAAAGACAACGTCCACCAGGATTCGATGTATTATTGAAGAATAGTGGGTAGCAGGTTGAGGTGAGAGACTTACTAGAGGCCTCTCTAGTCCAGCAGAGCAGCATCAGTCATCTGTAGCAGTGTTGTCAGAGGGTGTGAAGTTCCCGAAGAACCAAAGACAAAATAGAATGCAGTTGTGAGTTTAACCCATAGATCTTAGGGGGTTCTTTGGCTAGCCTCAAAGGTTTTATTATGGATCTTTAGACAGCTGCCAATCAGCTAGGATACTTGTTTCTTGGAGATTCCTGCCTCCATGGGACAACTGAGTTTTGAATCTTTTTCTGCAAGCTAGGTAGGCCCAGCTGCTTCCCATAACAGTGGCCACCCTAAAGACAAGGAAGAAGAGAAAAAAGTTGAAGAGACTATGCAATTGACCATGAGACTGGCACCAGAATAGGTTTTACCACTTAATGAAGAATTTAAAGTCATAGTGACATTATAAAAACTTAAACAGGGGTGATTCAGTTCTTCTTAGAAGGAGCAACAAAATACTCAAGGGAGCAAACATGGAGACAAAGTGAGGGACAGAAACTGAAGGAGGGGCCATTTGAAGACCTTTCCACCTGAGTATCCACCCCATATGCAGTCACCAAAGGTAGATGCTGATGTGGAAGTCAGGAAGTACATGCCGATAAGGGCCTGATATGGATGTCTCCTCAGAGGCCTTCAAGAGTCTGACATATTCAGAGGCAGATGCTCACAACTAGCCATTGAACTGATCATGAGGTTCTCAATGGAGGAGTTAGAGTGAGGACTGAAGGAGCTGAAAGGGTTTGTGGCACCATGAGGAGAGCAACAATACCAACCAACCACAGCTCCCAGGGTCCTAACCATCAGCCTGGGAGCACTTATGGAGGGATCCAGGGCTTCAGCTGAATATGTAAGAGTAGAGGGCCCTGCCGGGCACAGGTGGAAGATGAGATCCTTGACCTCATGAAGGCTGGACGCCCCAGGGGGTGGGAATTTTGAGGGTGGGGAAGTGGGAGTGGGGGGGGTAGGTAGGGGTTACATCCACAGAGAAGAAGGTGGAGGGGTAAGGGGATGGGGGGTTCCCGGGTGGGTGGGGGATGGGGTAAGGGGATAACATATGAAATGTAAATAAAATATCCAAAAAAAAAAAAACTTAAACAGTCAGGGTTAGAGGCCATTTTTTTAGTCTATCATAATCCTTTGATAAATAACATTGGATGTTTATTCAAGCCAGGGTATTTATCAAATACACACATGAATTAATCTAGCTGTTCTTAGATTACCAATATATATTACATATACACACACACATATATATATATGTATATACATATGTATATATGTATACATGTATATATATGAATATATATGTGTATATATATATGTACATAGATATACACATATTTAATAATTTCTGATGCACAGATAGGCTATATGATTTTCAAGGTCTGGTGGAAAACATGAACACTGGGTGTTAAAAATTATTAAGAATTTCCAGACAGGAGAACATTAAGCTACACCAAGGCATGCTGAATGTGGGACTCTGTGAGTTGTATGCCCATGAAATGCCCCTGTTGGTGCAAGGAATTAATTTTTTTTAATCCTACTTACAGTATCAGTTCACAAACTAGTCATTCTCTTATGGCTGCCCTGAAGGTGTTAACTCCTATGTCTGTTAAAAAAAAACCTATCATATGTCTATTTTGTCTTCTTTACTTCCAGAAGGAGTCTATAAGCTCAAGGCTATTGTCCATCACTTTCATGGAGCTGAGGACCTGGGGCCCTACTATATGGACATTGGCCATGGGAATGTGTCTGTATTCATGAATTCCAGCTCTATCCATGATTGTGAAGCTCTTTCCTTTGCTGATTCCCTTCCACAGCAGAAAGGTAAGACCTATGCATGGAAGCTGAGCATTCAGATCTCTGCTGCACACATAGCCAGAGTCCTCTTTAGTTGCCCAAGTTTCAGCCACCCTATTCAATACACCGCCATCACTCATTTTTACCTCACGTGGACAACATTTACTGTGGAATATTGCGGGTCTGTGGAGATGAGATGGAATCCCACATAGATCCGACCTTAGAAATTTTTTAATTCAGTAAAGATATATGTCTAAAAATAGAGGAAAGGACTTATAGGTTCTGAAGAGGAGCATGGCCCTGGGGCTGGGAGGTCCCCTACAGAGGGCCCTATGTATCACCATGGGACAGGTACTACTTGAGGCAGGAGTTGATGCATAAGGTGAGCTGTGAAGAGTGGGTATGGGGCCATTCTGGAAGATGGCGCAGCCATAGCCAAAGATATGTAATGCTGGGTGCTCAGTGTTTCAGGAGCTCTCTTAAGTTGTGCCTCCTCACCCTCACCTCACAACTAACTGCAGCAACCTGTTTCCCTCCTGCCAACTTGGACAAGGGCATCAGAAACTCACAGTCCAGAAGGAGTCAGAAGAGGGGCTGTGATTAAGGGTTCTGAAGGAAACAGTTGGGACACATTATAACAGAGCCAGGGCGAATCAGAGCATCCCCAAAGTGTTCAGCTCTGGAAGATGATAAATGCAGCCTTGCTTTCTCCAGAAACAAGAAAAAGGAAACACAGCAGGAGATGTATCCCAAATACTCATTCTTGAGAACCTGCTCTACTTATACCACACATGAACCATATTTCCCTACCATCTCCCAGGAGGGAACCTCCCCAACTAAGCATTACATAGTACAGAAGAGGATTGTTAAGCCTGCTAAGCAGTGCATGGTAATTAGCCAGCTGACCATTCGTATTGACTTGTCTTGTGAAAACTTTGAGTAAAGTGGGTAAGCACAGGCCATGTGGGTCTGTGGGGTTTGTGCTAAGATTTAGAACTGGATGGTATAAATCATCATCTTGTACCAAAGACCAATCATTGGACATCCTCATACAATCCATTTTCTTTCCTCACATGCTGTGACACTAAATTTTGGTCAAGGTTAAGTTTTAGTTATTGCTAATGAGAACACCTCACTCTCATTCTACTCAAGAGGCATATTTTAAAATAATCTACATTGAGCCTATTTTATTTATGCTGTAAATAAACACTTTCTCTTTATGACGAGAAAATTCATAGAGAAAAACAGAGCAGTAATAATTTAAAAGCCCACATCCTTTTCTTTTCTGAAACCACAGTTTCCCCTGCCTGCACTCCTCCCAGCCCCCCTTCATCCACTCCTCCTCCATTTCCTTTCAAAAAAAAAAAAAAAGCAGGCCTCCCAGGCATATCCACTGAACATGACAACAGGACTAGGCACAAACCCTCATATCAAGGCTGGTTAAGGTGACCCAGTAGGAGAAAAAGGATCCCAAGAGCAGACAATGAAAGAGTCAGAGATACCCCCTCCCATTGTTAGGAGTTCCACAAAAACACCAAGCTAACAATCGTAACATATATGCAGAGAGTACCTAGCACAGACCCATGCAGGCTTCCTGATTGCCACTTTAGTCTTTGTGAGCCCCTATGAGCTTAGTTGATGGATTTGGGCTGTATTCTCCTGATGTCCTTGACCCCTCTGGCTCCTACAGTTCTTCTTTCCTCTCTTCCATGAGGTTTCCTGAGCTCTGGGATCTCCAATTTATAGAAGCTCATCTCCTTTTTAATATTCAAAATGGGTTGATTCAAACCTTCTTAGTCATCATAATTCTAATCGAATTGAATTGACATTCAATTTTTGGTATTCGCCTTCTAACACACATATATGTTTATATGCACAACACATGTATATAAAATAGTGTATTACATTTTAGAGGATTTAGGTGAATAAAGTTTATTGTTAGACCCCATTAAGAATCTATATGTTGTGAAAATTGTTTAATATACTCATATAGGGAAAATATGTTTAACATAAAGCCAGCTAGCAAAGGAACTAACATGTTGCAAAGGAGTAATGAATTTACTACTATGTAGAGAATTCTCAGAACAGAAAGAAATTATTTAAAGAAAAATTTGAAGAGAGAAATCCTGTGCCGTAATTCTTGTTTGCCAGTTACACCATTTGAGTGTATGCTCTAGATTTCAGAATTCAAAGAGATAAAAGTTGACAATGAGGAATATTGGTGTGTGTGTGTGTGTGTGTACATAAGGCAAGTGGATTAAAATTTCTCCCTTGTCTTCTCTTGTTTCAGGCACAGTCGTGGTGCATTGGTTTTCATCTGTTTCTTCATACAATGTGTCTTTTATTTCTCACACCCCAGTGGGCAGCAGCCAGGCTTGGCGTGGTGTGACTGTCGGGTATAAGATGCAATGTATGTCTCTGTTTTAATTCTAGATGTAGTTCTCCCTCAGTCGTTGATTGCTGAGGCCTCGCTGTCACCTCAGCCTGAGACCCAGCCCACTGGCCCTTCAGCACTCTTGTGCACCTACAGTGTGTTCTGGGACTGTCCTAGAAACCATAGGCTCTGAGGCTCCCACTAGAGTGTGGGAGATGGGGTACTCTCATAAGGTCATCTGTTGCTCCCATCTGACCCACACCTTCATCCCATGCTTTCTAAGCACAGTTCCCAGAAGAGCTGGCCATATTGCCCTGTGAACTATTACTGATGACCTTTGGACTTGGGCTGTACCTTCTGCTTGGGTCCTACAGACTCCCCTTCCCCCTGCCCCACCCCCCCACTTCCCAGCTTTGCCCTACACTCACCTCCACAGGCTCATTCATTCTCACTGTCATGCCTTGGTTATGTGGTAGTGGTGGTGGTAGTGGGGACCTCTGAGTGGCTTTCAGCCCTTTGTACTGATGGACCACTGCCTCCATCTCTTTGTCACAGCTGTGTCTGTCTACACCAATGGAACTGTGTTTGCTGCAGACACAAACATCACATTTGTGGCTGTTACTGAGGAAACTATACCCCTGGAATTTGCATGGTATTTTGGAGAAAATCCACCAGTGACAACAACTTCCAGAAGCATTAGAAGAAGGCTGAGCATCCCTCAGTGGTCTGTCAATATGGTCTTCGGCATTAATGCAGCCAACACTCAGGATAAAGATTACCCTGGCACTATCACAATAAGTTTAGTGGTGTTTACATTATGCCCAGCCCCTAAGCACTTTTGTGAATTGAACTTAGCCATAAGGTGTAAAAGAAGAGGGGCTCACTTCCCCACAGTTTGCACTAAGTATCAGGGTGATCCTAGGTTCAAATTTTGCCTCAGCCCTCAGTTTAACCCAGAATATGCTTCCTATAAAAAGGGCTCACTTCATTTAGAGATGTGAACTAAATAATGAGAAAGGGAATTTAAGATGAATTCCCTCCACTTCAGATTTGATACTACCTAGTTGGATAATGCCCAGAGCTCAAGCGCCTAGCAATGACTGTCTGCTGAAGCAATGTGGAGAGATCTACCAGCCTTGTGTGCTTATCTTGCCATGTACTCCATCCTCAGGTATCATGTGAAGGTCAAGGCCACCAGCAGGATTGGCAGTGTGGTGTCTGAGCCCCACCTCATCAGAGTACAGAAGAGAATCATGGCCAATCAGCTCGTGTCCACTGCCTCAGCCCTCATAAATGCCAATGTGTCCTTTGAGTGCAGGCTCAACTTTGGCACTGATGTAGCCTACCTTTGGAACTTTGGAGATGACACCATTGAGTTGGGCAGCAGCTCCTCCAGCCATGTCTACAGCAGGTGAGCAATAAGGGACAGGTGATAGCCTATTGCAGGTATACACGTGGCTAACTTCTGAAGGAGCAGTACTTAAAACCCCACAGTCAATCTTGCTAGTGATGTAGATGACAAATGTTGACAGGAAAGAAGGCGGGCCAAGCTAGGGCTCTGGGGGAGCCTGAAGGTCCAGGAAAAGGAGGCAAATAGAGGCCTTCAGTTAAGGGATTCTGTCAGCAAAGAGGGTACAGTGCATGACCCCCATGCATGGCTTTATAGACTTCAGAACCATACTTGCGTATTTGCATATGATTGGAAAGGAAACCACCAGGAGGAGATTCCCCAGAGGATAAGTGGGGAGGGAAAACCAGCATAGACCCAAAAGAAGGGTGTCAGTGGCAGAGACTCGCAGTGGCAAGAGGGTATGCTTGGGAGAGGGAGAGGAGGTAGACAGGTGGGTAGATGAAACTGGAAGGCTCTGAAGTCACACTATAATGAGTCTCTGTGTCTGAAGGTACGTTTAATTCTCTTTACCTAGAGCAAGGCGTTATGAAGATAGTTGTGTATTATTTAACAACCAAAGGTTCTCTGACACAGTGTTATTTGTTGGTTCAGTTAGTGTGCAAACCTCCCTTAGATGCCATGGACCAGTTACTAACATGGTACCTGATGCAGTCAAGAGAAGATGTAAATATTAGATAAAGACACTTCTACCTAATGTTGTTTTATAGGATACGTTTCTTTTTGTAAGTAGGTGTACATTCTCTGAAAAATATAGTTCATAAATATATAAGCCAACAGCATAGCCATTTTTATCATCATCCATGTACTGCCCATCATTGCTTATTCTGGCAACATGGGAGTTGAGTTCACTGCAGTATCACCACAACACAAAAGAAATGACTTTCTGTTTATATTATGACAGCTGTTGTGGTAATTTGAATAGGCTTGGGCCAGGAAGTGAGACTATCTGGAAGTGTGTCCTTCTTGGAGTAGGTGTGTCCTTGTTGGAGGAAGTGTGTTACTCTGTGGGTGGGCTTTGAGAGACCTTCCTCTTAGCTGCCTGGAAGCCAGTCTGCTCCAGGCTTCCTTTGTATGAAGATGTAGAATTCTCAGCGCCACCAGTGCCATTCCTTCCTAGATGCTGCCATGTTCTCAACTTGATGATAATGGATTGGACCTCTAAAACTTCTAGAGCCAGGCTTCCACAATTCAAATCACCCTCAGCAGTAGAGTCTTCCTTATTCCCACTTGGATGGCCCATTAAGCCCCACTTAAAGCATTCCACTACTTTCCAAATCCAAATTCCCCAAATCCATATTCTTCCAAACAAAAGCATGGTCAGGCCTATCATAGCAATACCCCAGTCCCTGGTAACAATTTCTGTGTTAGTTAGGGTTTCACTGTTGTGAACAGACACCATGACCAAGGCCACTCTTATAAGGGACAATTGGGGCTGGCTTACAGGTTCAGAGGCTCAGTCCATTATCATCAAGGTGGGAGCATGGCAGTATCTAGGCAGACATAGTGCTGGAGGAGCTGAGAGTTCTACATCTTCATATAAAGGAAGCCTGGAACAGACAGGCTTCTAGGCAGCTAAGAGAAAGTTCTCTCAAAACTCACCCACAGAGTGACACACTTTCTCCAACAAGGCTACACCTACTATAACAGGGCCACACCTCCAAATAGTGCCACTCCCTGGGCCAAGAGTATTCAAACCACCACAGCTATGGCATATCACTAAGCAATACAAAACATTCTACCTTATTTTAATCCTAGAAACCCTTGCCATGTTATATGCAATATTTCATTGACCATAGCTTTATTATCTAGAACCTAGCTAGATCAGAATGATAAGTTATATCTGATTGTCTTTGTCCAAAATCATTGTCTCCAGAAGGTTTTATTTAGTGCAAAACTACATGTGCAGATGATATTCAAGGTTGGGAATGTGAAAACTGCAGAGAATTAGGTCAATTGCTCCAGTCTGAGTCTCTGGCTTGGGGGAGTCCTAAGTGGATCTTAAGTGGATCAAGTCCTTCCAATGAGTGTCCAGTCTTCATAGATGCCAGAAATAAGCATAGCCAAAGCCAAGCCTCAGACTAGCATGGAGCTAGTGCAGAGGAATATTCAAGTGTGCAGAAGAGTTACTGTTCTGTTGCCACAGTATTTTATCTGATAAAATACCACAATCGAAAGCAACTGCAGGAACAGTATACTTGGGTGTGGGGTCCTGAGGTTATAAAGAGGGATTGAGGATCAATGTACAGCAACCCTGATCTCTCCATTTCTCTGCTTTCCACCCTTCCAGGGAGGGAGAATTCACAGTTGAAGTCCTTGCCTTCAATAATATCAGCTCCGCTACCCTAAGAAAGCAGCTTTTCATTGTCCAGGAGCCTTGCCAACCACCCCCAGTGAAGAACATGGGGCCTGCGAAGGTGCAGGTAGGTCTGGGCTTAAGGAATCATTCCTGCCTGCCTCACTCTAGGCTGCTTCCAAGTTGCTGAGCTCACTGGGGAATGAAGGAGGCTTTGTTAAGTTTGTTCTGCTGCACTCAGCACAAAAGAGTCCCTGTGAGGGCTTTGGAGTTGGTCCCTGAGCAGGGAAAGCCTGCACTGGAAGGGAAGCCTGGCTTCTGGTGGGTGAATAAGTCTTTTATTTGCCTATGTGACTCTTGACATTCAGCTCAGCTTGCTTTGAGTAGCAAGTGATGCTTTTGGGGGTTGGGGGGTGTTATACACAGAATAATAGCATTTTCAGTAAAAAGAAAAATTTGACACCAAAATTAAAAGAAATGACCAATTATGTGCTGAGTACTAATGACAGAGTAGGAAAAATAAGGCTGCCTTTTATTTCTTCCTCTCCTTTGAGGGCTTTGATTTCAGGAGGTTTTACTTTCAGGTCAAAGGTGTCCAGCCTGACACTTGGGAAGGAAAACTCAAAGCTGAGCATTTGCCAAAATGCTATCTCTAATGGATCAGCTGTCTGCCCTGGGTATCTCAGGTCCCAGCAGCCCCAGAGTGCAGTAGATTTCAAAGAGGGTATGGGATTGGCCTGGGCAGGCCTTCCAAGTGTCCATGTCCCTTGAGGCAAGACCTCTGTAGCTCTCAAGGCCAGCATTCCATGGTGTAAGGCTCTTCTGTGCTCTCAGTGTGAGGGATTCAGGGAAAGACTACAGTTTGCAAGGTTCTGACTGGAAGTCTTGTTCTGATGGGAAGCTGATGCTGTCCCTTTGTTTGATTTTCTTTTGTTTTAAGGAATATTTTCTTAATGTTGTTATCTTATTTCATTTATTTTATTTTATTTTGAGATTGGTTATCATAATCTAGCCCAGGCTGTTCTTAAATTCACTGTGCTACCCAGGCTATCCCAGAACTCTGTTTTCCTGCCTCTGCCTGTTGCATGCTAGAATTACAGGCTCCCATTCCCACACCTGGATCTGGGATCCAAGTGCTGGGATTAAAGGCGTGCGCCACCACCACCCGGCCCCTGTGTTTTCTAAGAGTATAAAAAATTGAATTGTGTGAAATCCAGACAGCAGGAGATAGATATATTTATTTTAATTTTTATTGTCTTAAAAATAGATTTATCTTTATTGTTTTAAAATTCATGTGGGGTGCAGATATGAGCACATGAGTACAGGTGCTTGCACAGGCCAGAAGAGGGCGCCAGGTGCCTTGGAACTGGAGTTCCAGGACCTTTTGAGCCACCCAACATGAGTCCTGGGAAGTAGACTTGGTTCTTACTCCCCCTCCCCAAGAGGAGGAAACACTCTCATCCACCTAGCCCTTTCTCCAGCTCCCTGCTATTGTTTTTTATATGTGGAGTAGGTGTGTGCATTTTTATTTTTTTTTTAAGATTTATTTATTTATATGAGTACACACTGCAGCTATCTTCAGCTATCTTAGAACAGTGCATCAAATCACATTACAGATGGTTGTGAGCCACCATGTGGTTGCTGGGAATTGAACTCAGAACCTCTGGCAGAGCAGTCGGTGCTCTTAACCACTGAGCCATCTCTCCAGCCCATGTGCATTTTTAATATGTGTGTCTATCACAAAATTTGAATAATTGTTATAGCATGACCACCATCTTTTTTGACTACATGATTTTTAACAATGGCATATGTTGGATCATATGTACAAATCCTATACCATTTCCCAGGTTCTTCAGTACTCAACTTTGACTGTTCTTAATTTTCTATTACTATGAATAGCGTGTGGCACTCTGTGCATGTATCTTTAGCATGCAGTGCTCTGTACATATGTCTTTCTCTGTATCCTTGGCATCTCCATGTCATAGAACTGAGTGACAGAATGCCTTTCCTGGAAACTTCACTTTTGCCTATCAAGTTCTACTGTGTGCCCATTCAGAGCTGACTCCCACTCCAATGGAAATTGTATAGTTTAATTCATATTATTATTTATACACACACACACACAAAGTCTGAAAATTGAGAATATTACAACTTGCCATTAACCGTGTTAGTCCAGTGGCTTTGTTCTAAGTCCTATAATGAATCATGTTCAGAGTAGAAGCAATGAAAAGAATTGAACAGTCATTTAAATGGTACTACCTACAGAATACAAAAGGTACTTTTCCCAGTTATAAGATTATAAAATTTTTACTCCTTCTGTTTTTCTAACTGTTCTAGTCATTATATCATTAGTGTTTTCTCTATAATAAACCATATTTCAACTAAAATTTAAGATTAAATGTCTTAGTCAGCAGGTGGGAGGAAGGTAACTAATACCTTCTTTTACCTTTAAATACATTTTATTAAATTTTCTGATATATTTTGACCATATCCCTCCCCTCCCTCTCCTTCCAGATCCTTCCCACCTCCCTGCCCACCCAACTTTATGTTCTCTCTCTCTCCCAAGACAAAAATAAGAGAAACAGCAAAACTCAAAACAGATAAACAAAAAAAGAAAAGAAAGAAAGAAAAGAAAACCAATAAGACAAAATATTAAAAGACACACCTACAAAAATATGGACTCTGTTTTGTGTTGGCCAAGTACTCCTGAGCATGGGGCTTTCTCTGGAGTGTCTTGTTATAAAGAGACAAAGGGGGACAAAACAGGAGGATTAAATGGAGGAGGAGGATCAGAAGGCTAGGTAAACTAACACTAAGGGTGCTAAATTCTTTTTTTTTTTAATTTATTTTTTCTCAAATCGTAATTCATTCACACAGGGGTTATAAACACAGAAAGGCAGGATGTGGGGAAGGGAATGACACTGGAGTGTGGGTGATCAGGGGGAATACAGATATCATGAAAACCAGGTATCGGCTGGGTGAAGGTTCAGGGGACAAGTCACTATGACTCTGCCTGTGACTTGCTTGTCCTTATCTAAGTTGGTATTGTCTGCCCAGGCTACCTCTTTACAAGGTCTATGACTACTCAGGCTTGTAAATTTCCACAAAAGCTGCCTGTTTACATTAGCTTATAGTCATCTGTTTCAATGTTTTTCCACTGAGACCCAAGACTTGTTGTTAGTATACATGTATGACAGGCCTATTGCTGATTTTAGGCCTATGGCTGATTTTAGGCCTTTAGTGGGTAAGCAGGGCTGCCCCGACATCTCCTCCCTTCTTTAAGTGTAGTTGGCTATGGAGGACCACGAGACTCAAGATGAGGTTGCTACTTTATACAGGGTGTTTCCAAAACCCATCTCCACCCAACCTAAAAGGGGGGACTTCTGCCCCTAGACCAAGCAGAGAGGGGCCACCCAGAACCCCCTCTGTCAGGCGATCTGAATTCTTGCTTAGGCTGCGAGGCTAAGCACTGCAAGGGAATATAAATAAAAGGTAAAAATATCTATCTGGGTTCCCTGAGGGACAAGCCTGACTGCATAGGGGTTGATGTCAAAAGTATCCCCTCTCCAGGAAAAAGACATCGGGACGGGTATGGCCCTCATGCCTCACTGGACAATGACAGGGGGACTGGAGCTATTACAAGGTCCTCTTCAAATACTGGAGGTCAGGCCTCTATCCCCGCCTTCGAAAGTTTAGAATTGCCACAGGGTGCTAAATTCTTAAAATCCCACTTCTCTGGTTTTCTCATTCTAATTAAGCAGAACAGCCTCCAGGGGGAGCCCTTGCTCCTAGCATCAGCCCCAGAACTGGAAGGGTCTCTGGCTGCGCAGCCTTCCTCCTCAGGTTGGCACATCCAGAATGCTTTTTCATATTCTGGGACAAATACCAAAGTCAAGTGAGGAGTGTGTGTGTGTGTGTGTGTGTGTGTGTGTGTGTGTGTGTGTGTGCATGTGTATTACTTTTGTCTGTAAAATAAATGTACTGGTGCTATCTAAAGTCCAGCCCCAGGTCTCATCCTGCGATTATGCAAACAAAAGTGGAGATTTCACTTTCTAATAGGTTGCTGTACCATCAGAGTTGGTGGACATTCACTGACAAGACCTATCTTGTCAATTCCCAGATCTGGAGGTCTCAGCCGCTGAGACTAGGAGTAACGTTTGAAGCTGCCATCCTCTGTAACATTTCCCAAGGGCTTTCCTACACCTGGAGGTTTGTGGGTGCTGAGGGGACCGCTGTCACCCTCCCTGCTGCTGTCAACACCCACAGACAGACCATCCTGCTGCCAAGCTACACCCTGGAGTATGGGAACTACACCGCCATCGCCAAGGTCGGCTCACTCACTGTTTCCCAAGCCCTGACAGGCCAACCAACCCTTGCCATAAGCCCCAGAGAAAACCTCTTCTAGCCAATGAGAGGCTACAGCAACAATGTTGTTGTTGTTGTTATTGTTGTTGTTTAAGGTATGGGTAGGATTTTAAAAGAAATCTTTCATCTCAACTGGAAAAAGGTCTCACTGGGGAAAACATTTCTTGTATAAGCATGGCAATGTGTCCAATGTGCACCTGTAACCCTAGTACCTGTAGGGATAGCAGAGAATTCCCAGAGAATATATGTTCTAATTTTGACCAAGTAATCGACAAAAAACTATTTCTGTTCTTTTAAAGGCACATTGCCTGTGCCCCTACTTTGAATAAACCCTGTGCTGATAGAGGAATGAAAGAATGTTAATTTTGCCATTTAGGGAAGAAAATGGAAGATGTCCCCCAGAGGCCATGAGAGAAGTACCCACCGTGACCCTCAGCCAGTACTGTGCTTTGGGGAAGGGGAAAGTGTTATAGATCATGTGGGCTAGAAACAGGAAGTCACTGCGTTAAGTGGCTTCATGAAGGACAGTCCTGAACAGTTTGCTCATAGGTGTGGAAACTGAGGCTACAGGTTAGTCTTGTGTAGTGACAGGAACCAGGAAGATGGCCCTGGGTCAGATTGTAGTGAAGTCAGAAGACCGGGATGAGGTCTTTGGGACTCAGATCTCTACAGGGGGAATGGGTGTTTTCACTATATGGGGTACCTGGTTCCACTGAGGAATAGTCCTAGCCCAGACCTCAGGCAGCTCATCAGAAGGTTCCCAAATACCCAAACTGTCCCTCAAAGAAATGAGGCTACTGGGCCCTGTTGAGCAATGTGAACAGAGGCTCACACCGAATGTTCTCTGTTCCTCTGCTGATCTCAACAAGAACCAGACACTTGTCCGTGGGTGACAGAGGGCCATAGTGTTTGCTTTGAGGGGCATTGTATTAGTCGAGGGTAGTAGGAAATCTTTGGAAAGATTGACTGAGAGGTAGCAGATTTTACTTTCATAGGAGCAGAATGTACTGGTGCTATCTAAAGTCCAGCCCCAGGTTTCATCTGCTGTACCATCAGGGTTGGCGGACATTCACTGACAAGACCTATCTTGTCAATTCCCAGATATGGAGGTCTCAGCCCCTGAGACTAGGAGTAACGTGGTAGCATTAGATCACCCTGATCCTGCCATAGTCTAGAGTAGCAATGCCTTTGGGGAGTCCAACTACCCTTTTACAGAAGTCACCTAAGACCATAAGAAAACACAGAGATTTATGATTCATAACAGTAACAGAATAGCAGTTGTGAAGTAGCAACAGAAATAATTTTTTGGTTGGGAGTCACCACAATACGAGGTACTAAAGGGTTGCAGTATTAGGAAGGTTGAGAATCACTGGTCTAGGGGACACTCCTGGGTCATTGTGGGAACTGGCTTTTATAAGCCCTCATGTCTTGGTGCCCTGGTGGAAGCAGGAGAAGGTGGAGAGTGTTCCTAGATGGTGCCTGCTCATCCTCAGACAAGCCTCGTGCTGATGCTAACTTGGCTTTGCAGATGGCTGAGTATTGATGTCACTTTTAGAAGACATCACCATTGTGTTGGATTCTTCATTACCAGCAGGTCAGAAGGAAAAGGAGTTGACAGTGAGTCTGAGAGCTCCCCCTTCTGTATACTTCAGGAGATTCTGGGTCTGGGTTTATAGCCAAAGAGATGGGATGAAATCCTGAAGCATAAGCCCAGGCTCTCATAAACTAGCTGGAAGAGTGAGTGGTCACAGCTAGGGCCAAGTATCCATCCTTTATCACTGTCTGTTGGCACATTTGACTCTTCTATTAGGGACCCTGTCTGTGTCTGGGCCTTGGAGACCTCTGATGAAGCAGATTTTGTTTGCTTGTTTGTTTTGTTTTGATTTTTCCTGACTGTTCTCATTGGCATGTTACACTTGGGAGTTAGACCTCAGGTTCCTGCTCCATCCTTGGCAGCTCCACACTGAGCTACTGTCCTCCACAGACATGGCACCTGCTCAGAACTTGTTTGCAGCTGCAGCATGCACCAGGCACTGGGTAGGGTGCCTACCTAGAGAAGTTCTAACTTCATATCAGTTACTTATCTCATTGTGACAGAGTACATGACAAAAGCGACTTAAGGAGGGCTGACTGGGCTCTTACAGTTCATCTTGGTGGGGAGGCAGGTAACAGGAACGTGAGGTGGCTGGATCCTTACTTGGGAAGCAGAGACAGTAAAGTCTGGCCTTCTCCTTTATGCCTATCTAGGATCCCAGTCTATGCCCTGCCCACATTTCTCAAAGACCATTATGTGTTTTACCTCATCTCCTCTGCTCCCCCAAACCCACTGTCTCCTCAACTGTACTGAAGAGGGACCTCTTGGCCCCACTGTCAAACCCTTTCTTTCCCATTAGATGTAACAGAGTAAAAAGAGCCGGTAAATGTCAAGACCATGGAGAAGCACACTGTTTACAGTATACCTTGTCTACCTTGTCTTACTTTGCTTTCTATTGCTGTGATAAACACTGTGATCAAAATCAATGTGGGGAGGAAAAGGTTTATTTGACTTACATATCCTAAGTCACAGTCCACTGAAGGATGCTAAGACAGGAAATTGACACAGAAACCTGCAGCAGCAACTGAAGCAGGGACCATGGAGAAATGCTGTTACTAGCTTGCTCTTCCTGCTTCACCCAGTTTGTTTTCTTATATAACCCAGGACCACCTGCCTAGGAGTGGTACTGCCCACAGTGGGCTAGTCCCTTCCAGAACCAATCACCAACCAAGAAAATGTTCCACAGGTATGCCTACAGGAAAGTCTGATAGGGGCATTTTCTCAGTTGAGATTCCCTCTTCTCCAATGATTCTAGCTTGTGTCAACTTGACAAAATATTGACCAATGCACACCTAGATAACTGTGCATTTAGGTAGACTTACATATTAATACATCCATGCTCTTCCCTCCAGCCACATCCTCAGATGAATGGTGTGAGTGACCATTGTAGAGCTAAGGGCTGGTGTCAGATGTGTAGCTCCAGGAAGCATTTGCTTGTTCTCATGTGATACCCCCTTGTCTTTTGTCTCTCAGGTTCAGATCAAGGGAAGCATGGTGTATAGCAACTACTCTGTCGGGGTAGAAGTTCAAGCTAGGGCACCTGTCAGCGTGATCTCTGAAGGCACACACATCTTCATCTCCAAGGACACCTCAACTTCCATTGTCCTCAGAGGGTCCCAGTCCTATGACCCTGACAACCCAGGGGCTACTCTCAGGTGAGAGTACAGAACTATGAGGCTCTCTGGCTCCTACTTCTTCAGACCCTGGCTCAGGAATATTAGCAGAGTTAGTCTGGGAATTCTGCCAAAATAGTTTGAGACATTTATGTGTACCCGCTTTCTTTAGCTGAACTGCTTTACTCATTATCCAAGTGTAAGCCAATATAGGAAAGGAGAGTAAAGTGTTAGTAGTTTTTTTTTTTTTAAGGTGCTGCTTAAACTGTGATTTTGGAATGTACGTTATAAATGCTACCCTTTCATTAGGACTCCTTAGTCAGATGCCAGTGTGTGGGGGAGGCAGAGGCTGTTAGTGAGGCTCAGCTCTGCGGTCACGGGCTCTGGCCCAGACAGCCCAGCCTGACAGGCCTTTCCGAGCCTTCTGCTATGATCTTCTACCTCCCAGTATGCATCCGCCACTCATGCAGCCCTTCCCATAGTCCCCGACCCCTGTCATACACCAACCTGCTCTATGCTGTCTGTCACCACCACCTTTGTGCCCCTTTCCTGTGCCTCAAATCACCCAGCCATGAATTTCACCTTTTCCCACTGGCCTTCCCCAACTCTGTCCATGCATTTTTTTTTAGTTAATAATGAATTTTTATACAATATATTCTGATCATGGTTTCCCCTCCCTCATACCATCCCAAATCCTCTTCACCTCCCCACTCAGCCAACTCCATACCTTCTCAGTCTCAATCTCTCTAGAAAACATACAGGCAATTAAATCAGAATAATGAAGAAAGAAAGAAAGAAAAGCACAAGAAACATACATACACACCGAGACAGACTGACAACAGACAAACAGACAGATACACACACACACACACACAAACACACACAAATAAAATCCATAAAAACACAAAATCAGTAATCATAGTGTACAAGTAAAAGCCCAGTTAGGTTTTTTAAAAAATGTCCGAACAAAGCAATATAAGACCCAAAACAAAACCAAAAAAATAAAAAAAGCCAAAATACCATGCAGTTTATTTTGTGTTGCCCACCTACAGCTGCCAATAAGTATGGTTTGTATACACAGTGAGACTCCATTGAACAAAATTCAATTTTCCTTTTTGGGCATTTCTCAGTTGAGGATTTCTCCATTGGAGATAGCTCCTGGTTAGGGCTGGTGGCTCATGTCCTCTTCCCCCTCTTAGTTCTGGGACCCTGAGGAAACAATTCTTCCAGTTGCTCAGACCAAAACTTCCCTCAGTGTCTTTGACATCTCTTTCTCTCATATTTCATGCCTGTCAGGAAACCTCATGAGATCTCCCCAAGACACAAATCTCTCATACGTCCCCTGCACTGCCTGGATGGAGTCACCAGGGCCTCGGCTTATGTCCACCTTCAACCACAGCCAGTCGGCCAACACAGGATGGAGTCTTTCCAGACAAAGCCAGAAGCCCTTACTTTCCTGCTCTGACCTGTACACCATTCAGCACAGAGGGGAAGCCACTGTCCTTAGCCATGTGTAGTTCAGCACACTCAGTCCTCACTTATATGGCTGACGTTCACTGTCCTCCAGCATTGAGTCTAAGTTCAGGACAGCAGGACTCTCACTGGATATATCCCTGTCCCTGCCACATGGTACCTATTCATAAATCATTAAAGAGGCACCTTTGTCACTGTGACCCTTCATGTCTGCCACACCCAAATGTGGGAAATGGTGTTTCATTAGTACAGTAGAGATGAGAGGTTCCCTTTCCCTGATTCTACCTGTGTGTATACTGTAGACACAACTCTCAGCTATCAGTCCTACACACACACACACACACACACACACACACACACCTGACAGACAAAGGCTGTATCTGTGTTGTCTTCACACTGTCAACTACCAGGACCCATCACAGCACCTGAGAAGGAGAGCTCTGTGTCTGAGCAGTAAGGAATCTTCTGGGTGAACCATGGGACAGCTTCTCTGAACAGCTTGCAAACCACACTGTACACTGAGTTCTCTTGTGCCCTGGGGATGCTGCTCCTCAGTGGAGGTTACCAGGCAGCTGCAGTGCTGCCTCATGCAGCTTTGTGAACAGAAGTTTCTACAATGTAGTGCCTGTAGGCTAGACAGGGAATTGGGCTTTTAAGGTTCAGGTTTAAGGGATCCTTATGGAAGCAGGTTGCCATGATGAGGGAGGCTAGCCCAGCTTGCTACTGCATTTCCATACTGTTTCCTGCCTGTCACATGCCTATTTAAGCATGTCTCCTGCTCCGGATTAAGATCTGCTCACAGCTGGGATGATGCTGTCCTCCTAGTCCACCCCGATGGTACAACTACCTTATCTTGTGGCTCATGCAATATCATCTTACAGAAAGAGAGTGAGATTGAAGAATAATCTCGAGTCTCCTGATGGCTCCACATTTTACCAGCTCAGAGTGAAACAGGGCAGCTCCCCCAAGGCCTCTCCCAATGTCTTTTCTTCCTAAATTTGGGATAGTGCGACATTCCTGTCTTACCATGTGGAGTTGTCTCAGACAAGATGCCGAGTTGGCAGAGTGATTGTGAGGGAGACTACTAGGAGTTTTGGGGCCATGTTACTTATGAGCAGATACGACTACCATGCTCAGGAAGGGGAAGGAGTGGCAAAAGCAGCTCCAAGGCCAGGGTACCTGATACTGGTCAGAGGGAAGCAGGATCCTACCTGGAGTATCGTGGTCTCTGGGCCGGAGTGGGAAGACAGGCCCAGCTCCTGCACCACTGATAACAAAGAGCGAGGGGTATGGTCTTCTCCAAACCACATGTGCCTTTGACACTCAGTGATGGTAACCTTGCCCCTCCAATGGATTCTTCAATAGGTATCACTGGACTTGCACAGCGGCCAGCTCATCAAGGTGGCCCTGCTTTGATGACTCTACTCCATACCAAGTGGACACTCAAGCTCCTGCCATTTCCTTCCCAGCAAAATGGCTCAGTGAGTGCTGTGACCAGTTCCTTGTGACACTGACAGTCTCCAACAGGGGACGGAACTCATCACAGGCCTTGGTGTTCCTGTCCACCCGTCCTGACCCGGCCTTCAGGTACCCTTGTCCTAGTCAGAGCAGCTGAGCATTCTGGCTGATGGTGGCAGCTTGAAAGGAATCTGTGTTCATGGAGCAGTATGAAGCTAAGCCATGTGGGAACCATACCAGTAAGGAAGAAGTGGTTGCCAGGGAGGGGCTAGTGATTTGAATAGCTCTGTATTTTCTGGGCTAACAATGATACAGTAGCAATTCTGAAAAATGTTGCCATTATACCATTGGGTCCTACCTATCACACCCATCCCCAAGATGGAAGACCAGTGATTGAGGCTGATGTCAGAAGGCAGCAAGGCCATCTGATTTCTAGACTTGGGAGCTTTCTAGGGATTATAGGACTGAAGAGATATGCAAATGTGGAACCATGGAGGATTACAGAGGCAAAGAAGTGCTAAGAGTCAAACCCATCAGCTCGTCATCACCAAGCCTACCAGGCTACTCATATTATAGCCCCATGGACCAAATGTAGGACCTGAACTGAGCTACCAGGATGGACAAGGACACAGAAGGGTCTGGATTCCCCCTTTCAAAGGGCTAGGTTATACATGACTGAGCAGGGAGCAAATTCTAGGGGAAGCAAGTTTGTGGATGGTACAATATTTTATACACTCCTGAGAAAGACATAACTGAATATTTATGATCAGTTCATCTTTGGGATTTTCCATTTAACATTTCAGACCTTGGTTGACTGCAAATAACTGAAACTTTAGACAGCAGCTACTACACCCATGTCCACAGGCACATGTGCCCAGCTACACACACACAGGTAAAAGGCTATGTGGTTCCTTTAGAGAAAGCTGCAGACCTGCCCTGCCATGGTTGTTCTTGCCTCCTGTACATGGTGTTACATGGTGAAGCCATAGCTTGACATGTAGCTGATAGTGGAAGACACAGGGAACCCTGCACACCATTCTAGGAAGTCTTCTTTGTACTTAGCCTTTTAGGGTCCTCATGTCCTATAGCAAAGGAATTCGTGTGACAAAACTCAACCTAGTCTCTCACACCACCTGATGTTGTCCTAAAGAGTCCAGAGTTCATAAAATGCTATCTGGGAAGCAGCCCTGGGCCAGGAAAGAGCCTGGAGAAATTTCCAGGAGGTAGCTATGGTAATTCAAAAATGTGTGTATAAAATGTGGGGTTGTGCAAGGTTGGGTCCCTGAGGGCCCTGTAGGACAAGGAACAGCTCATGGCCCAATAACCCTGCCCAGGGAAAAGGCAAATCTGAGCCAGATAGCTGTGGAAAGGCAGATGGCTTGGGAAGGCCCAGGTGACCTTGGTATATAGCTATGGAGGCAAGCATGTGGGAAAGAGGTGAGGAGACAGTTCAGGCACTGACTGATAGGCTGGACAGCATGGCCAGAGCCAAGGCTGAATGACAGAGAGACTAACGCCCAGGAATATTTGACATTGAGAAAGTCTCACAGCTTCGCTGAACTTGGTGAGCAGTGAATGTGCTGTTTGTTAGGTCAGATCATGTGGTGTGAGGACTAGAAGCTGGTCACATGATCCTCACTCCCCAACTCGGGCTCTGATGATGCCAACACAGGTGGTTCAAACATGGCCAGCCCAAATGAGTGCAGCCCAAGGATGCTTGTGGTATTTTCCTACAACATCACAGTGATTGCCTGTTCCAGATTCGTCCACATCTCATGGGTCAACTTTAGAGACATCTCTGTGAACTGGAATGAAGAAGTGTCTCTCCAAGCTGTATGTGAAGACTGTAGAGATGTCCCAGACCTCACTTACTCCTGGGACCTCTTCCTAGTCAATGCAACAGAGAAGAGTGCAATGGAAGGTAAGACGGCTACTCTGTTTTGCTGATGAATAAGAAAAATTCATGGTTGTTCTGTGGTTACTAAACCTTCATATCTGACCTGCCCATGGCTGGGATTTCTTTACTTCAACCCTCCAGACACTAGGTGATAGACAGAAAGTGATTTCTCACATACATGCTGCAAGAAGGCTCAGGCCAATCACAGGAAACTATAGCAAAGGATCTGTCATGAAGCTTACTGTCCAGACAGCTGTGGTCCTTGGAACTTTGACAATATGTATTGCGTCTATGATCTACTTCTCTGGCACACAGCTACTGAAATCCTTGTGATCTTCTGTGTGATCGTGGGTTTATATGCTAATGAGCTGACAGATGGCTAGCAGCCACTGAGTATCTTCAAGATGAGGTGTGGCTTTCCCAAACACTAGGATGTCTATGTAACAAAGCTTCCAGTAGAGCCCCAGAATAACAAGGATCACTGACAGAGGTTAGAGTTCTAGAAAGGGATGGCAGCACAGGCCCTCACCCTGTGAACCTCTTGACCTCTATACTCTGTCATTTATATTTGACCAGTGAATTTGTGTCCCTGAATTATGTGAGCTCCCCTAAGACAGGATGATTGGAACCTCTGTTTAGAGTCAAAGAATCATAAAACCACATGGGCATTTGAAGGTAGGACAGATGACACACCAAGCCCTCAGACTGTTATCTGATGCAGTACCCAGGTAGACAGCATGAGGACTGAATTAGAGGACACCAGGTGACAATGGTGCAGAATGGCTTGCTGCTAGTGTGGTGGAATTCCCATACTTTGGAGCATGAAAGAAGCCAGCTGTGTGGTGAGACTAGATCAGTTGAGTCTGAGCCCATCATGTCTGCATACTCCCTTCTGACCGGCCTCTCTGGGACAGACGCCCAACGGGACCTGGTTCTAACTTTTAGTCCGTATTTCCAAATAAGGATGGAAAGCTCCTCTCAAAGAATCCACCTGCTCGGGTGAATGATAAGGATCCAATTTGTTACTCTACATGGGAAACTGATGCACACTAGGCACAGAAAAAGAGTTTACTCAAGTCTAAATGAAAGCTACAGCAGGGAAACAGGAACTGCAGTTGCTCAGCATAGGCATTCTTGAAATGACACCAGAGGGGTCGCTAGTGTTTACAGCCTAGGGCAAGGCTTACATATCAGACCGGTTGCTAGAACTGCACTGGTCAATAGGAAAAGCACAGAATGTAGGAAGATGGAAGGAAGGAAGGAAGGAAGGAAGGAAGGAAGGAAGGAAGGAAGGAAGGAAGGAAGGAAGGAAAGAGGGAAGGAAAGAGGGAAGGAAAGAGGGAAGGAAGGAAGGAAGGAAGGAAGGAAGGAAGGAAGGAAGGGGGAGGGAGGGAGAAAGGAAGGAAGGAAGGAAAGAAGGAAGGAAGGAAGAAAGGTAAGAAGGAAAGAAGGAAGGAAGGAAGGGAGGAAGGATGGTAGGAAGGAAGGAAGGAAGGAAGGAAGGAAGGAAGGAAGGAAGGGAGGGAGAAAGGAAGGAAGGGAGGAAGGAAAGAAGGAAGGAAAGAAGGAAGGAAAAAGGAAAGAAGGAAGGAAGGATCTTCACTGGGTTATGTGTTATCTCCCCTGTGTTGGAGAAATCTACCAGGTTAATCAGAATGACTATGGGGACTTCAGTTTCAGGCTTCATGTTTGCCTGGGCTGAGAAATATTGTGAGCTCATTATTATCTTATGTTCATCCCTTCTCATACTACTCCACAGAGTAGCAGGATGCTGAGGAGTGAGGCTGAGTCCCACAAATAATGGCCCAGAAGAGCTGGGTTTCTGTGCTGGACAACCAGCTCTGTTCAGCCCCAAGTGGCTGGCTGCCATGTTTTCTTTAGTCCATTCTAGGCTTCTACAAACCTTTTAAAGCAGATCTTGGAGTGCAGCTGACCCCTGACAGAGACATTCAGTGGGGCTGTGCCCATCACGAGAGATAGGTTCTGAATTTTGAATTTAAGACCAACTAGACTTCCTGAATCAAAGACCAAAGCATCAGTGAAGACCTGTGGTAGTGACCCTGACAGTGAGTAGTTAAGCTTCAACAAGGCTAGTGTGTCTGAGAGAACTCTGAGTAAGGTTTCCATCATCCCCTCTACAGGACCTCACAGAACTCAGGGAAACAAATCTACTAATTCACTGTAAAGGACACTACAGAGGACAGGGGTCTGCCCTGGTCAAAAGCAAAAGCTGCTTTTAATAGAGTCATTTCTATGTCTGTGAATTTTTTAATTTGTCATTACTCCTTTATTCTTTTATCATAATTCCTAGGAATGCCTTTTAAAATTATCTACTGGATCCTCATTGTCAGAGAGAAATGATAATTAGGAGAAATTCTTTCCAGAATACAGAGTCATCCAAACAGGGGCTTTATAGGGTGACCCTGTAGTCTGAATGTATACTTGGGAGAGCAAATTCCAAGAGAAGAGTTGTGAGGGCCTTTCCCCACGTACACATGTTTAGGTCATGTGTTGGCCTCCATACCACCAGGCCAGAACCATGTGCCAGAGCCTTGGCATCTAAGCATCAAGCTTCCAACTCATGCCACGTTTGTGTAAAGTAGCATGGTGTTGCTTTGCCTGGGAAGACATGAAAAAATGTTCATTCACCCCAGATGGGGCACTGCCGAAGATGAGTCTACTCCAGTCAGGAACATTTCTGAGAAGTTAGGGACAGGAGTATGGGTGATGTAAACACAGATATGTTACCCAAAGGCCCACCACAGCATGGGTAATGAGTCTTGAAAGCTGCCTTTCTGGAGCCCATCCTATACATGCTGGCATCCTTCCCCAAGACCACCTGCAGGAGAAATGTCTGCAGTCTCGGGTAAGAATCCTGAGGCCCTCTCTCTGCTTCTGCTAGGAAGCATTAACAGCCAAGTCCCGACTGTATCTGTGTTGTTTTACTTCTTGTGTTTCTGTGACTATATAGGTTACTGCAGCAAGCTCCTCAGGCCCATGATGGCGACAGTGACACCAAGCTCACAGAAAATACCTTTACCCCACAAGTAGACATGCTTGTGTAGCCTGTATATGTTCTTATCATTTATTTTTTATTTCTGTGTGATGTGCCATATATCCTTTGTTAGATGTGTCACAGTGCATATATGGAGATTACAAAACCTCTGCATATCAGACTAAAGTCACCAAGTTTCTGCAGCAAGTACCTTTACCAGCTGAACCATCTTGCACTGTCCCATAGCATACACACACACACACACACACACACACACACACACAAACACACACACACACACACACAAACACACACACACACACACACACTTTGGATATTCAGTTCAGAATTTTAACCCTGTCACACCCATGTTTAAGTCCCCTTCTGTAGCACTGTGGGGCTGCTGGGTATCTCAGCACTTGGGGCCAGTCTGAAGTCATCTGAGTCCTACCTGCCATCAAATCTGAGAGCATTGCTGACACCACACTCCCCAGAGCCTTCACCCTCGCCCCTGGGCTGGACAGCTCTTTCCAACCTGGGAAGTGTTTCTGCTGAGTCCACAGCTGGTAGCCACCACGTCCCTGCTGCAGGACCTGTGGCAGGCTCAGGAGAGCCTATGGAGGACTATGGCTCACTGAGTCCAGCACAAAGTCCCCTGGCTGAGGACGCCTTGATGGTGAGCAGCTCTGAGGGAAGCTGGCCCGCCCCCAGTTCTTCCACTGACTTTGATGGTAAGTGCCACCATCTCTACACGTTGATCCTTGTATCTTGGCACCAGGCTCACCAGGGAAGAAATAATTCTAATGGGTCTGGTTTGATGTTACTCCCACCTTTGCCCTGAGTCTAAGCGTACTGTGTTTGAGGTCAATGCAGAGCTCAGCTTCTACCTCAGGATAATAAAATAGCATTTTGTTTTTTCTTATCCTGAAACAGGTTCTAAGGAAGCCCAGGCCTCCAACTCACTATGTAGCTAACCTGGTCTTGAATTCTTGATCTTCCTGTTTTCATTGTTTAAATGCTGGCATTATTGGTATGTGCCACCATGTCCCAGCTTAGAGATAGTTCATTCTTAACCCAGATGTAAGTGACAATGTTCCAGGGACAGATTGTCCTTAGTAATGTGTTCTACAATGGAAGTGGTTACATGATACATTATTAGTTATACCACAAAGAATATTGTATCAGATACATTGGCAGTGACCACCAATCGGTGGTCAAAGCTTACAGTCAAGTGGGGAAAAGGTATATAGGTTTTGGACCAACAACACTTTTAGCTGTGAATTGTATCAAATGGTCCTCTGCTAAGAATAAATTTTGAAGGTTTTACTAATAGTCAAAAAGATGGTCACTCAGACATGGGAGTGGACAATGAATGGCATTTTAAGGGAACTAAAAATAATTTGGCTCTGATCTGCAAAATTCTAACTCTCCACAATCATGAAGTTCTAATCCTACAACCTTACAGATCTTTCTTGGGGGGTGGGGGTGGGGGTGGGGAGGGGGTGAGTCTGAGTCTACAGCATTTAGCACTCACTAATTATGTCTTCAAATGAAATATAATTTTTCCCTTTTGTATAGATTTTGAAGCCTATTACAGTGACATCCAAGAAGCAGTGCCATCCCTAGGAAGACAGCCAGGTGACTACTTTTAGGATTGTTCCCATGAGAAAAGGCCTGCATCCAGGCTCACTGTATATCCAGCCCTCCTGGATTCACCGTGTTTTTTCCTTACATCAAGGCCACCTATTAACCCCTCAGGGAATTCTCAAAGGGAGAATGTAAGCCCCTCTGCATGGCACAGCCTGGTATAGACCTCACTCCGTGATTCCTTACTGCTGTATATCTTGACCTCGAAGATCCCAAACTCCTAGTGGGCTAACAGTAGGCAATTCAGATCCAAGATGCCTTGCATAGTAAGACCTCCCTTAGTGCCCTTTCCAACTTGCCCCCTTGCTGATCATCCTTCTTGCAGGATCTCTCTCCTTCCCTCCTTTGTAGTCTCCCTCAGCCGTATGATAACCCTATCAGCTCACTGTCTCCATCTTCTACCTATTATAAGCATGACTTCTGAGTATGAGATGTGTTACTGTTTTGTCTTGTATATACCTGACATCTTCACAGAAACTTCATGGCTAGTTTATTCTTGTGTCCCCAGAACCATCTTGATTCCCAGTGTGTCAGCACAAACAGGGTGATCAACTTGTCACGTAAATAGATGATCAGTAGTGATCTATGTTTCTGAAGAGTTGACAGAAAAGGAGAGAACAACTGGCTCTATCTGAAAGACTCTGGCCAGCTTGAAAGTGGCACACATGGCTGTGGCAGGCCTTGCCCTTCCTTCCCAATCCCTCTGCCTTGCTAAAAACTCTTATATTACATTCCTAAAGCTAGCCACTGTCTGTTCCCTTATTTGGCTACTTGCTCCTCCTGAGGTTGACTACTAAAGTCAGCTATCAAAGTATTGAAGTCCAGCAATCAAAAGCCCTTTTGGGCTCACCTAATTAACATGCCCAGTTTAAATTAAACACCTTATCCTAACATGGGTTTTCCCCCTATACATTTATAAAATACCATTTTCTTATGGACCACATCTGTCTCCTCTTTATCCAGAGAGTCCTTTGTCCCCAGGACAAACACCCATTCCCCTCTCCCTTGCCACTTTCTCCCCTCTGCCTTATTCCATTCCCCTTTTCCCTCATCCTCTCTCGTCTGTCCTTGTCTCTTATTCAATGCCCTCTGTCCCTCTGGGGCAAATAAATCTCCTTTGTAATGATCCTGACCTGATAATGATATCTTATACTATCTGTCTAGAGAATGAATGGATAATTGAAGAGCTGTGTCTACCAAATGAACAGGCAGGTGATTAACTTGTTGAGTGAACATGCAGTCTGATTTATCTTTTGAGTGAATGAGTAAATAGGTAAGCTAATGTGTAAGTTCACTGCAGCGTTTTCTTAGATGCTCCTCTCCAGTTGCCTCTGAGTTATGATTTCTTCAGCTCCTCTTGTTCTGTCCTCTGTGTCATACTTCTTTGTATGAAATAGCCTTCACAGGTGGTCATAAGATGGAACAGAAGAGAGTCCTGAGAAAACAAAGCATGTTATGGCCATAGGTCCTAGAAAGAGAGATGTGGCCTAGCACTTGAGGCCTTGTGAGGAAGCCTTAGGAGGATGTGAGCCCCAGCTTCATTAGGGTTCCTGAAAGAGGAATGATACAGGCAACAGGTGCTTTAGGATCCAGCAGTCCCGTCGTTCCTGTGGGCTGTGGGCAGAGTGGTGATGGCTGGTAAGGGATTAGTAACCAGTCTCCTGACCCTGAGATGAGGAAGAAGACTGTTGCCTAGAGTATATAGCAGGATAGAGAGGAGCTGGCTGTGGATCAGGTAGACCTGTTCATGGCTAGGCCTCCATGTCACTAGTGATTGGATAGATCAAGAGGAGAAAACGCTTTCTAGCCAGAAAGATAGCTTTTTTTCCTGCTTTTTGATTTATTTGTAGAATATTGAGACACAGTTGCATTGATTAGCTATCTTGTCACTGCTTCTTTTTTTTTTCCACTCAGGGTTTCATAGAGTTTGGGGTATAGTCACTTGGCCCCATGTTCCTAGGCAGAAAGTCATGTCAGAGTGAATGTATCTAAAAGGAATTTTTTCTTCATGGTGGTCAGGAAGCAGAGGGCCAAACAGGGGGAGACTCCACATTTGCTTTCCCTGTGAATCTGCTCTTTTTCCTCTGTCATTTATCATTAGCTGACCTTGCATTATACAATTCCAGATTACAAGGTGGAAGGAAGGAAGAAATGGAAGAAGACGGGATAGAGAGAGGGAGGGAGGGAGGGAAGAAAGAAGGAAGAGTAAAGAAAGATGCTATTGGGTGGCTGATAATACGACAATAAAGCATATTGATTGAAAATTCATACTTGCAAAAGATATTGTTTTAGAAGTGCAATATTCAGCAACCATGGAAATTGATATTAACATCAACTTTGAAGTGTTCATGTTTCACAAGACTGTGACCTTTCCTTTTCTCTCCTGTGATATGATTTATCCTCCTAGGGGCTAGTACAGACTTCCAGGAAGCAGGACCAAGCCTGAGTGCTGAGGAGAGTGCCAATTATGGGGACAACCTGCTGGGCCCTTTCCTCCAGACAGGCAGAGCAAAGCCAACTCTCATGATCGACTGGCCCAAGGCCCTGGTCAGCCAAGCTGTCTTCCATGGCTACACCACATCAGGTATGAACATACTCTTTGCACCTTGAAACTCACAGCCATTTCAAAAGAGTTCGGGAATCTGCCCTTAAGTTCTCCCAAGAGAGAAATTCCTCTGTCTTAATGGATGAGTGGAACCATCCAGCCTTTTCAATTCATGTTTCTCCTTCTGTGGACAACAGCCTATGGCTCTGTCTCTAAGGATGTTCCATAGGAATCCTCAGGTACAGATCATCAGGGAGCTTCGAATCTGACTGGCACCCCGACACATGGCATCCATCTGTCTCTATGACCTGACATAGAATAGATGAGCCATTTACATTTCCTGTGGGGAAGATGAATTGCTAACCTGTCTCCCTGAGCATAGGCATGTTGGTTTGTCTGCTCTGGTGGGTCACTGTCTGATGAGTACATGTGAATAGGTCACCCCACATAAGCCTCGTAGGGAAGCTATGGATTTCGTACTATTTTTAAGGAATTTTCTCCTCGTTCTTTCCAATCATCTGTTTTGTGTCTTGGATCTCTCCAAATGTTAAGGAAGACTAAGCAGGATGGGTCAGCAAGTCAAGAGTAAAGAAATTGCCAGGCAGTAGTGGCACAAACCTTTAATCCCAGTACTTGGGAGGCAGAGGCAGGCAGATTACTGAGTTTGAGTCCAGCCTGGTCTACAGAGTGAGTTCCAGGACAACCAGGACTACACTGAGAAACTCTGCCTTGAAAAAAAAAAAAGAGTAAAGAAATTTTCATAACAAATATTCTACAAAAACTCAATTTGTTAGTCATACTTTAACAGATAAGTCAAATTTATAAAAATAAAAACTCAAACACTGAGCTTACTGTAAAGGCACAAAATGAGATCTGACTAGCATTCTCTAGTCACTAGGAAATCTACCTCATTTCTGAGCTGGGGGGAGGGAGTCCACCTTGATACTGCTTCTGTGGGGCAGGGATGACCTGGAGATGGGAAGGCTGGTAACCAACAAACTAATGTCATCCCAAGTATGAGCACAGCATGTAACTGGTGCTAGAAACCTGCCCGACCTTCACAGATATTTCTGTGGGACACTGCATCAGAAAAAGATCAAAGAATGATGAGCTCTGGTCTTCTAACTCTGTCTTACTGTTCTGGGGGCCAGAAGGTAGTAACTTCCGGAATTTAACTCTCTCTGGCAATTAACTCCTGTTGTTAGCAGCAGGGGATTAGGTAAAGAAATTTTAGTTGCTAGGGCTTTTTTCTCTTTGGCTCAAGTACCCCTTACTGGCCAGCCAAGAGACTTGGAGTTCATTAACTCTTAGTGAACCAGAGAGAAAAGAGAAAATGAAAGAAGGAAAAGAGAAATAATTCATGCACACACACACACACACACACACACACACACACACACAGACACAAACATTCACTCACTCTGGGTGGAGCAGAAAAAGAAGCTCCAACAACCTTTATTTTCTGTTCTCAGTATATATACTGTCTCTTAAAACTTACCTCGTACAACTCTCAGGCAGAACTGTTACAGCAGGATAATTGATTACATGATTTTTCTAAATACTTTTACATTCCAGTAAGTTCATAGTACGTTTAAGGCAACAACTCATCTCATAAATTGGTAAGACTTAAACAATAACAGCAGAATTGTTTACATGCTTTTTCATTAAGACTAGTATCTCACTAAACAGTCATTATTTATTACCCCATTAGGTCATTATATGTTTAAAGCAATAATTTTTATGTCACAAGTTAGCACAGTTTTGTCAAGAGACAAATCATCTGCCTTGTGTCTTATTAGTTCTGAAATTCTGTATAGATAAACTAATGAATATTTAATTTTTTGTCCTTGCATCTACAATAAATTCTCCAGTCTCAGTTTTTGACCTTTAATTACCAGGTAATGGTCTCATACCTAACCTAGAACGAGTGTTTTCCTTGATTGTAAATTTGTTCCAACCCTGCTTTCTTTTTCTAATGCAATTATCCTATTATACTATATTATTAGCTTTTATACTATTATAGAAGACTTGAAATTACTTGTATAAATTTAGAAATTCTATAAAATCATTATTAGGAATTATGAAATCATCAATTTGTCTACGCATCATTATGACCTGAGAGTACATCTTCATGTAGATCTACAGAAAATCTTCCCAATATGGTGGGCTAATGACCAGGAATCATCAGACTCTATAATAGTGACAGGAAAAGGCATATCAGTAGCAAGAAGAAGCAGTTCTGGGATGAAGTCTCTTGGGACTTTGATTCATAGAGTTCACTCATCACAGGCCATGCAAAAAAACTATAGGCTATCTCCAGAAAATTCATTTTCTTGTCTTTAGCCTTTCATATACGGCTTCTGACAAACCAGGGTATTATTTAATCCTTCACCCCTGGAACAAAGGTGGGGCCCTCTTCTGGGAGCCTGCTGACTACCATATCATGTGGACACTTCCCTTTTGTAGGTATCATGGGAACAGCTGTGACAATAAAACCATTCTCACTGAGGAGTGGTGAGATGTATGTCTTACAAGCTTCTGTAGGTATGTCAAGGTAAAAATTGGATCTGGTGTGGGGAGCCATGAAGGCTTGTGTCATTATTAAACTTTTCCCTAGAAGTAATAGTGACTCTCTCCTGTAACCCTTTGCTCTGGGCCCCACTTCTCTCTTCTCCCCTGTTTCCACCACCCTATTATTTTGCTACTAAGATTGGTTGTTATGATGTTCTCCTCCTAGTGAAATCAGGTGCATTAGAACCAGGTAAATGGTGATCAGTTGCTGTCCATCTTGTATATTTGATTTTTAGCTAGATACCTGAGTAAGTCAGCTCTTTGCATATATTTAATCACAACGAGGTATCATCGACATTTTTCTGAGTGCTCAGTGTAGACTAGAACTTACCCACAGGGTTTCCTTGCCCAGTGTCCCCCAACTCTTCCTGCATTTTTTATGATTAAATCTGAGACCATTTTTTTGGGGTAACTCCTAAACATTCCCCTATTTCTGGAGACTTACAGTCCTATTTAACAAGCATGGAAGACTCAATCAATATCCAGGATTGACTCTTTATTCACATTTTTGTTCTGCTTAGAGCCCAACATGAGCCAGGTATAGTAGCCCAGCTGTAGTAACAGTAGTTGGGAAGCAGAGAGATAAAGATTGCAAGTTCAAGGCCAGACTCTACCTCAAAGCAAAAATAGATAAACAGAACTTACTGTGCACTTCCAGTTTTGCCTCTTGTGTTTGTATATACATCATTCAAGGAAGAAGCACAAGGCATGTTGTTTTCTGATAATTCATGGACAGGCTCTTTTGGATTCTCACTGCTGCTATGACCCTCTGCTAGCCCTGTCCAAATGCTAAGGCCTGGGTCCCTGCTTCTGCCACACAGAGACAATGCTGGCTTCTATTATAATGGATGCCTTTGTTTTTCAATTGCTCATGTGGTATACTCCCTCCACCCCTAACCCCCACACAGCCCTAGTTTTCTCTTAGGCCATATCCTCTCTTGAATCAGGAAATCCCTGAGATTCTTCCCATGGTCCCCGGGTCCTGTTCAGTGTCCTCTGCCACCCTGGAGAGGTGAGCTCAGCCTCTAGGTGTCTTGCTCAGCTGTCTATCACTCAGCCCACACACACTTCTCTAACAGCTTCGCTCTCCTGTAATCTTCCATTACACATGTAGCTGTCTTTTCCTGTGTTTTTTTGGGGGAACACTCTTGTCCCTGTGTCCCTTTCTTAACTTGGTATGTAATTTATACCCACAGTTGTTAGCCCGAACCCCATCTTCTTCTTCAGGGATATGGCTGGTCATCAAGGCAGAACTAGTCACTCCATCCTATTGGGTTTCATTTGGGTTGAAGGGCCTATTTTCTGTAGTTGACATAGTGACATCACTATTAACAAAGGAATACAGGCAGTGTTCACCCTACCAGAGGCTGCATAAACAGTCCCCACAGGACTTGATGAAGATTCATACAATGTGATATAGAAAGCTCCAGCCCAGAATTTATCCTAAGAGTATGCTACTTTTAAAAAAAATTACAAATGATAATAATCATTGTAGACTGATTAATAAAGCAGAAAGTAGACAACATGGTGTTTAATTAGTGGGGAATAATAACTATGCCTGCTATACATCTGTTCAGAAAATTTTTAGGGAGATCTTTACAGCATATTCTAGACACAAGCTGAAGACATGGGAAATTGGGTGTATGTGTATGTATGTGTATACATATATATATGTGTCTGTATGTATATATGTTTATGTATATTCTTCACTATCATTCTTTATCCTGCCTGAAATACCCAACTTGTCCTTCTCTTAGCTTCAAAGCATGTCTTACTGGGCAAGGCTCAGCTCTACTTAACAGTCAACAAGGCTCCACAGGGCATGTCTTGTCAGGTGCGACCTCACCGTGGTATGGAGGCACATACCATCTTCAGTGTCTTCTGCATGTCGGGAAAACCGGTATGTGAGACCCCTTGTCTGTCCTGAGGAGTGCAGACAGCACTCTTGGAAGTCACAGGAGCTCTTTACATGGCGGGCTGTGGGCTGGGCCTGTCCTGCAATGTGGGGAATTTGCTCCTGCATGAATGGGTGGGCTTCCCTGACTAGAGAGAGCAGTCTCCTCATCAGAAACAGGGGATCCTTGCAGGGCTTTGCCAGGAAATCAGGAGGCTCTATTGCCCATAAGCATACAAGTAGGGAGTAGGAACCTCAGCCTGAGTCCCAACCCCAACTCCATGACTTGACTCTGACCTACATTGACCTAATTTGGGCAATGAAGGAATCATCGTGGTTTTTTGCGTAGGGTCTTGTAAGGCTTTGAGGAGAATTGGGTGTGAAGGTATTAAGGCTGCCTTTGAGATCAGGTGGCAGCACAGTAGGAGACTGTGAGTTTTCAGTCACTGTCCTCTGGCTATGGATAGGTACTACCTGGCCCTGCCCTGTTCTGCTCCGGTTCCTTTTCAGAATCCTTTCCTCATGCACAGAGAAGTCAGGCCTGGGACCTCAGCTTTCAGCACAGGGCATCTCCATGTCCCCACCAGACCCTCATGCCTCCATCATGCCTATCTGTAGAGAGCTGAGGCATAGGGCTGCTGTCACTGTGATGGTACTATAAAAGTCTGATTTGTAACTGTTAGGGAAGTGGTTCTCACCTTTCCTAATTCTCTGACCCTTTAATACAGTTCCTCCTGTTGTGGTGATCTCAGCCATAAACTTATTTTCATTGCTATTTCATAATTGTAATTTGCTACTGTTATGAATCATAATTAAATATCTGTGTTTTCTAATGGTCTCAGGCAATCCCTGTGAAAGGGTCATTAAACCTCACAGGGGTCACAACCCAGAGGTTGAAAACTGTTGTGTTAGGGGTCTAAAAACAAAATGAGCTAGCTGACCCAAGTGTGGAACCCTGCTTCATGTCAGAAGCTCTTTGGCTTAAGAGCAGAAGAGTCCCACGGTGCCAGGAAGCCTCTTTCAGGAAGCCTCTCTTTTGTGTGCACATGAGGAGGATTCAGGCACCTTGGTCTGGGGTGCAAAACATGACCAACTGTGGCCATGAGGGTAGCAATACACGGGATTGATTGGTGATTCCACCCACAGTGTATTCAATTTTCCATGTCTTTGCTCCTGTAATTGGATCATAGGACTTTCATTATGAATTTCATTACCGGATAGGAAACACTTCCTCACATACCCTGTACCGCGGACAAGATACCCAGTATTATTTTTTATTGCCAGCTGGTGATTCTTCAGACAATTACAAAGGTAAGTCATAAAGTCTAGCATGTTACTAGATCCACCTACATCTCTCTCCAACTTTCTCTCCTGTTTCTAAAAACTACGCATAATTTAAATGGCCTAGAAGTTAAGATAATCTATTACCTCAGTAAATGTAAGCCTGTTACCTGTCTTTTAATATAGAAAGAATATTAAAAACATTATCAGCAAACTGGGGTTTTTATATCCTAAATTACTTTTTTTGTTTGCTTGTTTGTTGTTTTGTTCTATTTTGTTTTGTTTTGTTTTGTTTTCCAGACAGGGTTTCTCTGTGTAGTGCTAGCTATCCTGGAATTCACTCTGTAGTCCAGACTGGCCTTGAACTCACAAAGATCTGCCTGCCTCTACCTCCTGAGTGCTGAGATTAAAGGTGTGTACCACCATCATCTGGGTTATATCTTAAATTTCAATCAAAATACAGATAATAAATACCAAAGAAAGCTCTTATAAGTGATTTAAGTGTGCAAGAATAGGATATTCCCATTTAAATAGTTCATACCTGCTGAATTTTAAATTTCTTATAGATGAAAACAAATTAAGGATTCCCTGCAAAAAACAAAACGGGAAGACTGTTTAGTGACAAAGTGGTAATCCCTGTAGTCAGCTTCCCATTAGGAACACCTGACAGCAGTGAGCTTTTACATTTCCTCCATGTAAAAAGGAAAGGCTCTCTTCCAGCTTCCCATTAGGAACACCTGACAGCAGTGAGCTTTTACATTTCCTCCATGTAAAAAGGAAAGGCTCTCTTTGCTTCCTGTTGGGGAGGGTTCAGTCGACAGCTGATTGCAGCTGTTGTGCTGGGTCTGCAGCAAGTACAGCACATCATGATGGGATGCTGAGAGGAGACCTGTGTACCTCACAGCTGGAAACAAAAGAATGAGAGAGAAGAACAACAGCCAAGGTCTCTGTGTCCCCTTTGATAGAGTGCCTCCACGACCAGAAGACCTCACACTAAAGTCCTGTCTCTCAAAGGTTCTCCAAACTCGCAACAGTATGAAGATAAGGGCTGACCCTTTAATATATGGGCCTCTGGGAAAAGTTCCAGATCTGAACTATAGCAATTTCAATCCAAATGAAGCCTGTGGTACCAACAGCTTTCTAACCTAAACCTTGTCCTGTGGTTTCTGACCAGTTCCAGTCCGGCACATGATGCTGGGCACCGTCTGAGCTCATGAGAGAAGTGACCATTGGACACAGGGTCTGGTTATACACAACACAGTCTGATGAAATCAGAAAATCTGGGAATTATCTGGGTTTTACTTTTGTTTTTAAACTTCTGTATGATTCTCATAGGCATGAATGTAAGTCAATAATGTAGAAGTTTCTTTGCTTGAGATAGTAAGATGATGTTAGCCTCTCTCTTGATTAATAGCACATTTTCTGCATTGGGGGCACTTATTAAAACTAGAACCTCCAGTGGCCCACACAATCGCTACTGGCTCAGAATCTTGGAGAAATGGCAGAGCCCAACATTTGAGCTTCCCAATGCACATGGCCAGTGCTCATGTCCTAAGAAGGACCGACATCCAAGTTGTCTCCAACCTTTCGTATTGGATTTAAGTCTCCTATGTAAATACCCAAGGTTCACATGTATGCTGAACTTCCTGTGTGGTACACACAACTGTACTTGTGGTTATCACCTAAACACAATGTCACCAGCTATGCTCCTCATACTTTTGAGCAGTGGTTCTCAACCTTCCTAATCCTGTGATCCTTTAATACAATCTGTCATGGTGTGGTGACCCCCAACCATAAAACTATTTTGTTGCTACTTCCTAATTATAATTTTCCTACTGTGATGAATTGTAATGTAAATATCTGATATACAGGATATCTGATATGCAACCCCCAAAGAGGTCACGTCCTACAGGTTAACACCGACTGCCTTTGGGCCTTTGTTACATGAGAGGATTCCTAGATCTATCAAGTAGCCATTTCTTGCTTGATACATATGGATGTTTTTGTGTAAACTTGTTCTCAGAATTCTTCTTTACCTTTTCCTGTTAAGTCTGCCTCTATCATTTAGGAACTAATCAAAATATGAGAGTCTGGACTGAGTGTAGTCCATGTCCCTGGTGCCCTATTTCAGCACTCCTTATGTTTTCAGTGGACAGCAGCGACATTCTGGGTGGGCAGAAATGGTCCTGCCTGACATGATCTTGTAAATGGATGATGATTTACCCCCTGCCTCCTGCAGCACATGGTGATGACATCTGCCTGTCTGTCCTCTGTGATAATGAGCATTCACTCGTCTGTCTGTCCTTTGTGACTCCCCTCATCTCCTTGTCTAATGAACATTCACTGGTCTGTCTCTACCTCTTTGACACCTGAGTTCAGTTCTCAGCACCCAGATCAGGTGGCTTATAACTGCCTATAGTCCTAGCTCCAGGGGATCCAGTACCTTCTTCTAGCCTCTAAGAGTACTTACACTCACATAGAAATAACTCTGACACATACATACATACATATACACATAATTAAAAATAAATCTTTATAAAACAAAAATAAACTCTCCAAAAATACTATTCAGTTGGTCATCTACTCCTAGGCATGGGGCCTGTACTTAGGTGTAGTTTGTATATCCAAGGAGATTCTATTGAATTTCTCCTTTGCAAGTTACCAATTGTAGCTTCTAAGCAAAAAAATGGAGGCTTGTGTCTACTTCCCCTCTCAGGGCTGAGATGTATCAGTGTAGTGCACACTGCCACAGTCATTGTGAATTCATATGTGTGACGATCCTGTTGTGTCTAGAAGGCCTTATTTCCTTGGTATCTTCCATCCCCTCTGATTCTTACACTCTTCCTACCTCCTCTTCTGCAGAGCTCCCTGAGCCCTGTGGGGAGGGATTTGATGGAGACATCCCATATAGGACTAAGTGTTCCGAGGTCTCTCACTCTGCACATTGCTCAGCTGTGTTCCATCGAGTGTAGGAAGAAGCTTCTTTGTATGACTGAGCAAGACTCTGACCACTGGGTATAGCTTTGGGCATTTTCTTTCTTTTGTTCTTTCTTTCTTTCTTTCTTTCTTTCTTTCTTTCTTTCTTTCTTTTCTTTCTTTTCCTTTATACATCTTTTGCTTACATATTATGGTTTCTGATTTTGTGGTTTTATAGGATATCTCTGTATGAAAATGTATATTTCTCTGTCTCTACATCTATATGTGTTTCTTGTGCTTTTTCTTTGGCTTTTTATATCTGTTCATTGTTTTGCCCTATTCAGATTTTTTGTTTTTATTTTTTCCTTCCTTCCTTCCTTCCTTCCTTCCTTCCTTCCTTCCTTCCTTCCTTCCTTCCTTCCTTTCTTTCTTTCTTTCTTTCTTTCTTTCTTTCTTTCTTTCTTTCTTTTTAAAGATACCTGTTTCCAAAAAGTGAGAACTAGGATGTGAATTGGTTGGGAAGATCTGAGAGGAGTTGGTGGAGTGTCAGCTGTAATCAGAATGTACTGTGTGAAAAAAAATCTATTTTCAATCAAAATAAGTCTTTAAAAGAGAAAAGAAAAAAGGAAAAGAAAAAAAAAGTCATTACCACCATAGCTCATGATTTTTCTTAACAGAGATTCTATTTACTGGTTTGTGTATAATGTGGGAGGGAGAACAGCTTGCTGGAGTTTTGCCAGCACTCTGTCCCCTGTCTCTATCACCTATACTATTCAGCTGCTGTTGGTATGTGAAGACTCTTCTCCACAGCTATATGTCTGGGATGACCCTACTCTGTCATCTTCCTTCACAGTCATTGTTTCAACTGAGATCACAGATGGCCAAGGCTCCAAGGTGCAGCCATGCACTGTGGCGATAACTGTGCTACCCCAGTACCATGGAAATGACTGCCATGACAAGGACCTGTAAGTAATAGGATACAACACAGACATCCTACAATAGAGTTTGTCATCCCTGGAGAGATGGTAAACAGCTACTAAAAGAACAACAGTAAATTGGCCTTCTCATGCTGAGCAAAAGCAAGGTTTTCCCACATGGGCCTGTTAAGCACCACTTACATGGCACTGTGCATGTGCGTCAGAGTCCACGATCCTCTTTCTTGTCTTTTTACACCATGTTTTAAACCGTGTTTTATTGCTGAATAATATTTGTTGAATTGCCTCACTTTGTTTACATACTTTTTTGTCTGTAGTAAGTCAGTGTCTTAGTTGGGGTTTTATTGCTGTGAAGAGACACCATGATCAAGGCAATTCTTATATAGGACAATATTTACAGTTTCTGAGTTCCATTATCATCATTGCAGAAAACATGACAGCATCCAGGTAGACGTGGTACTGGAGAAAGAGCTGAGAGTTCTACATCTCAATCTGGGGGCAGCCAGGAGAGGACTACTTTCCAGGCAGCTAGGTGGAGTGTTTGGTCTCAAAGTCCATCCCCACAGTGACATACTTGGCCACATGTACTCCAACAAGGCCACACCTCCTAATAGTGCCCCTCCATGGGCCAAGCATATTCAAACCACCACAGTCAGGTTATCATGAAGATTATCATGCAAGTACTGATGTGGCTAAGCATTTTTATTTCCTGAAGGTAGAATCAGTGGGTCATATGATATCTCTTGTTTAGCACTTCTACAGCATGGCATTGGTATTTCCACCAGTACTGGCGGAGGTGAGACGTTTTCCTCTGTGCTAACTGTGCTGGGAAACTGAAGTAATCTGGGAAGAGGAAATCTCAGTTGAGAAAATTGACCTATAGGCAATTGGCCTATAGGCAAGCCTGGAGAACATTCCCATGATTAATGATTGATGTTGGAAGATCCAGCCTACTGTGGGTGATGCTCTATCCACCACTCTGGGCAGGTTATTCTTGCTTTATATAAGAAAGCAGGCTGATCAAGCCATTGTGAACAAACCAGTGAACAATGTCCTTCCACAGCCTCTGCTTCTGTTCCTGCTTCCATATTCCTGCCTTGAGTTTCTATCCTGAATTTCCTCCATAATGGACTGTGACATCGAAGTTGTAAGATAAAATAAACTATTTCCTCCTCAAGTGGTTTTTGGTTAATGTTTTATCACAGCCACAGCAACAGAAACCAAACTGGGACGAATCTTAAATGTTAAGGTGGATTTTTTGAGTCTCATTTCTTTTTATTCCACAGATCTGGATACTCCTCCATGGCAGTCTTATGCTGCCTTAACTGCTATAATATTACGATTTTTTCCCATATTAGATATTGAACCCAGGGCCTTGTTGATGGTGGCCAAGCACTGCACCACTGAGCCACATACATTCCTGTATAGTAGTAAATGTTAAAGCTAAACTCATTAACTTTTTTCTTCTAACACTGACTCTTTCTGAGTCCTTGTCATTCCATTTAATTTCTGATGTCAACTTGTTGATTTCTGTAGAAACAAAGCAGAGCTGGCATGGTGTGGCCAGCTTTGCTTTGTCTTAGTCTGCTCCTCCAAGGACTCTGGGCCAGGGCTCTAGACACCTACTGAACAGGATATAAAAATCAAAATACAGTGAAAGCCAGCTGGGATTTTCATATATATTTTGTTGAATCTGTAGGACAGTTTCAGTAACATAGCTCTAAACAAGATTAACTCCTCCATAAATATAGGATACCCTAACTAGATTTTAATTTTTTTCAACAGTGTTCTATAATTTTTACTGGTTATTATTTTATACTTCTTTTATTAAATGTTAAATATATTTATAAGCATTTTCTTCCTCCTTTTAGAATGGGCTTTATTATATAGTCCAGGCTGATACTAAACTCACTTTATAGCCCAGACTATACTCAAACTGTCAATACTCAGCCTCCCTTTTGAGATGACAGGCATATTCCACTATGCCTAGCTGCATTTCATTATTTTGATATTATTACAAATGGGAATGTTTTCATAATTTTAATTTTTGATTTTTTATTGTTAGTGCATAGCAATACAATTGCTTCTGTATATTGTGTTTTATGTATGACTGCTGAATGCGAGCAGTAGCTTGACTTTAATTTCACTAGATATTTATGTCGTAGACTAAGTAACAATAGTTTAGTTTTTAGTGCGCCCTCTGGGATTTTTCTATACATAAGCTCTATCACCTGTAAATGCAAATAGCTTCACTTTTTTTCTCCCAGTCATGCTTTTAATTTCATCTTCTTCCTTGGCTAGCACATCAAACTTGATGATGAGCTGAGAGACAAGAGTAGGCATCCTGGTCTGCTTTTCTGTTTTAGAAACAGTACTGAGCCTTTTGACATAGAATATGGCACAGGCTGTGTGATTTTCACAGTTATTCATTACTGGGTTGAGGAGATTCTATTCTGTTCCTAGTTGGTTCAGTGCTTTGAATCATGGGAGCATGCTGGGTTTTTTAAATGCCATTGCTAAACCTAATGTGATTATGTGGGATTTTTTCATTTATTCTGTGAAGATGTTACTGTCATTTGGGTATTTTTATTCTTCGTAAAAGCCATATTAAGGTTTTCTTTCCAGGTATCAAATTTATTTCAAGGTATCAATGTAGAACAAGTCCAAGACAAGAGGACTTTCCCCTCATAAATAGGATTACTAACCTTGCAAAAGGGACTAGAATGATCAAGCTAGCCTCCTCTCAGCTCTCATCTGCTGCAATGTGAGACCAGACTCTTCCCTAAAGAATAATGTAGCATAAAGCTGCCACCTTAGAGGGAGAGAACAGCCCTCAGCAGATATAAAACCTGTAGGTCCTTCATCTTCACACTCACAGCCTCAAAACTATAAGAAATGAATGGTCTCTTAAGTTAACAAGTTACAAATATTTTGTTCTAACCGCACAAACAGACATAAGTTACAAGTCATCAGTTTTTTTTTTTTAATGGAGTCAACTTTTTGTATTTCAGGAATAAATCCTGTGTGTCCATCTAATCCTTCTCTGTATTGCTGGACTTGGGAGACTTGTTTTCTCTTGAGAAGTTTTGTGTCTCTACGCTTCAGAGATACTGACCTGCAGTTTTCCTTCTTGGGATGTCTTGGTCTGGCTATGGTATTAGGGGAAGGCTAGCCTTGATCAGCCTGTAAATATTCTGAGTTGTAATATCTGGAAGATTTTGCAAATGGCAGTTACTAATTCTCTAATCATTTGATAGAAACTGCCAGTGAAATCATTTGAGTCTGGAGGGTTCTTTATTGGTTTTCATTAATTTAACCTCATTATTTTATTGTTGTTTCTTCTTGAGTCAATATGAGTTGTTTCTTTCTTTAAGAATTTTTTTCATTTTAGTATATTCTCTAGTATTTTTGTGTACAGGATTTTTTAAGGGATAAATTCTCCATTGCAATAGTTTTATATCCACTTGTCCAGTAGTACTTTGTAAAAGTGACATCCCTTTATTTGCTCAGCTTATTCTAGGCCCTGTAGTGTCCCCAATTAGAAGCCCCAGTCCAAATAGTGTACATTTGATTCTTTGAATAATTTATTTATTTCCTCTTTACCTCTCTGTTTGTCTGACTATCCCATCTATGTTGGAGTTTTGCTTGGCTTGATCTTGTGTAGGTCTTGCACAGCTTCTGAGTTCATGATTGTGACAGTCATGTCATGTCTAAAGACAGCACTTCACAGCGCTCCTCCCTATCCTCCAGCCCTTACTTTCTTTGCAACTCCTCTTTCACTGTGTTTCCTAAGCCTTGTTGGTGCTGTGGTTACCACAGATGTCCTGTTCAGGGCTGAGCACTCATCCTCTTAGCACATTGACCGATTATGAATTTGTAACTTTCATATTTCTAGTGACTTGGCCCATTTTATCATTACAAAGTCTTTCCCTGGATCATTAAAACTTGCTTCTCTCTTTCTTTGTTTATAGCTCAATATAAGTATAACCGTTCTTGGTGCCTTATGGGATTTGTCTGCAGTGGTGCCTTTTTCTTTCCTAAACTTTCAATCTATTTTTATTCTTGAATATAATTTATGTGTCCACTACATAAAGATAGTTAGGTATAATTTTGGAACAGTCTTATCTCTAAGTTTTGACAGGTATGGATCAACATTATCATCACATAGTTGAGTTGTTCATTATTTGCTCTTCTACATCTTAAGATGATTCTGTCCTTCTTTTTCTCCATTATCACCTCTTTTTCTCTTGAATGAGTATATTATTATAAGGTGCTACATTAACATCTTTCATCATTTTAAAATTTTTTCTAAACTTTTATTGTTTGCCCAAGGTCTTACAATTTCCATCTTAACTTACAAAAAACTACTGCAAATTGTTCACTTAATTTCCATAAAGTATAAAAATGTCACTTCTATTTGGTTCTATTTCCACTTACTTTTTTTTTTTAATTTATTTTTTCTCAAATTGTAATTCATTCACACAGGGGTTATAAACACAGAAAGGCAGGATGTGGGGAAGGGAATGACAATGGAGTGTGGGTGTTCAGGGGGAATACAGATATTTTCAGAACCGGGTATCGGCTGGGTGGAGGTTCAGGGGACAGGTCACTATGACTCTGCCTATGACTTGCTTGTCCTTATCTAAGCTGGTATTGTCTGCCAAGGCTACCTATTTACAAGGTCTATGACTACTCAGGCTGGTAAATTTCCACAAAAGCTGCCTGTTTACATTAGCTTATAGTTTCAATGTTTTTCCACAGAGACCCAAGACTTGGTGTTAGTATACATGTATGACAGGCCTATTGCTAATTTTAGGCCTATGGCTGATTTTAGGCCTTCAGTGTGTAAGCAGGGCTGCCCCTGACATCTCCTCCCTTCTCTAAGTATAGAAGGACTGTGGCAATTCTAAACTTGCAAAGGTGGGGATAGAGGCCTGACCTCCAGTATTTGAAGGGGACCTTGTAATGGCTCCAGTCCCCCTGTCGTTGTCCAGTGAGGCATGAGGGCCATACCCGTCCTGATGTCTTTTTCCTGGAGAGGGGATACTTTTGACATCAACCCCTATGCAGTCAGGCTTGTCCCTCAGGGAACCCAGATAGATATTTTTACCTTTTATTTATATTCCCTTGCAATGCTTAGCCTTGCAGCCTAAGCAAGAATTCAGATCGCCTGACAGAGGGGGTTCTGGGTGGCCCCTCTCTGCTTGGTCTAGGGGCAGAAGTCCCCCCTTTTAGGTTGGGTGGAGATGGGTTTTGGGAACACCCTGTATAAAGTAACAACCTCATCTTGAGTCTCATGGTCCTCCATAGCTAACTTATGATAATGTATCTGAGTAGGTTTTGCTACCAAATTATTTATCTGTTGTATCACAGAGTTAGTCCACCTATTTGAGAGCCAGGGACCAGCAGAAAAAAGCAAAAAGAACCCAAATAATGGTGCCAAGATGGGAGGAAATAGGGTTGACAACCTTGGAGAGGCTGAAAACCAATTCTTGTACCAGCATTCATCTCTCTCTCTCTCTCTCTCTCTCTCTCTTTCTTAGGGCCTTCACTAGCTATTTCATGCTCTCTTTAACCCTCCTTGTCTTGTCTATGTAAAGGCAACCTTGTTCTTTAAGGGCTGTACACAGTCAAGAGCTGTACACAGCCTTTTCTATTGTAAAAGAGTAAATCAAGTCCAATAAGGATCTTTGTGATTTTAGGAGGTCTCTTCAGACAGCAAAATGAGGGATTTCTTCAGATTAGTGATGTCAATCTCTAGCTGTTTGATGTTCTTGTCAGTGGCCCTTCAAAGGTCTGAGTAGTGTAAGTTCGGAGGCCAGCATCTGGATTAGAACTTCTAACAGCAGACATCACGGGTGATTCATTTTTACCTGGGATGCTGCCTGAGTTCAAGCTCCTGGGAGTCCCTCTTTAGCTCGGTTTTCTGGGGTTGGGTGCAGAGCTGCCGCCTGTGACCTGCTCTATGCTTGGGCCCAGACCGGAAGTCCCTCCACTTACTTTTTATGGAAGTTTTTATCATTCATGCAATATAGTTTATGATTTTTAGTGCTGTCAACTTGATACAATACACAGTCACCTGGAAGATGGGCCTCTCGTTGGGTCTGTGGAAGATTTGCTTAATTACATTAATCAAATGGGAGTGCCCCATCCACTGTGGAGGGATCATTCCCTAACTGGGAGTGAAACAGCATTGGTGTTCATTGCACCTACTTCCTGATTGTAAATCTGTTGTGAATAGTTGCTTCAAGCTTTTGCTACCTTGATTTTCCCTCCATGGTGGACTATACCCCTTGAACTGTGAGACAGAATCTTTTCTTTTTAAGTTGCTTTTATCAGAGCAACAGGGAAAGAAACTAATATACAATGTTATAATTATTATTTTATATAGTCTACTATTTCTTAAAAATAGACAAAGGGAGGGTGTAGTGTACATCAGAGGCAGTTTAAGGTATATTAATTTTTTTCTTGGTTGTCTTCAATAGATTCCACTTGCTGTACAGGATCATGTCGTCATTCCAATGCTTCATTCCCAGATTTCTTTTCAGGCTGTGACTATTATACCACACCACTGCCTGTTATAGACTCAGTCATACATTTTATATGCATTATCAATGAACTTAAGAAAGAAAAATTAAAATTTGTGAATTTGCCATCCAGCATTCTATACATCTCTGCTCATTTCCTCCTCTCTTCCTGCTCATTGTTCATCGTCTCTATTGTTCTGTCCCCAATTGTTTTCTCAAATTTACTTTTCAGACTCTATCGTGAATTTCATTATTGTGCCTGTAGCTCCAGAAATCTCGTTTGATTTTATAGCAAGTGTATGGCTTTTCTTTCTTGCTATTCTATATTTGATTAGTCACCATAATACCTTTATTGAATCTTCAGAATTAGTTTTCTTTAGTTCTTTGAACATGTGATTCCTGCTTTGAGGTCTCTGACTGGTCCATTATTTGGGTTCCACAGAAAGTTTCTCTTTTGTGTTATTTTTCCTGTGTCAGGTTGAACTCTAAGTTTCTTTTGTAGTCTCATAAGATTTCATTGGAAACTGGGTCTTTTATATAATATACTGAGGCTCTTTGTGTATGGGGCCCTCTTCCAAGGCTTTACTCTGGCTGCTTGTATTTACTGCTGTTTTTTTTTTGTATGTTTATTGACTATGAATCACATTTTCCATAACTGTACAATTTGTGCTGTTCTGCTCGGACTCATGTGTGGTTCTCTGTTTTGCTTCCTACAGTCTTTAGTCATTTGCATGTCACCTGTGTTTAGTATAGGATTCATTGCTCACCAAGCATTTTTATTTAGTTGGAGTCTGTTTTACCTTTGGAAATTCAGGCTGAGTTATTTGGGCAAATTATGTCTTGCTGTCATAGGACAAGAACAGTGTAGAGCAAGGGCTGGTAGAGGCATTGACCTTATGCACAGAGCTCAGTCCAAGACATTCATGTTGCATTCATAAATAACCAAAATGCCCAGTTATTAAAATCTGAAGACATAAACTTATGATTTTACACTCAGCTACAAATATGTTGTCCATTTCCATGCTAATTTGGGTCTATAAACTATGAGCTCTTAATGGTTAGGCTTCCTGCTCTACCTCAGCCAGCTCTAGCTAATGTGTCTTTGGCTCTGGGCCTCACATTTTCATTTGTTGTGATGTTCCTACATTGGTTGGTACCCAATTGACATCTTGTGTTTTTTTCAATTCTAGTCAAAGGTGATGTGTTATTAAGATTTTTGTCGTGTTTCACTATGTGTTTCCAGTTTCCCTAGACAGACCACCTCACCCTCATATCATTCTCCTTTGGTTCAGATCTACTCAAAAACAAACTCCATTCCCCTTTTGGCAGAGTAAAGTTTTATTATGTCATCAAATCATCACCATAGTTCTATGTTTTCTTCAGATATAACTCCACCCTGGAAAACTTGTCTACTCTCCAGCTGGTGGGAAGTTACATGGAAATCAGGAACTACATTACCATGATCACTGGGATCCTGAGCCACTTGTATATGGAGAACAGAAACACTTCTTCGTGTGGTCAATGGTCACAAATACAGGATGTATTAATTTCTTCAGCATGCAACCTACCTTATACAGATCAGGTAATGGCCTTGAACAGGGAGAGGTCAGTGTCTATAAACCTAGACAGCAGCAGGGCTCCTGTTTATAAAATCCAGGCAAGAAAGGAAACCAGGCAGCTAGGTTCTTGTGAGTACTTCTACTATATAATAGAAAAAGTGATACAAGGCAGTTATCATTATATATAATTCTCCTAATGTTTCTATGAATAAAATAGTTATAAATCTGATTTTTTATTCTGTAAACCATAAGCAAATGGATAAAATAAAAATTACAAGCAATTTCTTTTTCATAAAAATCATTTTTTAAGTTTTAAAAGATTTATTTATTTCACAAATGTGGGTACTTTGCCTGTGTGTATATCCATGTGCCACACTCATACCTGGTGCCCATAGAAGCCAGAAGAAAGTATGAGATCCCCTGGAACTAGAATTACAGATGGCTGTGAGCTACCATGTAAGTGCTGGGAATTGAACACTGGTCATCTAGAAGAACAGTACACTTAATAAGTGAACCTCATCTCCTGCCACAAGTACAACTTCTTGGTAAATGACCATAGACTCAAAGGTTACTGCCTTTACAGAATTTCTGCAGCTTTGCTTTATACTGGTCACCAGAGGACATTTACGTCTACAAAAAGCATATTTTGTTTCACTAGAATTACAGGATACTCTTCTAACCTAATCCTTTTCCTTCCTCTGACACTTTCTCTGCAACTTCTTCCAAGTTCTACTTAGCGTTGTCCCTTTATTTCTGCTTCTATTATGTCAGTTTCCTACAGGGTCTGGTGAGGCTGCCAGAGGCACACCAGAGTTCTGTTGGACTGGAAGGAAACTTTGAGACCAAGGTCATGGTCTTGCTCATAGAGGTCTAGGTTCTATGAAGCCTCTTCATAGAAAACACAATATGTGCTCCATTTCTTTATAAGCAAGCTGCATTTGAAAGAATGAGTCTCTCTCTCTCTCTCTCTCTCTCTCTCTCTCTCTCTCTCTCTCTCTCTTGCTCTCTCTTGCTCTCTCTCTCTCTCTCTCTTGCTCTCTCTTACTCTCTCTCTCTCTCTTGCTCTCTCTCTCTCTTGCTCTCACTCACTCTCTCTCTTGCTGTCTCTCTTGCTCTCCCTCCCTCCCCACCTCTCATGATGGCTTGATGGTTGATGGCTTGTTTCTGCTATTTAGGAAGCAATGATGGATTCTATTCATATATTGAGAGACCTCATAAGCTTCCCTAATAAGGTAAGTGCTATTTCTTCCTCAGTGTATTTTCCTGTATTTCATGTGATTATAAGGACCATGATTAGGACTGATAAATGTACTATTCAGAATTATATTTTGACATTGAAGTTGGAGACATTTCCAGCTTTCTCTCCTGGTGACCTCCTCTTGTTTATTAGTCTTAAGTCAGTGTGATAATATCAGACCCTGTATTTCATACCCTCAGCCCAATCCTCTCTCAAGAGCTGCAAATCTCCCCCTCATTTCCAATTTCAAAGCCACTCATTTCCTCCCTTCTTCCTTTGGCTCAAGGCAGGATAGTACTGATACCCAGAATCAAGTCAAAACACCCACGGTCGCCCGAGCATCCTTTGTTTTCTGCACCCAACAAGTATAATGGAACTAGAGAGTTCTTCCTTTAAAAAAAATTAAAAGTGACCAGAACCTCCCTGTCTCTTCCACCTCTCCTATTCCCCACTGACCCACAAACTGACCATCTTTCATGCAGGGTGGGTATCTCTGTCAACTTGAATAACACTTGCCACAGTGCTAATCAGAACATTATTATGGAAAAGCCTCAATCAGTCACTTTCTCTCTCTTAATACAATTGTAGCTTTGTGTTGCACATTCAGTAACCCACAGGCATCTCACCATGACCTTCATGCTTTGGTTCCTTCTGACCCGTACTTTCTTCACCTGGTCTTTGTCTCCTTCATCCAACCACACTCTTGGGTTATAGTGGCCCTTAACTAGAATAATTGTCTTTGTCTTATGCTGTGCCTTTGGCTCTACAGAGAGCTGAAAGTGGTCTTTGAACACTTAGCTCAAGTGTTTCTTCCTCACAGAAGTCACCCTGTACCCTCACTCCTTACTGCCTGGGTTATCTCCTTTGGTACTTTAGTACCTAGTGACTGTCTTGTTTGTTTGTTTGTTTGTCTGTTTATTGCTCTTTTTTTCCACCACTGGAGTGTAAGTGCCATGACAGTGGAGAAACAGGAGTGGAATGCATGAGAGACAATGGGTGGCCCTGTCACATTTCTGCAGTTCTTCCTTTTAAGTCTTCCTCTTGAACACTGAGTAACAATCATATCCAAGCTGGGGAGGAAGACTGGGCTTCCTGTGACCATCTACTCCTCTTCTCTTACAGACTTCCCTTCAGAAAACACATCTGGTCATGTCACCTGCTCTTCTCAGATGCCTGATGGCTCCCTACATTAGAGAGAACATTAAGACTCTCTGCACAGTATCCAAAGACTTTACCTGGCCCAGCTCTGTACCTCCCCTTGCACACCATCTATTCTAGGTTCTGTCATCCTAGATATTTCTCATGTTCTTGAAATAGTTAAGTTTTTTTTTTTAACCTGGAACAAGTTACTTCTTGTCCTTTGAGAATATTACTTTCCCATCAAAGCTGGTTTCAAATGCCATAATCTCCCTGAGATGTCTAGGGATCTGATAGCAGAGTTCATTTGACTCCCCATACACATAGCACTTGAACAGGAATTGGGAACATATCAGTCTTCTAACTCTAGATCTCCCAGGATACGAGCTGTGGTTAACTAATGCAGCTGCTTTACGTAGCAACTGAACACAGAGAAGGTATTTTGTGACTGTTCCTATCATGGAGACTCAACCTCCCCTCCTTTAGTCTCATGCCTCTGAAATCTTCATTCTATGGCTCCCCAATTAAGAGAAGAAGATCATAAATATGCCATTTATCAGTAATGTCACCTTGGAAGTAGCAAGCCTCATTCCACACTCCTCATTATCCTCATGAATTCTGCACATATGGCCTCCCCTGAACTCAAGGTCCTGGGGTGTGGAGTTTCTACACAGACATGGCTTCTCAGAAGGGGTGACTGAGAAAGACATGTGTCATTGACTACCTGCCTCTATATGTATGTGTGAACACACACACACACACAAATAAACTTCAAAAAAGTTCACTTCCAAACTAGCTTATCTTTATAGTTTTAGAGAAAATTTATTTTTAAAGCTATCTCTAAGCCACTTCTCTTTATTAGATAAATAATTGTGAGCATAAGAAAACAGAATCTACTCTATTTCACCACATACATTTGCTTAGCAGCTTCTAGAAGCTACTAAAGACCAAAGGAGGAAATACTTAATCCTTGTCTTGTAGACATTGATGAAAGAAATTAAATGTGGAAACAACCATCCTTTGAATATGGTGCTAAGCACTGTCATTAGAAGAGGGACATGATTCAACAGAAGCATAGGGGAGAGTTCAGTTAACTCCAATAGATGTTAGGAGTTATTGGTTTACAAAAGGAGTAAGATAGAACCATGGCTCTTTTAACTGTGGTGTAGTATAGAATGTTTGCCCAATGAGTCCTTCTCTGTCAGTTTACAGACTGAAGTATTCATTGATAAGAACAATAGCTAAGATTTTGCATTAAAAGAAAAGGAATCTGAAGAACAAGAAAAGATGCTGCCTAGGGGAGGGAAGGTCCCATGAGCACCATCCTAGCTGAGACCTGTAGACATTTGATGTCTTCTAGAAAGGGAGAGTCAGTTTTCTTTAAGGGTGAGCCCCCTGATAGGTTGACCACACTCCAGTGGATGACTCCACACCCTTTAATACTTGAGTAGCACAAATTGGGCTGAGTGAAGCTAGGGTGGTGGTAGGTAGATGTCAGCTTAATTAAGTAAAGGGGTGGGTGGGGGTATGATCAGAATACATAATATCCATATATAAAATTCTCAGAGCATCAATAGATGTGAATTAATTTTTAAATTGCTGCTAGTGAAGGATAACTGTTGAAGGAGAGTAGCAGATATGTAGTGACGTGAGCCTTACCCTCTCTACCTTTACAAACATCGGGAAATTTTATATAGTGAAGATGTATAAAGAGAGAGGCAGGGAAGGAGGGTTTTTCTAGGCAAACAGAGAACAAAGATATGACAAGCAGAAGAACATGTGTGATAATAGGAGAAAGCCTTGGTTATAAGAGATGATAAGAGTTCAGTATGGCTTGAGCACAGATCACACAATAGTGATGGAGAGAATGAAGAATATGGAATGATGTTGGGGCCAATATGTCAAATGATTTATGACCTGATTTCCTTTTTAAGTGCATACCATCTTAAAACCTGAAGAGCTATGAGGGACCTTTTGTTTTTCTTTGGTCATGGTATAAATGAGGAAGCTGAATATCCCAGAACAAATGGGTACCTGGAATGTTGTCCACTCATCACCTAATAGCAAACATGAGCTGGACTCTGTCACCTCGACCCCATGCTGAATCATTTCAATCCCTAGTAATAGTGACAGAAGCAAAACTCTACACACCCCATGCCAGGGAACATCTGACCCCATCCCCTCTTCCCATGCAGTTGAGCTTGACAAGTGCCATGCGCATCTTCAAATACGCCCAGATGTTCCTTGCTCAAGGTCAGTTCTCCAGGAGGTTGCTGGTCAACAAACAACTAAGAGTTGAATTTGTCCTTCTCATCTCTGGAGTCTGGGAAGCTGCCAAAGAGGATTCGAGGGATGGGGACTATCTGCAAGAAGAAGGCATGAAGATCATCTCTGACATGTTACTAGTAAGATATTCTATCCACCATAGAAATGCCTGGGTGTAGCTCAGTGGTAGAACATGTGTTTGGAATGCACAAGACCCTTGGTTCCATCCCCATCAGATACACACACACACACACACCATGCATGGACACATGCATGCAGGTGTACACCAAAACAGCTGTTTCCCTTATCACTTACTTGTTAGCCTGTATTTGTGTCCCTTTTCCCAGTGAAAATTAGAGCAAGTTCCTAAAGAACTGAGCTGTGGTTCTCGGTGATAACTCAGAATTTGGAAATGTTCATTTGGAACGTTAAGTGTTTTGTGGCAGTAGTGTTCTGTTCTGATAGATTTTCATTTGGGATTTTTGGGACATACTTTGTCTTTTGCTGAATGTCATGAAATCACACAAATGGTTGCTTGCATACATTAACTTTAATATATATATATATATATATATATATATATATCCCTAGATGTCTAATTCATGTATTTCTGCTACAATGATTTGCAAAGTTGTCTCACCTACTTTATTTTAATCTTATGAAATGCCCAATGTTCTGAGGAAGCCATGAATTAGTAGTAAATGATTTTTTCTCCTTTCCCCCTGTCTTCTATCCCACCCACCCATGTTTGATGATTTATTTAACTAATAGCTATCAAAATACTTTGGAAAATATAGAGCAAATAATACTGTGTTTGAATCTGCAAGTCGTCATTATTGTTCATGTGCACATGTGAATATGTTTTGTATCTGACCTGTACTAAAGCCTTAAGCTTGTGTACACACCTACTGACATAAAGGTCTGTAACAGTAGGCATACTACCAAAGCTCTTCTTAGGAAATAGAATGCACCAAGGAGCATAGCAATCTTTTAAAAACAAATAAAACATCAGTAAAAATGCACCAAAACCGGAAAAGCCTATAGAGCATTTAGTATTATTGCTTTTTGTGTTCTGTATTCATTTGCTCGTTCACTTTGTAAGCATCCTGCTCACCATGGCCTCTGTTTTCAGGCCTGTCTCTCCTTGAGCCACAAGCATCAGATTCACATAAGCACCGGGAAGATGGAGTTCCAGACCCTTCTCCATCATAGCCCTCAGAGCTCTATCCAGAACCTAGGCTTTGTTCGGGTACATTTGCCCAGTGACCTGGCCTTGCACAGTCCTACTCAAGAGGAAACACAAAGCCCATGCTATATCAGCCAGCTCATGTTCTTCATGAAGAGTCCATATCCAGGGGGACACGCTTCTGGGCAGGTACAGGACAATGACACACCTCCATTTCCCATTAATTTATTTACTTTACATCCTAATCACAGCCCCCTTTCTCCTGACATCTTCCCCCAAAGTACTCTGTCATATAGCCCCTTCCCATACCCTTCTTCTTCTCCTCTGTAAAGAGGGAGACTCCTCTAGGGTACCAACACACTCTAGCATATCAAGATACTGCAGGACTATGTACATCTCCCACTGAAGCCAGACAAGGCAGCCCAGCTTGGCTAAAAGGTAGGCAACAGAATCAGGGACATCCCCTACTCCAGTATTTGGGGGACCTGCATGAAAACCAAACTCCACTTCTGCTACATATGTGTAGGGGGCTTAGTCTAGTTCATGTATGCTTTTTGGTTGGTAGTTCAGTCTCTGGGAGTCCCCAAGGGTCTAAGTTAGTTGAATCTGTTGTTCTTCTTCTGAAGTCTCAACTCCTTCTGGGTCTCTCAGTCCTTCCTCCAACTCTTCCACAAGGCCTCCTGAACTCCTTCTAATGTTTGGCTGTGGGTCTCTGCATCTGTTTCAGTCAGCTGCTAGATGGAGCCTGGATGGACAGTTATGCTAAGCTCCTGTCTACAAGCATAACAGAGTATAGTAGCAGGGATTGGTTCTTGCCTTTGGAATGGGTCTCAAGTGGGGCAATCAATCATTAGTTGACCATTCCCTCTGTATTTGCTCCATCCTTGTCTCTGAACTTCTTATACACAGGATAAATTTTAGGTCAAAGATTTTGAGGGCGGTTGGTGTCCTTATCCCTCTACTAGGAGTCCTGCCTGACTCTAGGAGGTGGCCACTTCAGGCTCCATAACCCCCATTGCTAGGAGTCTCAGCTAGAGTCACCCTCATAGACTGATCCCAGGTCTCCACCACTTCCCAGAGGACCCCACACACCCCTGATTTCCTTTTACTCACCAGGTCCTCTCACCTGGGCTCTCCCTACAACCTGATCCCACACCGCACACCGACCCACACCCCATCCCCTCTCCCACCCAGTTCCCTTCCTCCATCCACCTCTAATGACAATTTTATTTCCCCTTCTCAGTGAGATTCAAGCATACTCTCTTGGGCCCTCCTCATTATTTAGCTTCTTTGGGTCTGTAGAGTTTAGCATGTGTATCCTGTACTTTCTGGCTAATATCTACTTATGAGTACATATACTATACATGTATTTCCTGGGTCTGGGTTACCTCATTCAAGATGTTATTTTCTGGTTCCATCCATTTGCCTGAAAACTTCATGATATTCTTGTTTTAAAAGCTGAGTAATATTCCATTATGCAAATGAACCACATTTTCTTTATCCATTCCTTACTTGAGGGCCATCTAGGTTGTTTCTAGTTTCTGGCTACTGTGAACAAAGCTGTTATGAACATAGTTGAGCAAGGATATTTGTGGTAATGTGGAGCATCTTTTGGGTATATGCCCAGGAGTGGTATAGCTGGGTCTTGAGATAGAACTATTCCCAATTTTCTGAGAAACCACCAAATTGATTCCCAGAGTGGTTGTAAAGTTTACAATCCCACCAGCATTGGAGGAGTGTTCTCCTTGCTCCACATCCTCACCAACATGAGGTGTCACTTCAGATTTTGATCTTAGACATTTTGATGGCTATAAGGTGGAATCTCAGGGTCATTTTGATTTGAATTTCCCTGATGATTAAGGACATTGGCATTGAACATTTCTTTAAGTGTTTGTTGGCCATTAGACATTCCTCTGTTGAAGATTCTATTTAGCTCTGTACTCCATTTTTAAATTGGGTTATTTGGTTTGTTGGTGTCTGACTTCTTGAATTCTTTATATATTTTGGATTTTAACCCCTTGTCAAATGTAGGGTTGTTAAAGAACTTTTCCTATTCTTTAGGCTTCTGTTTTGTCTTATTGATAGTATTCTTTGCCTAACAGAAACTTTTCAGTTTCATGAAATCCCATTTATTAATTGTTGATCTTAGTGCCTGAGCTATTGGTGTTCTGTTTAGGAAGTTGTCTCCTGTACCAATGTGTTCAAGACTATTTCCCTTCTATTAGATTTAGTGTATCTGGATTTATGTTGAGGTCTTTGATCCACTTGGATGTGAATTTTGTGCTGGGTGATATACATGCATCTATTTGCATTATTCTACAGATAGACATCCAATTAGACCAGCAACATTTGTTGAAGATGCTTTCTAACCCCCCACCCCCCACATTTTATGGTTTTTGCCTTCTTTGTCAAAATCAAGATTCCATGTGTGGGTGAGTTTATTTCTGAGTCTTCTATTCTATTCCATTGATCAGAATTTCTGTTGTTATACCAACACCATGCAGTCTTTATTATTATTGCTCTACAGTATAGCTTGAAATCAGGGATGGTGATACTTCCAGAAGTTCTCTTATTGTACAGGATTATTTTAGATATTCTGGGTTCTTTGTTTTTCCAGATGAAGTTAAGAATTTTTCTTTCAAGGTCTATAAAGAATTGTGTTGGGGTTTTGATGGGAATTGCATTGAATCTGTAGATTGCTTTTGGTAAGGCGGCCATTTTTACTGTGTTAATCCTACCAATTCATGAGCATGGAAGATCTTTCCATCTTCTGATATCTTATTCAGGGACTGAAGTTCTTGTTATACAGGTCTTCACTTGCTTGGTTAGAGTTTATGCCAAGATATTTTATATTATTATATCATTGCTCTTAAAATTAACCTAGAGTTCAATCAGAACAAAACATGAAAAGGGGGTTCTGAAGAGCCACTGGAGCTTTCTCTCCCTCCACACTATAGAAGTGTTTGTGGGCCAACTCTGGTTAGTTTTGCAGAAGTCAGAAAGAACTTCCCAGCTCTTTGAGCTTTGATGTGAGCATCTACTTTCATAATCCACAAGTGCTCTTGGGTCTGTAGATACATTGATCAGGAAAGACAGAGAGATAGCATGCACCACACTCTTTAAGTCCTTTGCCTTCCAGCTCAGCTCAGTGGGTCTCCCCTCCCTCCCTCCTCTTCCTTTTTCTCCTCCTCCTCCTCCTCTTCTTCCTCATCTTCTTCCTTCTCCTCCTACTCCTTCTCCTCCATCTTCTCTTCCCCCTCCTTTTCCTTCTTCTCCTCTTCCTTCTTCTCCTCCTTCTCTTTCTTCTTTTATTAAAAATAAGACAAGGTCTTATTATGTACCCATTGGAGTCACACAGACTCACCTATCTGCCTCCTGGGTCTACGGGCTTGCACCAGCACACCCTCCTTTTTATAAGAGCTCTTAACATTTATTTTTTACTTAAAACATTATCATTTTAGCAAGGAAAACATACAAGAAGCATTAAATCCCACCCTTTACCCCACACCCACAAATTCTGCCAACATACCTTGTTAAACTCATTTTGTTTGATCAGAACTGGAAAAACACTATAGCTCCAATTACTTCCTGATTTTCTCTCCCTCTTTTTTGTGGGGGGAGGGTTAGTTTAGTTTGGTTTGGTTTGCTTTGATTTTTAAGACAGGGTCTCTACATAGCCCAGCTATCCTAGAACTCACTATATAGATCAGGATGGTCTCCAGCTCACAGAGATCCCTCTGCCTCTGCCTCAAGGGAGTGCCAGGATTAAAGGTATGCGCCACTATGCTGGCCTCTCTCTTTTTGGGTCAACTGTTGGCTTTACTTTCTTTTTGTTTCCCAAGGTGGGTAGTGTCATGAGCCCTAGGCTCTATAGCTGCAAGAGCAGACGACCTATCCTCAGAGGACTACTGGAGACACCCATGACTATGGAGTTTGGGAAAGAAGACCACCTGGTAAAGATGACTATCCCACTCACTGCCTCTGCTTCATTCAGGCTGGGCTGGCTGTTTTGTAATGCACTTACTTCTCCCAAAACAAACTTGGCCTGACTTGTTTTCTTTCCAATGACAGCACAAGAGAAATTCAGCCATGTTTGTATTGCTTCGAGATGAGGTGAACGTCCACCGGTTCACTGGGCTTTCAGAAAACTCCCAGGAATCTTTACAGATACACATCGAATTCTCTAAGCCTGTTACAAGAGCCTTTCCCATCATACTGTTAGTAAGGTGTGTGAAGGTGGCAGCTACGGTGGAAGTGAGGTTACTACATGATGGAGAGTCCTGAGAGGATTTGTGAACAAGAGTGTATTAGCTTTAAAGAAATAATGAGGGTCATTGTCTAAAGAAATTATATATATGCATAGGGGTGTGTGTGTGTGTGTGTGTGTGTGTGTGTGTGTGTACTTAGAGCTATCATACTCTTTTAAAAGCTGGATTCCTGCCTGTTGACTAGAATGTAAAACACCCAAGTTTCAGTTATACTATGGATGACCTCATTTTGAAGTCTGATAACACAGACCTGGGCCAGAACTATTCTACTGTTCCCTCCATCACTTGTTTCTTTTCTCCTTTTTCCCCTCACCCCGAAGTAAATGTGTTCAAATTTATATTCCCAAAGAGAGTTAATAAATTAATCTTCTCTCTCAGTGACATTGAATATGCAAAATTAGATCAGTCTCATTTAGTGGCTAAACTATGTGGGAAGGCTATTGAAGATTCTTTGGACTCTCAGGCTGAAAACACTGCTAGAAGTTACCTTAGTGACTGACTGACTGACTGACTGACTGACTGACTGACTGACAGGCGGGGAGGGGCAGTATCTTCTGGGAGTGCAGCCCTGGGTTTTCCTGTCTTCAGAATCTCCATGTGTCTGGACAGATGCTAGCTGTTCCAGTGCACCTGCTTGACCAGGTGAGTCCTTCGACTGGCTGGAGGGGACTAAGGAGCAAGTGTGTGTGTTATGCCTCTGTTGCACAGATCCACACATCACTGAGTCTCCATTCACTGGCTTGACTCTATCTGCCAAGGGAGCTGAACCATTGGATGTCTAAAGGCTTCTTAAGAATCTGGATTTATTTTTACCTTATTTTTAAAAGTCCCACACAAAAGAGAATTTCTTTACCTACCATTTTGAGCCTCTCTTCTCTACCTGCCAATTCCACACTTCCTGACAGTATGGTGAAGCATTGGGGCAGATAAGTATACACATGTCCTGTTCCTCGGCATACAGTCAGATGTTTGCTCTCATTCTACAGAGAGCTGGTTATTATTCTTGATTTTTCCTGAAGTAGGTTTTGTTTGGTTGGGTTTTTTGTTTGTTTGTTTGTTCCTTACATATATAAGGGATAAAGTATTGTGTGTGTGTGTTGGGGGAAGATAGTAAGAGGCTGTGTATCAGGGGATAATCTACATTGGTTCTTTTTAGCCCTGATTATCACCAGCTACTCCTTTCTAGGGCAAAAAGTATTTGTTACAAAGAACATAATTATATACAGAGAAGGAAAAACTATACCTCACTACACCATGTTTGCCCCTAGGTTCTCTGAGAAAGCCACACCTTCTGATTTTCTTGTGAAACAGGTCTACCTCTGGGATGAGCAGACTGTACAAATGTATGTACCTGCTGTTCCATGGAAAGGTCAGTGGATGCTAAGCCTTTGAACTCTTCATTTTCGTTATGTGCTGAGGACATGCTGTGCCCTGTATGTGCATGGCAGTGTTCTTCTTCCTTTCTTGCATCAGCATCCAAGTCTGCACCACCATACAAGCTTCAAACATTTTACATGGTAAAACCAATAGAATTAAAACATTTTAATGGTAAAATTTATTAGCCCTATTTTAACTAAAATTATTTAACTCCCCCCTTATTTTTCCTCTATTCAATCCATCCTATGCTTCCCCTGGCTCCTCCTTCAATTGCCTAAATATATAAATACAACTTACTCAGTCCATTTAAGTGTGTGTGTGTGTGTGTGTGTGTGTGTGTGTGTGTGTGTTTCAAGGCTGACCACTGCTTGGTACAGGATAACCAATTAGATGGCTCATCCCTGGGGAAGTCCAATTCTCTTACTCTCATTATTTTTTAACTGCCTGTAGTTCTAAGCGTGGGGTCCTGTGAGACTGTCCCATTTCAATGTATCAACTCTATTGCTGGTGTACTTCTTCAGCTCTAGTGAGGCAGCTGTGTTACTAAAGTAGTGTGGGTGATGCTTCCCTGCCATTTATAAAAAACACAATCACACCATAGATTTTCTAGCTGTCTGGCTCTTACAGTCTTCCCAGCCATTCTTCTGCAATGTTCCCTGAACCTGATGTGCAGGAGCTGGGTTGTTACTGCACCAATTGAGACTGAACACTCTACCATCACTTGCTTCTTCCCTGCACTTTGCCCAGTTGTGGGTTCCTGTGGTTGTCTCCATCTGTTTCGAAGAGAAGTTTCTTTGATGGGGAACAGTGGCCTCTTAGATTTGAAGCCATCGTTAGAAATCGATTCCTTACATCTGAGTTTGTAGAGAAATCATTTACTTACCATTTAGCGCTGGTACAATGTCCGTACTTTAACAGTTTAGATCGCTGGCTATTATTGTATATTGTATGAAGAATGATCCAAATGTTATTCTTTTATATATTTATTTATTCATTTATTTATTGTGAGACTGTGTGGTGTAAGTTTATGTTATATGTGGTTTATACACACATATGTGGGCAGGTGTGCAAATTTGCATATGTGCAGAGAAAGAGAAAGATGTCTGGTGTCCTGCTCTATCCCTCTCCACCCTATTCCCTTGAGACAAGATTTCTCTCTGAACCTGAGACTAGACGGGTGGCCACCAAATGCCAGTGATCATCTTGTCTCCACTCAACACAGCACTAGGTTACAAGCAAATGTGTGACCCCATCAAACATTTTATGCAGGTTCTGGGGAGTTGAACTCAGGTCCTGATGCTTGTACAGCAAGCATTCCTACCCACTTGCCATCTCCCTGTCAATCCCGCTGTTTTATAAACAACTAATATCTAACTGTTCCCAAACTATTTATTTAAAAATCTCAGGAGAAAACTTCATATAAGTGGTAATGCTTTTACTTTTAAACACCAAACTTTATCAAGAGATGATTGGCTAAACCCAATCTATGTATTGTCTCCAAAAACATAGTGCTTGACAGAGTTGCTAATGGTCTGAGAAGAAGCAGAAGAGGCTTGAATGGTAACTTCAGAGAAGCTGAACTGACTCCATCCACTCCAGGGAGGGATGATCCCTGTGTTTGGGATATCAGGAAGGACTTAGAACATGGTGACACTGGAAACACTATTTTTCTCCCAGGCACTCTGTCACTCACAAATGAAAGTCTGAGTGTGTTTAATTCATTGGAAATTCCCCAAAGCAGGAAATGGCCAGAATATGCCACACCTTTCAGTCCTACCCTCTTTTTTTCTTTGTCCCCAGCTGCCCTTCCAGTTACATTGGGGATGAAGTATGCCCTTTGCAAAGTTCACATGTTTATTGATAGTTTTTTTTCCCCTAGGAGACAATGTGGGATATTTATCCCTATTAGATGCTGATTATGACAGGAAACCTCCAAACAAATATCTTGCTGGTGCTGTAAACTATACAGTGCATTTTCAGTGGATCCAATGTGTGTTTTGGGACAAGACAGAGTGGCAATCCGAAGGTCCCTATCCGCAGCCAGGGACTTCTCCTGAAAGAGTCAACTGCAGGTATGGGTACACTACTGCTGGGGGAAAGCCTGGGAATTTTAACAACTCACTCCCTTTTCTTATGCATTTGTGCCAGTCACTAGGGTCTTCCACGAGTGATGTTCTCTCATGAAAGCTGAGCAATCTTGAGAGATGCTAGCCTAACAGAATGTATCTGCTACACTTGTCTGCAAGTCAGTCCTGTGGCTCCCAAGGAAAGATGCTGGTGTCTATTGGACCTCCAGCCCAAGAACCTGTAATGCCTGGCATGTTGCAGGTAGTCAGTGTCCACTGAGAAATGAGTTGGCAAATGAGTGGCACATGAGCTCACCAGATGTCATTGCGTAGGTGTCCTGGCATCCTGTGACTGTGCATTTTGTAGTCAGGCAGGTGGACCCTCTACTGTTATAACCTCTGTCATCCCATTCCCTCATGGGCAAAGGGTTCTTTCTCTACCCAAGGGCATCGTTTGAAAGTTAGCTTCACCTGAAAAGAGAAGTGTCTGCATGGACTTAAGCAGGCAGCCTTCCTGGTCATTTTGGGATATCTGGATCATATCACTATAGTAAGCACTATGTATCACCCAGGCTTCGACTTAACAATCTTATGATCACGTGCTTTAGTCCGTTCATTTATGTTACCCTTACCCTCCCAATGATGTAGAAATTCAATAATTACTAGTATAGAAGGTCTTATCCCTGTTAAGAACAGAGAGGCCACAAGGAGTTATGTGTTGTGTTTGCCTATTAGGGGTCAAACCTGTTCACGTTGTTCTAAGCTGGTGACATTTACATCCATTTGTTACTTTTCTTGTGTTGAATAGTTTTTGTTCATTTAAAAAGCATTTGATCATATTAATCCCACATTGCCCTCTCTTGTTCACCTCTTACTCCTGGTTCCCCTCCTGTCTTCAAATGGTGTGTGTCTGTGTGTGTGTGCGCGCGCGCGCGCGTGTGTGTGTTTAATCAAAAATTTATACAATATATTCTGATCAGGATTTCCCCTCCCTCATCTCCTCCCAGAACCTCCAAACTTTTTCTCTTTAGAAGACAAACATGGAAATAAAAAAAGCAAACAAACAAGAATAAAGTTAATTAATAAATAAACAGCAAAAAGCACAAAACACACACACACACTCAGGTTGTATAGATATCCTATTTAGAGTTGAGCACTCAACAGTCACTTTCTCAGCATTTTGATGAGTTCTGAGCTTCTGCATTAACTCACTAAAAATGCATGCTTCTCTGACCAAGGTTGAAAGCAAAACTAGGGGCTTTTGGACAGAAGGACAATGAAGCCAAAATGTAGATAGAGGAAACCCCCATTTAGGTAGTGGATCTGTTGGGATCTGCTACCGGAGGATTTAACTTAGAATGGCTTACTATTAGGATGTTAGTTATTGCGCCCAGAGATTGTATTGTCTTTTGATTCTAAAAATAAATGAATAAATAAATAAATAAATAAATAAATAAATAACATTTTTAAAAATGCAAGGCTAATCTATGTCTATAAAAATGCATATTTAGAAGACAGTTTGACTACTCTATTTAGCAAAAGACCAGTAGTGCATTCCCCTCTAGGGCCTGTAATATACACAGACAAAGGTGTTTTATCAGCTTTACAATACCAGGCATATGTTCCTCACAATGAAGGAAGCCTCAAATCCAATCAGAAAGCTATTGCTTACCTCCAAAGCAGTCCTGCCTCTATCACATCAGTGGGCATGCATGCATTACCTGGCAAGTCAGTAGTAGATGATGCAGGGTCCATAGCTGGATAACATCACTGATGACGTTCCTTTCCCTGCAGTCTGAATAACACCTTCCAGCACTATGAGTGCTAGCCAGCAGGGAGGAAGAAGCTTCCAGCTCATTTTTTCTGTGTCTAATATTCTAACCGTATAGTGTCTTCAGCAATAGGTTTTTACCATCTAATTCTGGTGCATAACCAAGAGCAATGGTAGGAGTCTGTATTGTTTGGGGAACTTCTGGGGACTCCCTGGCCAATAAGTCATAAGGAGGTGTGCCACACTTGGCACTTCTAGAAACAGCATTGCACATTCATGCATACTTATGCAGGGTTCCTCTCTTCAAACTGTTTATTATTATAATATCTTCAGCTTATAAAGTAGCAAACTTCCATTTCTTTTTGTAAGTCCTTAGTTTTAGTTGACCTACCCCTTACCTTTCCCTACATCTTCCCCTCCCCATTTGAACATTTTCTCTCCTACCATCCTCCCAACTTCCATGTGTTTACTTTCCCTCCCAAGACCTTTCCTGCTGCTGCCTCCCGTGGTTCCTCTCTTGCCTCTTGGCTTCTACTGGCACTTAAACCAACTAAACATGGAAGTCTAAAAATTTAAAGCTAGAATCTGTATGTAAAAGAGAAGAAGACATTTGTTTTCTGGGACTCATTTAACTCATGTATGTAATATTTTCTAGTTCCAGCCATTTCCTGCAAATTTAATTGTGTGTGTGTATATGTGTGTATGAGAGAGAGAGTGGGAGGGGAGAGGGAGAGGGAGAGGGAGAGGGAGAGAGAGAGAGAGAGAGGGAGAGAGAGAGAGAGACAGAGACAGAGACAGAGACAGAGACAGAGAGAGAGGTTAGTAGCCCTTTACAATGATGTGGTGTCATGGGAAGTTACTGATAATGTTGCAGTGTTTCAGCATTCTTTGCTGTTAAATTACGCCTGAAAACAATCCTTTGTTCTTTACTACATAGTATTCTCCCCACCCCCTGCTCCCAACTGCCAGGGTCACAAGGGAAGAACATGAAGAAACTATCTTCATGGTGATAAAGGAGAGGCAACTTTGTTTTACAAAAAAAATAGTATTTACAGTAGTTGTTGTAACAGGCTTAGCAAAGATAAGATATCTATAAGGTCAGGACAAGTGCTTAAACAAAAGTCAGTCCACATGAGGCTCTAACCTGACTCTCGTGTAAGGATTTCTGTAGCAAGTCTGCCTGTAGGAGCAGTGTATCCTGATGCCCGACATTTCAGGACAGTCTCCTTGGGAGCTGACTTCCAGTACCAGGCTAGAGGCTCTGTGGTACATCAGACAGTTACAAATGGAGAGATGGCAAACTGGCCTACATCATAAGTCAGAATGGCTGGTTCCTCTTTCCTTCCAGCTTTTCACTGTCCCATCCCAAACATCTGTACCCTCCCTACATTACTACTCTCATGTGCCTTCCGCTTCTAGCTACCGTCACCTTGCGCCTGTCTCCATCCTAAGAAGAAAGCTGAATGCTACCTTTGAAGTGAGCAGCATTTCTGAGTTTCAGAGGTGAGTTCCATTCTCTAAAGGAAAACTTCATTCCATGTGTTCTTGTGGCCACTTAAGAGATGCCCGTACCCTGCTGAGTTTATAGCTAACACCTATGCAACATGTCTGTTTTCTGGAACACAGATATTAGAAGTGCTAGTCTTACATGTTATATTACTGTTTATATTTTACAGCCACTGGCAGGAGCCTTATGAACAGCAGGAAGCCAATATCTTTCTTACTTTTAAGCTTGGCTATATTTGAGTATAGACTGGGTTAATTATTTCCAACTTAATTAATATCTACAGCAATAAAGAATGATCCTCAGTTTGCTTGCATTAATTTACTCCTACCATCTTAGCCTCATTTTAAATAATAACCTCTACCCTTTAAATGATAAGTTTAAAAGATCCCATGTATTAATGACTACTGTTTCATAAAAACTATATTTAGAGTATGGAAAATGAGTGCATTGAGGGAAAGCCACTTTGAATATTTTTTGTACTTATATTGGTAGAATATGAAACTGTACTTCACTTATGCATGGTACTTAGTAGATTAGTTGATGGGCCTGATATGTAGCATCTTAGGTAGGGTTTCTGTTTCTATAAAGAGAAACCATGACCATGCAACTCTTATAAAGTATTTAATTGGGCTGGCTTACAGTTCAGAGGTTTGGTCCATTATTGTCATGGCTAGAAGCATGGTGGACATGATGCTAGAAAAGTAGCTGAGAGTTCTCCATCTGGATCTACAGGTAGCAGAGAGAGCAACACTGGGCCTGGCTGGAGCATTTAAAGCCGCAAAGCCCACCCCCACTGACACACTTAGTCCAACAAGGCCACACCTCCTAATAGTGCCACTTCTTATGAACCTAAGGGAACCATTTTCCTTCAAACCACCACAGGTGGCAAGTAAACCATTAGTTACTATGAAAGGATGCTACACCAGGGAAGATTTTCAGCCAACCAATTCTCAGGGTGTAGAGTACAGTAGTGCTGGTCCTGGTTTCTGCAATACCAATGCTATTTGTGAGCAAACAAGGAGGAATGTGACATGAGGCTACTACAGACACAAAGTAGCACCCAGTGTCACCCAATGCACTGGTGACATCTGGGAGGTTCTAGGATGTAATGGAGGGATAGAAAGAGTGGACCGGAACCAGGAGGCTGTGACATGTGTTCATGTCATATGCTTGAGAGCAAGTGTGAACTGGTTCTGGTTCTAGTCTAGAAAAAGAAAGAACATATCAAGAGCTTATCCCAGTTCTTTGGTGGAGTCAGAGTAAATGAGCCAGGACACTAGCAAGGCAGCATTCCTACACAGTAGAGTCCTTCCGAAATTTTGTCAAATACAGGTAAAGCCCAAGTCCCAGGTATGTCAGGTTCCAGATGGAGGGACTTTACATGGGTGACTCTCTGTGAGTCTATAGAGAGGAGGGGGCTGGGTGTATGGCACACACCTCCAGGCAGACTTGATGAATCAGTAGCAGGGACCAGGTGAGTGTAAGTTGCAGGGCGAGAGCAAGCAGCCTCCCTCACAGGAACATGGGTATGTAGAAGAGGCACACTGGAACATCTTGAACTTCTGTCTTGCTCTGCTCAGAGGCAGCAGGAGAACCAAAAGGCATATTGGTATTACAAAGCATGCCTCACATAGGGACATTCTTCTTTCTTTCCTTCTACTCTTCCATTTTCTTCTCATTCATACTAAGGATTAAACCCAGAGCATCACATATGCTAGGCAAGTACTCTACCACTGAGCCATACTCCCCGTGGCCCTGGCATTCTTTTTCAATTTCCCAGTCTAAGTTCATTGGACCTGGCAGGGTACAGCTTTCTACCACCACAGCTGGATCATCCCAGATCCCTTGTGGCTTCAGTGTAAGTTGTAGGGTGCCTGGCATTTGCCACAGGCAACTCTGTGCTTTCAGTCTCCTTCCACTCAACCAGTATGAAGTGTTTGGAAAATATGTCCATGATGACCAAGGAGAGCTTGTGAGTTTTTGAAGCACTAAAACATCTTCCTGAGTGCCAGTTCCTGTGAGGAATTCCCTTAATTTCTCTCTCTTTGTTTACAGTCATCCACACAACTTGCTTCCCAGTATGTTCAGTGTGTTTTTCTTGGTTCTTTATGGATTTTGGGTGAGTAAAAGCAAATGTGTAGATTGCCATGAGAAAAAGAATCCTGGTTATATTTTTCTGGAAGAAGATACACCACCTGGCCACCAGCTGTATGCAGTCATCATTGACACTGGCTTCCGGTCACCAGCCAGATTTACCTCAAAGGTAATGTGAGCTCTAGCAAAGCCTGTAGTGAGGTCTAAGGGTGTGGAAGGCCTGATAGTATGACTGGACAATGAGATGATTCCTTGTCTTCCTGTATATTTGTAAGGGCAAAAGGCAGGTCCCTCTCCTCCTGTCCCAGGACTCTCATTCCCCTTTCTGCCTTCCTATGAAAAACATCTTCAGAGATAGTTTTCTTCTGAATGGGTCTCTGAGATTTTGAGAACTGTTCTGTATTCCTCTGAGTTAACACTGAATGTATGGACCACCCAGAGAAGGATCTAGCAAGAAAGAAGTTCCTAGGCTAGCTTTGGGGCTAAGTGGGAATGGGGCTAGGTTGGGAGTTTAAGGCTAAAGGCAGAGTTAGTTCCCTAGAGAAGCAGATGAACGATGAGGTCGCAGGAGGGGAGGAAGAGGAAGTGGAAGAAGGGTGGAGGACAAAGGCCAGTCTAGCAGCCCAGGGAAGCACCCAGGCCAAGGTGGAACATGGAAGAGAGGTCTGCAGGGGCAGAAACAAAGTGGTTCAGGGGCATGTGCTAGTGATGTGCCCCTACAAATGCACCAGGAAGTCAGCATGTGTGCTTGATACATACTCCATTTTTCTCCAAAACCATGTCTGCATAATGAAAACCATAGGACCAGAGGCAGGGGGAGTATGGCCTCACCTAGAAGCCAGAAGATAGATCTATGTGCTCCTGATATGCTTCAGCAAAAATAATGTAAAAAAATTAGGCCCAATGAGTTAGACAAGCTTGTTAGATTCATGATGGGGGAGGAGATGAACACACCACTCATCCACACGGGAGTCAGTGACTTTCATTGCACATAGTTAGAAGCAAGATCCTCCTACTAGTCACTAGAACTGGATGGTGAATTCACCTAACGCATATAAGAGCAATGGGGAAAGAATTTGCTCGATATTCATAATAGACCTAAATAAATAGATATCTTTATGCAATGGCTAACTCAACTAATTTCCCCTTGTAATAAATCTTTAGGACTGGATGATAATGTGAATTGGTTTATTCCTATATTCATATTACTTGTCTTATTGGTTTATTTTGCTTTTGTTGTTTGCAAGAACTGATTGATCCCAGACATTTTTTTTTTCTGAATATCATCTCTGGTCTGTAAGACCTTGAAAGACACCTGAGTCATTTTGGGTGTATTCAGGGGGAAAAGTGTTTTTTGGTTTTGTTTTGCTGAACTATTTGTCTGTTTATTGATACAGGATTTTACTATATAACCCCAGATCACCTGGACCTTGCTCTGTAGACTAGGCTGGCCTCAAACTCAGAGCTACTTCTCCTCTTCTTTGTAAGTGCTGGGGTTAAAGGCATGTCACCACACCCAGCCACCACACTATCTGTTTTACTGTAAATACACACATACACACACAATAACAACAATAACAAACCTAAGACATAAAGAGATTAAAGCCAATGAAATCAACTATAATTTGAGAAAAAAAAAATGTCTTGTGGAACAGGAATTACTGATTGTAAAGTTCATGTGGAAATGAATACCAGTGCCCAGGAGAATATTAAATCTAACAATCTGAAAGAGAATGGTGTTGACTCTCCCAGACATCCAGGCAAGAGCCATCACAGTGTCTTATGGGGTCTCCTTGTCTTATGGGGTTGACCAGTAGACTTATGGGACAGCTAGATAGCTTACGAATGACCCAAGTGTGTGTCTAGGTCTTATAGACCAGAGAGGATATTCAGCAAAATATCTCAGAGCAATCACAGACCTTGCAAAAGAAAGCAATATTAAATCTTTAATTGACATTAGATACAGGCACAAAAAAATAATTTTAGAAGTCTAAAAACAGGTAAAAAAATTTATAAAATTTTATAAAAAATTCAGTAACTACTCAGAGAAGATTACTTTGGACAAGGAGAAGATTTCAATGACAAGAGATTAATACTTTTTAAATGAAAGGTTAAACGTATACCACACCAAAGCTGAAGATTCCTGTGTAAAAGATACCAGACAGAGTAATAAGTACAGCCCAGTGTGCTATCTTAGAGTGCTCCTTGCGGACATCAGTACCCCACCCACCAGCCCTGCCCCTACTCAGGTGTCCTGCCAACATGCCAAGGGTATGAGATACTGCCCTCTATGGAATTCTACTGCCCTTCTGAGGAATCCCACAGGGGATCCCACTCTTCCAGAAAAAGCTTGTGAAGAACTGGCTAGTCAAGGAGACTCTAAAATGAAGGATATCAGCCCTGGTCTGTGAAGGCTCTGCAAGCCATGCAGGCCCCACAGCTGGTCTCAGTGCTGAGACCCAACAGTACTGAGCTGAAGTGAGAGGCCAGGTAATACCCCATGGCCTCTGTGACATGTCCTCGGCTCTCATATCTGCTTCTGTCTTAAGGTTTTCATTGTTCTATGTGGTGAAAATGGATGCTCAGAAACCAAAGAACTCTGCTGCCCAGAGAAGGCCTTGTTTGGAAGAAATTCCAGGCACACCTTCATCCTGAGGTATCGATGACTACTGCAGTCACATGTCTGGGGAAAGGGTCTTGTCAGAATAGGGTATCACAAAGACACTGAGCTGAGAATATTGCCTTTCTGAGATCAAGCTTGCTGATGAAGCATAGACAGGGTGATAATCACTGGCTCACATACTTACAGTTTCAAGAAGGTTCTGGTTTTGCTTTTGTCTTTAAGGCAGGGCCTCACTATGTAGCCATGACAAGTCTGAAATTCACTATATAAACCAGGCTGGCCTTGAACTTGCAAGTATCCTTCTGCCTCTGCCATCTGGGGGCTGGAATTACAAGGATGCCTAATGTATGAAATATGTCTACTCTTTGGTATAGATTAGCATGGTTCTTCAGCAAGAAAAAAAGTGGAAGCTTATTAAGCTTGTTTATGAGAATAAGTGATTTTTTAATGTCATAAAACCTGATTAAATTGATTAGTGCCACCACTCAAATTTTGGAAGAGCAATAGTGCATAGTATCACAAAGATGGATGGGAGTCATGGGAAGAGAGATGATTTATCAAGGTAGAAGTGTAAATACCCGAGATTCTTAGATAACATGAAAATACTGAAGTCATTTTTCCTCATGAAAAATTTATATTTATTATAATTCATTTATAATGTGTATTGGTTTTGGAGCATGTTTTTACAAAGACAGTAACAGTTAACTTCAGTCTAACTTCTATCAAACACAAGCAGATGGAGATCTGAGTAACTTGACATTACAGCCATTCCCTTTATCCAAGAGATGTGATCCAGGCCACATGGTAGATCCCAGAATGAAAGGAGAGCACTGAACTCTGGACCTACTTGATTGTCCTTTGACATCCAAGCCTGAGATAGAATATGAGTTATTAATAAAGTGCAGCACAAGATTACCTGCAGTAACAATAATGTAGAATCACTCGAACAACACAGTGCAATGAAACTTCAAAATTTAAGAACTGTTTATTTCTAGAATTTTCCATTGGTATGTTTCATTTGTGCTTGATAACTGAAACCACAGTAAATAAACTGATGATAAAGGGGGCATTAGAGTTGATCCTGTAGGCCTGTGTGCCCCTACCAGTCACAATGCTAATTGGAACCCACTGTCCTTAAGGGCTATATCAGAATTGCTGAAGTTTTTATAGGTGCTAAATACACATGGCTGATTAAATAGACATTTCTGTGTGTCATTAGCACGCCTAACCAACTGGGTCCACTCCAGAAGATCCGCCTCTGGCATGACAGTAGTGGACCTTCCCCATGCTGGTTCATCAGCCACGTGATGGTGAAGGAGCTGTGCTCAGAACAAGCCTGGTTCTTCTCTGCTCAGTGCTGGCTGACTGTGAGCAAATGGGGTGGCCATGTATCTCGAGAGCTCTTCTGCCTGAGCCATGGTCTCAGTTTCTGGAAGGTAGGCTCCATGCAGATGACTTGTGACATACCAGAATGGCCAGTAGTATTCGGTGCCCACTTCTGCTTCTCTTTCCAAAGTTGTGATATGAACTTTCCCAACGTGAAGTAGTTAACTGTCAAGATACCCATGTCATGTAACTTCTGAAGAGAATGTGAACAAAAGTCTGTTCACCCATTTAGGACTGACAACACAGCAAAGAAATGATTCCATCCAAGCCTATCTTGGTTAGCCAGTTGGTTTGTGGATTACTTACAAGGGTGTGGTTGACTCAATAGAAGCTACATCATGAAAAAGCCCGCCCCAGCATGGATGGCGACCCACTAATGCAGCATCCTGGAGCACTGCCCTACTTGCAGGCAGCCCCCAACCTCTTCATAGCAATTGTTTACTGTTTTTCTAACCTTGTAGAGGGTATTTATGAAGTTCTTGTTTCGAGAGCTCCCTGTGTTTTAGCACTGTCCTTCTCCTACAGGAGGGAACATTTCAGTTTGAAGGAGATAGCTGCATTGTCTTTACCATAATGCAGTTCTTTGATCTGCATCAATAATAAATGTCTAGAACTTCTAGCTGCTGGTGATCTGCAGCATCTGAGAGGTCCCAAATTAAAGACTTGTTAACCCATGTGCCATAAACAATTCCACTGTCATAGAATACAGATATGTCATGACTGCAATGTCAGATAGTACGTAAGTCCCAATAGGTGACAAAATTGTCTATGATCTCACAGACCAAGTATGAACTTTTGTTTCCTGAATATTCCCATTTACTCACTGTTGATGGGCATTGGCCCATTTGCAAACATTCACATTTTATGTTCAATGTTCTAAAATAAATCTCTCCCTGAATTTTGTTTCCAATAACTTAAAGATCCACTGTGCACTGCTATTTGCTGAGGCTACCTGTTACACAGACACAATTTTCCTTCATTTATTTCCGTTGCAGCAAAATGTCACAAGGGACACTTAAGACTTGTGTTTCTGAAGAAAGATTTCTTTTTAAAATTTTTTCATAACATTTTTATTCATTTGGTGTGTGTGTGTATGTGTGTCACAGTCCACAATTAAAGGTTAGAGAACAACTTACATGAATTGCTTCTCTCCTCCCATCATGTGGGTCCTGGGGATTGGACTCAAGTCATCAAGCTTGGCAGCAATCACTTTTACCTTCTGAGCCATCTTATCTACCTGACATTTCTTGAGCACTGGGTCTTGTTCTTTCCATTGTCACTTGAGTGAGGAGTACCTGGTATTGCCAATTTAGCATAGAACATGACTAAATGTGAATTGACATGAATTTGAAACAATAATTTCCAAATATCCATGGAATCTAGAAAAAAATAGCACTATAAACTAGAAGCCCAGTTTAACTGAAACATCCCTTGGATAACAATCTCCATGGTTGTTTCTCCAGCTATTGAGCTTGAGAACTTTAAGTGAGAAACCTAACTTGGCTGATTACATTATCCATGAGCATATATGGCTGTGTCCCTGGAATCAATGGTCACCTGGGAATTTATATGCAAAAGATATATCCTTGGTCAATTAAGCCTGTTTTGTTGGTGTATGTTGATTATTCTGATTATATTATTAATATCAGTTCTGTCTATAAATACTTCTTTTTCTAGAATGCTTAGCACCAAATCTTATTTAAGTTGTGTGGGAATTTTTTAAACCTAGTGAAATTCCACAAGATATTAGGACCTGCTGGGCAGTAGACCTTGCAAGACTACTGAGTAGAAGGCAGGTCAATCCCAGGTCTCAGGGCACCCAGAGCTGGTGTCCAGCTGAAATGGGACCATGTTTCTGTGGACAGTACTGAGAACAGGGATATCTAGAAAGTCCTTTGAGAGCAGAAAAGGAAAGAAATGGTAGGAGGCCAAGACAGGTCTCCCCGAGCTAGCACGAGTGAAGTGGAGAGCTAGTTGGTACTAAAGCTTAAGAAGGATCAGCAGGAGGTAGATGTGTGAGATACTGCTGAAGAGGTGTATGGGTGGGTGGGGAGGAAGGATACAGAACAAGTTACCATGAGAGGCATCTATTTCATCAACCCGGTAGCCAGGAAGTGTCCTCCTTCCAGCTGAAAAACAAAAGCCCAGAAACGATAGAGATTCATTCTAAAAGTCAGGACTTCACTCAGCTCACACGTTTGTGTCAGGGAAACACCTATGGTTTCTGTTTCAGCTGTTCTACTCAAAGTTCACGGAGTACCTGGAGGAGTTCCACATCTGGTTCTCACTGTACAGTCAGCCCCCATCCAGCAGCTACCTCCACACACAGCGGCTTGCCGTGTCCTTCTGCCTGCTGTGTGTCTACTCATGCCTCACTGCCCTGGTCACTGTAGGAGGACATGAACAGGTGGGAGGCAGCAGTTTTCCAGCAGTAGCTTCCTAATCTCGGGCATGTGGTTTATTCTTTTAACAAGAGCTCCTGGAGAAGGGCTTAAGCTAGGGGGAACAATCTAGCAGTGTGCTGAGTGGAGGGGTAGCCGAGAGTACTACATGTGGATCCACAGGCAGCAGGAAGAGTGAGACACACTAGGCTTGGCTTAAGCATCTGACACACCAAAGCCCACCCCTAGTGACACACTTCCTCCAACAACAACATACCTACTCCAACAAGGCCACACCTCCTGATAGTGACACTTACTATGGGCCTAGGGGGCCATTTTCGTTCATACTACTACAGATGCTAAAACCTGGATTTCACTGATGTCTTCCTGTATCTGAGGCCTGGCCATGGTTAGATCTAATGAATAGCTTGATCCTGATTCACACATTCCAGCAGGTAACATGGCTGGAATCAGAGATGGGAGGGTCTGCAAGTCCTCAACAGACTGCTTCCCTGTTAGAATTCACAACCAACATGACATTCAGTACGGGGAAACAAGCTAATTTTTTTTTTAATATCTATTATGTATACATGTGTTAGAAGGAGGGTAAGAGTGTGAACTTATGAATGCAGGTACCCAGTCCAGGGGAGGTATCAGACCACTTGTAGCTGAAGTGATAGGTTATTCGTGAGCTGCCTGATGTGGGTATTAGGAAATGAACTAGGATTTTCTGCAAGAGTAATACGTGTTCTTAATCATTGAGCCATCTCTCCACCCCAAGGTTGTTTCCTTTGATAAATTTGATCATTCATGGGGCCAGCCCCCAGGTTCACATGGTCCTCCAGAGAGCTGGATGATACAATGACAGTAGCCATATCAAGACTGAGTTCTGTCATCTGTCCTAAAACAACAGGGTGTGGTGAATTCTTTATGTGGCAGCAGATAGATCACACTTTAATACACAGAATTTAAAACTATAATATGTTGGTAGAACTTGTAACAATAAACAAACAATCGTGAAGAAATGTCATCAAGTGACAAGTGGGGACCTGCTATGCTCTCTGGGGAGTTCGGCTTCCCTGGGGGCCTCCAGTGGTCTTATCCAGGATGTCATTTCCTCTTCTGCTGGGGGTACACTGAACCTCTTGGCACCTCCCTTTGGGATTGTTGTCAGGATTTAGTCAGCTGAGCACGAATCTTCTGGGTGTGTGGCAAGCATTTGACTCACAAGATTTGTCTAGGAGAAAAAGCACATTTTGTCTTGCTCAACCCCTAAAGCAGAGGCAAGGCTTCTAGGAGAAAGGGCTTTAGTCAAACAGGAGTCATACTCATTGAACACATTTGAAATTCTGTGTGTTGGACTCAAGGGACATAACTTCCATGTATTTGAACCATTGCAGCACCTCCTGGATGTGGGTCCCACAGCTATCACTCTGGAATCCCTCAGTCTGGCTCTGCTATGCACCCTCCTGGCCTGTCCAGCTGCACAGCTCCTGTCACTGCTCTTCAGGTGCAGCAAGGTACGGAAGCTGTGTGGTTCCTGGGCTCCTGAGGAAACACCCCCCACCCCCGTGTGAGATGTCCCTACCCTACCAGCCAACATCTTTGTTTCACAGGAAGCCAGAGGGAATCTACGGGCTTCGCCACAGTGGTCTCTAAGAGGAGTGAAGACAGAGACACCTCAAGGTATGGCAAACTAAAAATAGAATCTATGCTGGCTCCAGGGCTAGTGCTTTCTGTTTGTCTTATTCATTGAAAATAAATATCACCAGATATACTTAAAATCACTTTTTTTTCTCTTGGACCATCTTCCCTTGTAGACAATAATCTTATAACCACCATTTCCAAAATAATATGAGTGGTAGCCAGTCATCCTGTGGCAAGAAAGCATGGCTGTGTGGGGAGCAAAGCCCTTCTCCCAGATCCTATTCTTCTCTAAACACCTTTTGTAAACCTTGTATGGCCACATGCATCACTTTTTCCTCTTATGGCTCTTAATTTTTCAGCTACACAATTTTCTCTGGCTCTGTGGCTTCTGGTGAGTAGCTCTGGGTGGTTGCGGGCTAGTCCAGGGCCACATCAGGATGGAGACATCAGGAGTCCTCATCTCAGCCCTGCCTGGTCTCTCAGGGTCACCCTGATGAGGATAAGAGAGAAACATTTCCTGTAGTATCACAACAATGCCTAGTTCAGAGTCTTACATTGCTTTTCCCCCCATCAGGCCCTGATCCCAGTGGGAGACCAGATTCGAGGCAACCTTCCCTAGTAAGTGGCATGATATACAGTTGCTAATTCTATAGCATAAGATGCTGTTTTAGTCAGGGTTTCTATTGCTGTGAAGGGACACCATGACGATAGCAACTCTTATAAAGGAAAAGAATTAATTGGGGCTGGCTTACAACTCAGAAGTTTAGTCCATTATTGTCATGGCATTAAGCATAGCAGCATTCAGGCAGACATGATGCTGGAGAGGTAGCTCAGAGTTCTACATGTGGATCCACAGGCAGCAGGAAGAAAGTAAGACACACTAGGCCTGGCTTAAGCATCTGAGACACCAAAGCCCACCCATAGTGACACACTTCCTCCAACAACAACACACATACTTCAACAAGGCCACATCTCCTGATAGTGACATTTACTATGGGCCTATGGGGCCATTTTCATTCAAACAACTACAGATGCAAAAACTTGGATTTCACTGATGTCTTCCTTTGGCTGTGGCCTGGCCATGGTTGGATCCAGTGACTAGCTGGATCCTGATTCTCATGCTTCAGGCAATGGTTTACTCTGCTCCACAGCTCACAAGCACCTGCTGCTAGGGAAGGCACTCTCAGGCCCCACTCTTATCCTCCCCTTCCAACCTTTCTTCCTCCAGTGGGATATGCAATATAACAGTCTGACTGCCTGGAGCTGCCTGGAGGCCACCAGCATTGGCCCCATGCTGGGAAGGTGGAATTGGAGGTTAGGAACGAGGGAGCTAGGCCAGAAGCAGAAAATGACATCCTTCAAAAAGCCATCTGAGGCCTGAGCTTGACCCTGTCTGACCATGCCTGTCCTCAGAGTTGGCTACAGCAGGCACTAGTGTTCAGACACAGCAGAAAAACTGGCATTGACCTGGCCTAACCCTGTCATAATTTCAGCATCCCACATCAGACCTTCACTCTGGGACTGACCAAGCTTGGAGGATGGCAGCCAGCAGCAGTGGTGTGGTCTGTCCACAGTTTCCACAGGAGTCCTGCAGGGATAAACATCTTGCTCTGAGGGAGAAGAGCCACTACTCTCCTCCCAGTTCACAAGGTGACATCACCCTATGGCCGTACTCAGTAGCCCTTGTTCCTGCTTACAAATCAGTGGTGTGTGCCCATCTGGAGAGGCAGCACAAGCAGAATGTACTTGGTCCAAATGACATTAACCTTCCTGTCTCCTCTAAAATCCACGCATGGGTATGGACCCAGGCCTATCTAAAAATCATAACATTTGATTTCAGTCCAATCCTGGTGAGTCTGGTTTACAAGCTGAATACAATCCTTTTTAAAGGCATGATGAGACCCTTCCGTATTCTGGAAGCTAAAGCTCCAGTTCTTTCTATGCAAAATAGAGTGTCAGGTCCAGTTTGAAGTTATGGCAGATGATGACCAAGCTGGAAGAGGAGGGGAGATAATAGGGAAGGCCATTCCATAGAGTTAGGGGTGGGTCCCACTGGAACCTGGGTCCTAGGAAATGATGTCATCTGGTCTGATCTTTGAGACTGAAGGGCCTGGTGAACCTGGCTTAGTAGAAACGTCAGAGTATTACTTCAGGTCTCTGGGGTCACATGCTATGAAGACAAATAGTCAACAGAGGCTTTGGGCAGAAGGTGGGCACTGCTATATAGACAGTGGTCACCAAGTAGTCAACTGTGCCTGGTCTACAGTACACACTAGGGGAGAAGGAAAGGTCATGTCTGTGTGTAAATGAACACTCAGCTAGACATGATTATAGTGTCAGCACCAGTACTAACAGGCTGTCCAAAGATTCCTGGCTCTATATGCTGGGCAGAGAGATGGGCTTTGAAGCCAGAACACAGAAATGGGAAGTTCATGAAGAATTTATAAAGAAAGTACATGAGTTCAGATGACCCAGCTATATCAGCCAACTCCATAGTCCTCATTTCCCACTGCTACCTCTGCTCTGCAGGCAAAGACCAAAGATCTCTGCAGTCCAAAGATCATTTTCAAGAGCAGCTCCTCTGTGCCCACTTGTTCTGCTTAAACTTTAACTGACTGAATGAGGCCCACCCACGTGGGGAGGGCTATCTGCTTTGTTCGGCCCACTGATTCAAAGGTTATTGTCTTCTCTGGATCTTCATTACAGACACGCCTCAGTTAATGTGTGACCATACATCTGGTACCCTGTGGCCCAACCAAGGTGACAAGCCCCCATCACATTGTGGTTGGGAATAGCAAGGTCTGCTAACCTGCTGTTCTCCATCTTGCTCCTCCTTAGCTTCCAGCAGTCGTTTTGAAGAACTTGGACCCCAGCAGTCAAGGGTCTGTCTGCTCTGGTCAAGCTCTGTGGCCTGGGTCATCTCTCTGTCAGCTTCCCTGGCCTGTGGTTTGGGGACAGGATTCCTAGGCTACAGGTAAGTATTGAGGTTTTTAGGTATCTCAGGTGCTTGATAGATTTCTAGGGTCTGTGAAGAGACTCATACATTTCAGGGAACTCATTCAGTTACCAATGTCACTATTTTTCCCCTTAGTCCATCCCTTCTGAAGGTGAATTAATCATATGCAAACCCAAAAGGGTCACTTGGCCTTCAACAGAAGCTCTATCTAGACAGAGTCCTGGGTATGAAACAAAAAATGTGGGAGGGGCACTGAAAAGAGGGGCATTCTGCCTCTAAGTTTATCAGAGGAAAAACACTGATGCTGGCCAAAGTCAACCATTTGTTGTCTGGTGGTATTTGGGGGAGAAAGCATGTATAACATTGAGCTTGGCTATAATGCATACGTCATAGATCCTAACCAGTCCTTCCTATTCACCCCTCTTCATCTGCCTCCTGTGTAGTTTGAGCCACCACTAAAGACGGGAGGGCCACCCCCATTGTGGCTCTGGAGAAGCTGATACCATGCTCCTAACTCATGAGAAGGGTAGCCACCAGAGGCCCTTTCTTCCTGACAATATTTTTTCTCCCAACTGCATTGCTGACCACTGTGTAAGGACAGGATAGGCACTAGAAGTTTCTTCACACCTCAGTTTACTTATCTGTAAAAGATGGACACTGGGCATTCACAGTCCAAAGTCATGGGGATGAAATCAAAGTGTTCACACCACCATCACCTACATTTTCCAGCTCATCTATGATCTGCCCTGTCTTTACTTCAGGCTCTTTTACTCTTGGTCCTGGGAAGTTTTGAAGAGGTTTGTGTTCCCTCAACAGGGAAGGACTCTAATTTGATGCGCAGACAGACCTGTCGCCCATCCCACAGCCCCTCCTCAAGCAACCCCCATGTCTCCCAACAGTGAGGGCATCATTGACTCTGACTGTAATTGTCTTCATGGGTAGCTTCCTCCCTCGAAGGTGCTGATAGATCCCTCTCCTGGGCAGGTTTGTGCCAGTGCAGTGTATGTGGTGGCTACACCTGCTGCTTCTCTCTCTGGTCTGCTGTGCATTCATCACCCAGCCACTCATGGTAAGGAGCCCCACTGTGGTGGAGGTGCCTTCGTCAACATGGGACCAGGGAGGAGAGGGATCAGGGGGCTTGGTTTTGGGTGGTGTGAGATTTCTCTTTAGAGTTTGACTTAGATGTAATAAGAAACTCTGGGAGCCAGGCCCTGGGCTAAGAAACTCCACCTCAACCTGGTATTCAGAATCCTTATTTTTAAAAATCCCAAAAGAGATGAACCACTTTGCTTCTATTTTCAGTTTATGAGTCTCTTCCCTAGAGGTCCCAAGTCTCTTGGTGAAGGCCACACTTGGTGACTAACTACTGGGAATTTCAGGGTAGTGGCTTCTGGTACCTATTTTGAAGTGAGATAAAGTCAGCTGGCAGTGCAAGACCAGGAAGTTGGCTATGTGGGAGGGACACAGACAGACACTGGTGCTGTGGTGCCTCTCCTATGTGGGAGGGACACAAACAGACACTGGCACTGTGGCGCTCTCTTCCAGATCTGTTTGGCAGCACTGGCCTTTGCTTGGCAATGGAAACATGACAGCGGATTTTTTACCAAGTCTTTACAAGATGCAACCAAGGATCTGGATTTGGAATTGGAAGAACGTTCCAGAACCCACATTCCTCTTTCTCCTATCTCCTATAGTCCTGACAGTGCTGAGGAGGCTGAAAGGGTGAGCAGAAAGGGCAGCATTCAGAACTGTTCTGTTCCCACCGTGAAGATGGGAACTCAGACCTCGATTCAAATTTCCCCATGCTTTTGGAGTCCCACTGTGTGTGTGTGTGTGTGTGTGTGTGTGTGTGTGTGTGTGTGTTATATATGGTATATAGCGTGTGGTGTCCACGTGTGAAGTTCTTATGCTTCTTTCCTTACATTTACCCCAATCCCAGTGAAATCAGAACCACAAGGAAATGAGTGCACTTGAAAATGTAGAGATTAGTGCCTGGAGAGATGGCTCAGCAATTGAGAACTGGCTGCTCTTCCAGGGGACCATGGTTTAATTCCCAACACCCACATGGCAGCTCACAACTCTCTGTAGCTCTTGTTCCAGGAGAATCTGAAACCCTCACACAGATATACACACAGGCAAAACACCAGTGCACATTAAATAAATAAATAGGACTCATTTTAAAATTTAAAGTTGTAAAAAGAAAAAAAATCTCTAGGGGCTAGTGAAAAATATAATTTCTGGCCACAGTGTTAGAGGACTTCTAGATCATTTGCTTTTCAATGCACTCATAGGAAATGTACAGCCTCCCCCTCTCCTCACTTCCACGCAGACATTAGCAGTCTCCACATCCCAACTAAGGCCCACCATTTCCTGCTTCTCTACTCCATCCTTCAACACCCATTCTCTACACACCTACAGGCTTCCTTCCTCCAAGGCTCTCTTCCTCTGTCAGCACAGCCAACTGGGTCCAACCCTGAGGCCACAGCATGGTTCTAATCTCAGAACCGAGGCCTTTGAGGAACTCAGTCCTCGTGAGGCTTGACTCTCCAACCCTGTGTCTGCCATCACCCTAAAGTCCTGATGCTCTACCTGCCGAGTCTCCCAGGCACCCAGCCACAGTGCACAGTTCTCAGTACATAAGGCATAGCTGGACCACAAGCCCAGCCCTCAAGCTTCACTTGACAGCATTTGCTCTATATTTCTTAGAAGCCTAGCAGCTCTGGAAGGAAGGACTGAGGGGCCAAGGGGCTGCTCCCTGAACGTGCCTAGAATGGCTAAGCAGATGAGTGAGAAATGAATGAACGACTATTTCCCATGGATTTGCCTCTTAGCTACTGTTAGTCCTGCCCATGAACACACGTATCTACAACATGGAAGCAATAGTGCTTTTATTACACAAGGCAAACCAAAACAAAGATCATTCACGTTAAAACAAACTGCTTTAAAATCCGTTTTCCAGTCTTTGAAGGTCTCTAACAGGAACGACTATGCAAATACTAAAGGCAATTAGCTCTGTGATTGGGCAGCAATGAACATGCCTCTCTTGTGAAGCTATGCTTTCTAAAGGCCCAGATACAATCCTTGCCAAAAGAGCTGGCCTGGGACATGAGCAGAGTTTTCAAATGGGTCTACTTCATCTCACATTGCCTCTTCAACAACACAGTGTGTGTTAACTGCACAGAGTTCCTCTTTGTCCCCTAAATGCAATGCAGAGAGCAATGGTGACAGCTCTTGGGTTGGCAGGGACACCAAAAGCCTCTCTCTCCAATGCTGACCCCAGTATCATGGTGCTCTCCTTCTATCACAGGTCTTGGCTGCCCGACGACAAGAACGCCACCTGCGCTGGTCTCAGACACCATCCAGGGCCAAGTTCAGAGTGATTAGGAAGAGACTGAGGAGAGAGAGCCTCTTGCAGGCAGCCCTGAGGTAGGTGTAGCCCAGAATATAATGGGCTTCCTCTGTCCTGCCTTCTCTTTAGAAGAGATCTTGCACTTGGGAAAATCCTTTCCTATATCTCAGCCCATGCCAAAGGCCGAGGGACAGAGACACTGCACTGGAGGAAGGAAACCATTCCGTCACCTGTCTGTAATCTGTGGCCCAGAGTTCTGACCTCAGCTCCATCAGCCATGGAGACTCACATGGATCACACCATGCCCAGCACCAGACATGGTATTCCATTCCTCTAGCTGGATACACAGAGCTATGAAAATCCAACTGCAAATGTTATACCTCTCAGTAGGCATTGACGAAGTCCAGGGAGCAGTATTTAAAAATAAGTCAACAGTACAGTTTACACAGACATGTTCTGAAGATCAACACAAAGTCCACTTCAAATTTTTAGAAATGCATCACACTTAGTAACTATGATCCTGAGACAAGCCTCTCCAGATTCAACTTCAGTCATGCTTCTTTCTGTCAGTGGTACCCATTCCTCTGCCCATCTGTGCTAGATACTAATAGCAGTTAATAGCAGTTCCTAGAGGAACCTTCTGCAAGGACTAGTCAATACATGTCTCCCAGTTCTGATTCTAGATTCCAGACTTCTTGAATCTGTCAAGAGACTAGAAGCTCTGGATATTTTTCCCACAATGATGTTGTTAAAGTACGTTGTGATGCCTCCAGTTTATCATCACGTTTAAAGATCCTTTCTCATCACCTGCGTGCACGCAGCTCCCTTAAGTAAAGAACAGGTCCTGAGACAGGTTGTTTTCCAAAGAAGGGAACCATGGCATTATTACAATGGCAAATTTAAAGTAAGTGAAAAAGGAATTCTGAGAAGAAGGGACATTGACAAAGACTTTTAAATTTGTTCAGTCTGCCCATAAAAACAGGGATGGCACCATGAACCAAACCCACCAAAAACATGAACGGTAGATCTAAATCAATCTCTCTCTCTCTCTCTCTCTCTCTCTCTCTCTCTCTCTCTCTCTCTCTCTCTCTCTCATACACACACACACACACACACACACGCACACACACTTACACCTTGAAGTCACACAGGTACACTAAGCACTTTGTAGCCAGTGCCTGCAGTACCCACTGCACTGTTCAACACCAGGACATAAAGAGAACTGTAGGTATCTGGGTGTCTGAGAACAGAGAGATCAGGAGCTCCTGAGGGGTCACTTCAGGAACTGTACTGCCACAGAAACCCAGTTCATAGGTGCATGTAATGTCTGGAACACTGAGTAGCTGATGCCCATGGAGCTTGCAGAGTTGAGCATAGCAAAGCTGAGAAATCTAGCTGCCCAGGCCAAGGCCTCATGCTGAGAGAGCCACCTGCAGTGCCTGCACCATGGTGGACACCTGAGAACACAACAGCTAGAGACAACAGGTTCAGAAGGGGACAAAGCTAACTCGTTTTGTAGATGTCATTAGTAAAAGTCTGGGAAAGTCCCACAAAATAAAATAAATAAACAAACAAACAAATAGTCAGTGAGAGAATTTAATAAAGTAGCTAATAGAAAAATTAACCATCAAGAGCCATTATCCTTTGTAAGTCAAGTAAAATGCAACACTCTTCAGCACAGCAAAAAAAACATGGCTTCTACAGTGTAATCTCAATGGGAAATGCATAAAACAATCAGAAGAGTTAAGGAACAATCTTCAAAGATTGAAATATAACCTGAAACTAGTAGGAACGAACCAGTGCCTACATCAGTGTACATCAGGTGTCTGTCATCCTTCAGAATAATGACTCGCTGTGGGATAGGGCACATAAGCAAGTGTATGGTTGTCAAGTTTGTCATTGCTGCTGTCCTTGAAGAGAATTGTGTGTAGCCTGAGAGAAAGGCAACGTGGATTCTAGCACAGAAATACCAAAATCCTGTAGTCTTCGTCATGAATAGTAAATCACAGACCAATGAAATAGACACCTAGAATAGAAGAGAGAGCCAGAAACAGCCAATGAATAGGCCCAAGCAATTTTATTGGCAAAAACATTAAGACAATTCGATGTATACATGAATAGGCTTTTCAAAATGGGGCTGGGAATGCTGGATGTTGATAACATAAAAGAATAAAACAACACAGAGGTGTTGAACTCCCATCCCAAGCTAAGGAGCTATTGGTGGTTGATAGCTGGTGGGAGAAAGAGAGACAGTTTTCTGTAAGGGCATAGCCAGGGTAGATCAACCAAGCTCCAGTGGAAGGCCATGTATTGCAGAGCATAAGGGCAGCACAAATTATACTTGATTGGTTAAAAAAATAATAAAAATAAAGACACAAACTTGAATGGGTAGGGAAGGTGGGTGGATCTAGGATCTGGGTGAGGAAGTGAATATCAAAGTACTTTGTGTGAGGTTTTCAAAAAACTAATGAAAACTAGGAAGGAGTCTTTTTAAAGTACAGAGAATAAACAGTGTTTAATCCATCTCATGCCTTATACAAATACATCCCAACTGAGACATAGATGCCCTGCTCTCTAAAATACTTTCTGTGAGGGAAATAGGTATGTGGACACACAGGGTCCCCAAGGATGCTAACTCCTCAACCTCTCTTCCCAGAGACGTGACCATGCACAGCATCATGCTACTGCTGCTTTTGTTTATAGCCTATGGGAGATTCTGCCCAGGTGAATATTCTCTCAATCAAGCCATCAGGAAAGCATTTACAAGGTAGGAGGTTTGGGTGGCTCTTGCAGATCTGGAGAGTGTTGCACTAGTTCATGGTCATTACACTCACACCCAAAGACAACTTCAAACTATGGGCTCCTGAATCAGTTTCCTTCACTGTGTTCCAGAAGGGGGAGCCATACAGACGCACTACCCACACCTTCCCTCAATTTCACCATTACAAGACTTCACCTAGAGAAAAGTCTTCATCACAGCCTGTGTATGAAATCTGTAAAAGGCTGTCTAATTACCCATGTTAATGGAGGGCTCCATTTGCAGACTTTGGCAGGTGCTTGGCATCTCATTTGGGGTCAATAGTGAAAGAAGTTCTTGCCCAGAGAAGGTCATACCATCTATTTTGAAAAAAAAAAAATCAGTGTTCTTCAACCAAAGGCTACATTCACAATTCATGATTCCTGATACCCCAATTTCAAAGTGTGCTTCTCTGCCAAGCTCTCCACCACGTCTCAAGTGTTCACTGGGGATTTTTTTCCTACTTTTAATTCCAACAGATTTGCATCATAAGGAAACACTGACCAAGAGAACAGTTTATAGCAGAGGCACACTCCCATGCATCTGACATGTGGGGACCTTTATGAGGTCTTGACACCCCTGAGATTAGGATGTCCAAAGAGACGAGTGGATACACTTAGTAGAACATTCTTTTTTATCAGTGAAAATTACCAAGTGGGCAGTTTCTTCAAGGCAGCTTGACTCTAACGATATGAATTATTATTGCTTACTTTCTAGTGACAGAGTATTACAACTCTGCACATTCTGGGGTTTCCTTTCTCTTCTGTAAGAAATATTTTAATGCTCATTTTTGTAGCATCTTTATGAATGTGTTTCCTTTGATTCTCATTTGGTTTTATGGAAGTGTATTTATTAAATTTTTGGCAGGAGAGAACATTAATAAAATCCATTTCACCTTTTTGATTTAAGGACATATTTTTAGATTCTGCAAGACAGAGGAACACTGACACCCTGCTAGATGGTGACTCACAGATGTCATTCCTTTTATTCCTATTACTCTTTAACAAGGTACTGCCTGGAAGCCCCAGTACTTGAACTTGCCATGGCTGAATAATGCCAGGACTGCTGCAGCTCTAGAGAAACTACATGGTAGTTTCTGAGCCCCATTTTGTCTACTTTGACAACTTAGTTCTTCCATATGAACAGATGCATCAGATGCATAGATTATGCCAGGAGGGGGCACTGTGAGCAAAACAAAGAGACCATGTGGCTGGCGCTCTCTCGGTCTCTCTCTCTTGGTCTCTCTCTCTTGGTCTCTCTCTCTCTCTCTCTCTCCCTCTCTCCCTCTCTCTCCCTCTCTCCCTCTCTCTCTCTCTCTCCCTCTCTCTCCCCCCATGGAAATCAAAACACAAAAACCACTGATTTGGCTAGTTTATTTTTATCTCACATTTCATGAATTCCTTTTTCTTTGACATTTCTCATATGCCCCTTGATTGTCAAATATTCCAGCTGAGATAACATCTGTAAAATCCCTGTGTTCTTGGGCCTGGTACACTCAGGTAACCCTCCCAAATGTTGACCCAGGTGGGCTTAGAGCCCTCATGTTTCCCACAAGGATAGAAACCTCACTGCCTCTTGCAGCTCTGAACAGAAGGCGGGGCCATATTTCTATATCATGGCTCAAAATGGAATGTTTAAAGTGGACCCTCTCTGCCTCACCCATCCCCCAAGTACCTAATCCTAAAAACCAACAAATCCCCAGAAGGGCTGTTATTTGTAGCCTCCAGGGCAGGAAGCCTAGGAAAAGTGAATCCAATGGAATGCAAGGGGCTCTCTTGGCTCCCTGTGACTGGCAGGCCTCTGCTCCTGGCTGCCACCACCTCTATAAAGTTAGGAGGATACGATTCTAGATTTTTGTCTTCAAAAAAAACAAATTACTCTAATATCAGATTGTGTCATGTTTAATTTGTATTTGAAGTACTTCTGAACTCAAAGTCTTCATCAAATTCCAAATCAACAAAACTAAACTAAACCACAAGTAAGGGACTAGTACCTAGAGATGGGGCAGAAGCCCAGCTCCATCCCATTGCCCTTCAGAGATGACCACTAATGCTCTTTCTTCTCGCTGGACTGGTGCTGTGGGCCCATTTGATATAATTGCTGTAATTAGTACACACAGGACCAAGCCATGCTTGGATCCTTTGGTTCACCTCTTGCTCTCCAGTGTGCCAGGAAGGAGTAGCATTGTTCCTTTGTGTATGGGATGTGTGAGCCCTGGATCACAGCAGGTGTTTCTTGACAGTTTCATTAATGTGGTCCCAATAGGGACTAAGTATGGTGAGTGCTTGCTCTAAATTAAGCAAGTTTTGGCTAGGGGTGCAGTTCAGTGGGGGATCACATGCTTAATGTGGGCAAAGACACCTTGGGGTTAATGCCCCAGCACCTCAAAAACTATTGTGGGGATGTGGAGAGATGGCTCAGTGATTAATGATACTGGCTGCTCTCCCAAAGAACTCTAGTTGTGTTTCTTACACCCATATAGCTGGTCATAACTATTTTTATCTGTAGTCCCAGGGGATCCAGTGCCCTCTCCTGGCCTCTGAAGGTACCAGGCACACATGTGATGCACAGAAGTACATGCACAGAAAACACCCATACACATAAAACTGAATAATTTAAAAAAAAAAACAATTTTAAGTGTTCTGAGAACTCAGTATAGATATTAAATGTACACTAGTTTGTTTTTTCAAACAGATATGGGTCTTCCTTAGTGGCAGATGTGCAGTCAGCTTGTCTGCCCAATATTCCTTCCTGCCTCCCTCCCGTCACTGTCTCTTTGTACAGAGCTTTCTCCTCGGGGCTGTGAATATTTTCAGGGTTTTACCAGCTTTCTTTGTGCTTCCCATGCTGACTCTGCCTTCTTTTCAGGAAATGCTCTATTTCTCCATCACAGCCTCTAGGGATCCCTTGCAGCTCTCCCATTTGCTCAGGATTTGACAAGAAGTTTGGCCAAACTTTCAGAAAAGCGTGGAATTGAGAACTAACAGTCAGTGAAAGGCCTGCATAGATTAGGGTCCAAAGCAACAACAACAACAACAACACACATTTGTCGATGAGTAGCAGTCAGACTCTATTCAAGAAAAGAGAACTGGGCTGGAGAAGGCTCTTGAAGAGTACATAGTGCTCTTCCAGAGGACCCAAATTCAATTCCCAACACCCATGGCCAGCAGCTTACAACTGCCTGCAACTCCAGCTGCAGGAGGTTCCATTCTCTCTTTTAGTCTTTGTAGTTACCTGTATACTTATTAGAGAGAGAGAGAGAGAGAGAGAGAGAGAGAGAGAGAGAGAGAGAGAGAGAGAATTCTAGAAGAGGAGAAGGAAGAAGGGAGGTGGGAAGAAGGAAAAGAAAGGAAGGAAGGAAGGAGGGAGAGGAGGAGGGAGAGAAGGAAGGGGGTAATTAAAACAAGTCAGCTCAATAGCTCCTGGGCTATTATTGCTCACACGTTATGGAAATTTTGGACGTGTGTACATTCAGTCTATATAAATTCTGATGGAGGTATTTGTTTTTCTATTAACATATTTTGAAGCCTTTTCCTTGCCCTTGGTTCCTTTTTGATTCAATTGTCTAGCTTTCTTACATGGTTGTAAGGTATTCCAGCCCCTAAGGAGTCCCTGCCCCACACCTGGACAAAGACTATCTGGCAGGAAGCATCCTCTTGCCAGCTTCTGAGGTGAATTCTTCTGCTTCTGAGGTGTGAATTCACAGGACACAGGTCATGTTCAGGAACATGAAGTTAAGAGATGCCCGGCACAGGCTTTCTGGTTGCTGTGCACTGGCTCAAGTGACCTACGCTCTGAAGCTCAGCTAACCCAAAGTGCTCAGGACATTCTACCCACCCGTAGTTGGTGACCTAAGGCAAAGCCTACTTTGTAATCAAGTGTTGGATATCTCATGGAATTGGATATTGGGCTAAAAGTGTATGTAGGTGGGTAAAATGTTTACCACAGTACAGGTAAAAGATCATCAGTTTTAACTGTGCTGCATATACATCTGTATACAATTTCTTTGTTTCCCCACAGAAGGACAGGGATCTGATCTTGTTTCCCAGTATCTACAAGAGTGCCTGCTGCTTAGTATTTGCCCACAATGTTTGTTGAGTGAATGAATAAGCCTTGTTTCTCACTGTTTCTCTTCCCTCTGCCACTGAGGAGCAGAATGAATTCTGGAGTTGTACCTCATCTTGCAAATTGCTTTGGCTTAATGCCCACAGAACCTAGACTATGGGGGTGGAAACACTGGCAACTTTCCCTCGAGTTTGGAATTGTTCTTAGGGATTCATCTATACTTTTTTTGTTTTGTCCTTGAATTGAGAAATGCCAATCACTCCTTGGAAGACCTCAGCAGCACAGAAGACTGGTGGGACTGGACACTGAGCACACTTCTCGATGAGCTGTACCCAGAGAGAGTATCTGCTAGAGCCTGGGGGGCTCAGGTGCGTTACTTTCCTATCTGTCAGATACTATACGGTAGTGAGAAGAAGCCACAGTGAGGTGTAGGCGCTGCCCCGTGGCTCCATGGCAGGCAGAGAAACCGGTCCCTCTTCCTGACTGGAGTCCGTGTTAAGCTACTCACATCCACTAGTCAATGCTTGCCAGTGCAAGCAGGGCCTAGACACTGAAGAAGGGTTCAGAGTGAGACTGAGGAAGAAGCTAGCTCACTGCTAGCAAGACAGACAGAGGCTCAGAAGTCCCCAGAACAGAAGGGTAGCCAATGGCTAAGGCACCATCGTTAGGGAAGCTTCCAGAAAAAGGCAAGGTTGGTCCAAAGTTTCTGTTATCCAGTCCCATATTCATTTTTCACTTTCTCTCCTTTTTTAGAAAATATAAGATCTTTGTTAGCCTGGTCTACAGAGTGAGTTCCAGGACAGCCAGGGCTACACAGAGAAACCCTGTCTTGAAAAACAAACAAACAAACAAACAAAATTCTTTGTTGTCTACTCCTGAAACAAGTGTGCCACTTTGTTTCCTTTTGTTATATTCCAAGAGTTGTAGAGGCACCTGGGTCGTTCACATGAGGTAGACTTCAAGGGGAAGGCAACTGAATCCTTTCCTTTTCCAAAGAGGAGGCTGGGGAGGGAGTGCTGGTTACATCCTCTGGGTTGTCAGGGGAATGAACCTCTGATTCCACAGATGCAGTGACCCGTGCATCCCAAGCCTTGTCAGCGATGCTTTGCAGGTGGCAGTTGAAGTCCACCACTCTTACCTGTTGACTCTCTTCCTCTTTCAGCCTGCAGCTCTTGGAGGGCAGTGCCACCTAATAGGCCCCCCAGTGATCAAGCAGCTGAAGGTTTCTGCTGGCACTGCATGCACAGTAAGCACACTGTGACTCGGGAGACTCGGGGACAGGGCCCAGCAGATCAGTTAAGCTCCTCAGACAGCTGGGAGGTGGTGTGAGGTTGCCAGGTGCCAGGCCTACCTTCCTTCTGCCCTGTCCAAGCATCCTCCTGCACCCTCTGCATTCTGCCCCAGGACTGTTCTGTTCATTTCTAGAATTGATATTCTAAGCAAAGGAAGGCCCCTTCTTCTAGAAATCTGAAACTAGGATATTCTTGTATTATTTTTATGATGGGGAAGGGTGACCCGAGATAGCATTATTCCTCAGTGCAATGTTCTGCAGATTGTCCAGCCCTGCTCATCTAATTCCTCAGCTGCAGCCCTCAGCATACATAGTCTGGATCCTTCTGGTTTAAGATAGAACCCAGAAATCATGAAGTAGGCCAGTAGGTCCTTGAAAGTAGCAGGGTCCCTGATCACATCATTGGACTGTCCTGTGTGTGGACAGAGCTTGGGAGCCCCACAATACAGATGGACTTGGGGACAGGGATTGACTGGGTTACTTGATTGATAGTTTGTGCTCCAGCCTCCCAGGCCATTCACAGAGCTTGTGGAAGATGTACTCCCTATGCACAGTCATGACCTTGACCTTGAAAACCGAAGTGTGACCCCTGGTGGTCCTGAGACCTGTGGTATGAAGAAAGAGAGCTACATGCAGAGCCTAGGAAAAACAAGGTCAGTAAGTAAGCATCAGTAAGTGTGGCTTCCAGGCAAGTTGAAAAGGCCAGCATTGCTAAGGACTGAGCAGTGCTCCTGGTTCAAAGCAATGGTGTGAAGGAACTCAGATTCAGTGTTCAGACCCATGTGCATAGAGAAGAACGGAATGGACCATTCTTTAAAAGTGGCTGCCAGAGCCTGCAGTCATGGGGTCAAGTGAATCTTTCTCCTTTGCTTACTGTGTGCCAAGCAGAATGCTCACATGGCCTTGACTGTTCCTCCCCTGAATCCCAGAGGAACACAGAAGCTGCAGTGAGCAAATGAGGAGTGGATCTTCCAGTGTGTATAGATATAGCATGTATATACCATGCTTCCTGTAGCTCAGCCTGCAGTCAGGTAACCCTAGCAGTTCCACAGCATGCTTAGGCCCATTCATGGTGCAGCCTTCCTCATAGGATGGGGCTTTGCATAGGAATCAGTCTGAGACTTATAGTAATGTGCCTGGAGAAATTAAAACACAGAGCATGATTTACTCTAAATATGAATTAGTAAAATGTGGTTTCTTTCTATCCTTATAGTCCACTGTGAAAAGTCTACTGTGAGCCCTTGGGGAGGGATGCTGGGTATCTCTTCCTCACGGAGCATAGGTGAGGGGTAAAAGCCATTGGTTTTCTGATATTTTATCCTTGCTGCTGCAGGAAAAAAAAAGAGGAGGGAATGAGGGGCAGTGAGCTCCTGGTGGGGATTCCTGTCACATAGGAGGACTGCCTGTGCAGTAATCGGAAGGCTAGAGGTCATCTGTCCCCCATGAAGGCTTGCATCAGTTGTTTTGGATATGGTGCCACAGATGGGATTCTCCCTGGGACTTCCAACCCTTATTCCCTGCCCTCCCTCTGAACCTGGGCTGCTTTCCAGGCATGAAGCCCATGCAGCTCTGACTGCCCTCAGGGCCAGCAGGTGGATTGACCGCAGCACCAGGGCCATGTCTGTGCACTTCACTCTCTACAATCCTCCAACACAACTCTTCTCAAGTGTGACCCTGGGCGCAGAATTTCTCCCCACAGGACGCCTTGTCCCCTCATCCCTGGTAGAGTCCTTCAGCATCTTCTATAGTGACTCAGCCCTAAAGTGCCTTCTTATGCTTTCTGAGGTGAGTTCACATGCCCTGGGCCTCCTGGATGGACACAGGGAACCCCGGCTTCACCTGGGCTAAATACCTCCACACTATGAGACTAGAGACCTCTCATTGGCCCACCCCCACAATTCTTATGTCCCTTTTATGCAGTGTGAACCATAGAGAGCAGTGTTGGAGCTGGAGACAAGAAAGACCCCCAGTGGGGACAGCAACCAGCACATAGAAAATGAGCTCAAATACTCAACCACCACAACGTACTAATAAAGTACTGTCACCCCTCATTGTCCAACATTTAACTTTCTATAGTCAACCATGATCTGAAAATATGGAACGGAATGTTCCAGAAGTAAATAACGCCTACATTTTAAACAATCTTATAGTGTATTATGGTGCAATTACATTGTGTTGCTCTAACTGTTCTATTTTATTATTGATTATTGCTGTTAATCGGTTACTATGCCAGATGTAGAAATTAAGCTTTATCACAGCTATCTATGTATTTATAAGAAAATTACAGTAATAATAGGGTTTGGTACTTTTGAAAGTTCAGACAGCCACATACCCCTCAGGCAAATGGGATCATCTAGTGCTCAATGGCTGGGTGGCTTAAGTAACAGGCATTTCCAAAGATCCAGTAGCTACAAGCCTAAGATCAAGGTACCAGGAGAGCTGGACTGTAGTGAAAACTCCCTCCCTGGATGGTGGAAAGCTCCCTTCTCTCTGTCACTGTCTCATTGTGTCACACAGCCTGGATCCTTTTTCTGTGCCTGTAAACAAAGAGAAAGTATACGTGTGCTTTTGGCCTCAGTATGTATATAAACTTCAATATTTTAGAAGCAGCATCGTCCCCATGTCTCCATTTAGCCTTAACTACTTCCATCAAGGCCTGCCTACAAATACAGAAACCATGGGGTTTGGGATACCAAAATATTAATTTGAGAATATCAGCCCCCGTAGTCCATAGCACTAGGTGTCAGTGGTTCACATTGCTTCATTGAACCATCAAAAGCCTCAGCAGCCACACTCCACTGTATGCCACTGGGTTTGTATTTTCTCGTTTCATTTCCTTTAGAAGGAAACATGCCCCACTGGTTGGACAAGTCAAATCTGCTTGGCTTTGGGAAAGGAAAGAAGTCTAGGGACTGTTAGAGACAGCCAAGGCCAAGACTGGAACGGAGGATAAGTATGAAGCAGAGGTGTGGATTACTGGGAAGGGTCTGGGATAAGAGAGGTTCATGACTTAGGCACCGAAAGTCATAAATAAATAAATAAATAAATAAATAATAAATAAAGTCAGAAAACAAGCTAAATAGCATTCTAGTTCACTATCTTAAAATATAAGGAATCACAAAAAAATGAAGCCATGTTGGACAAAATGTCAAGAGTTTAGAAAACCAGATCAGTTCCCGTGCCCTTTTCTTTGGCTTTCTACTACGGAGAAAACAAACACTGGCTGGAGGTAACATCTTTGACGTAGTCTCCTGTATAGAGAACAATAACACTAAAGTGTTTCTATCTGAAAGGAGAAGACTTTTATCAGGAAGTCCTATAAATACTCGCTACTTCACTGTGGTCCCTGCTGTAACACAGAGGCAGTCTCTGGTATGATGCAACACAGTACCACTGTTTCACACCCTCCCTTGGTACTCAAAGCCGACGTGGCTCTGATTATGTTTGTAGTTTATTAAGAGTGGACCTACAAGGCCTAATGCACACAGCTCCCAAAGACGTGGAGAATGCACAATGCAGGCATGGTGAGCTGGTAGTGGCAGTGGACTCCCAAATGCCTTATTCCCAGCCCTGTAGGGTCAAGAGCAGGCCTTGAGGCTTTGCATGGATTAGGTCTCAGAGAGCTTAATATAAAGTGAGACCAAGCTGCTCAGATGCCTACTGCAGGGCTAATTTGACATCAAATGCTGCCAAGACACAAAGATGCTTGTACCATGTCCACTGGCTGGGCAGAGGCACCAGCCAGAAGTTTAGACCTTGAACAAATGACCCAGCTGAACCTTCTATTGCCTCACTTATTTCCATCCTCTCTCAGCTACTGTTCCTGGTACTCAACATGATCCACCTCTGTTTCCAGCTCTGGGGGATGGCAACCAAGGGTGTCCTCAGCTACTGGAGAAAAGCTAGACACTGGCTGGAGGTAACATCTCTGAAGTAGTCTTCTATATGGAGAACAATGACACTAAAGTATTTTTATCTGAAAGGAGAAGTACTTTTCTCAGGAAGTCTTATAAATACTAACTCCTTCCAATGTCACTGCAGTTCCCACTGTCGTGCAGAGGCAGTAGAGTATTTCAAATCAGGTTTCCTTGACATCTGTTGGTGGTAGTGGCATTGGAGTGTGCGTGTGTGTGTGTGTGTTTATGTTCATATGTATTTTGGTGCATAAATTTGTGGAGGCCAGGAAACAACCCTGGTTGTTATTTCTCAGACAGTATACATCTTCCTTTTTTAAGACAGCTTCTCTCCCTGGCCTGGAAATGACTAATTAGAATAGGCTAGCTGACTGGTGGGCTCAGGAATTGACCTGTCTCTATCTCCCCCACATGGGGATTACAGGCATGTGCTACCATGACCACATTTTTACACAGTTCTGGAGATTGAATTCATCCCTGTGATTACCCTTTACCAAATGAGTCACCTCCTCAACCACCAACTTAATGTTCAACAGGCAACTTGTCACCAGAGTATCAGGGATGCTGAGTCATCCCTCAGTTGGCTGAGGGACCTTTCTTCCCATCTTGCAGCTCTCTACTGTTGGAGTAGCACTGGCCTACTATGCAGCCTCTGGTCACCTCACTATTCTTGCTGAGAACATCACTGACCAGTTCCACAAAGGACTTTATCAGACGTTTGTGGACGTCAGCCTGATGGTGTCATGGAATCAGGTATGGAAGGAGACTCAGGGCTACCCAGAAAGAGGCTATGACTGATGTTGCTCTATGACATCTGTCACACAAGGATGAGAGGGTTCAGGGTGATGAATTTGTTCTGTTGAATGATATTGCTGTGAGCTCACAGATGATGGCACTGAGAGTAGTGAGATTTGGAGAATTTCACACATACCCACTCGATGGGCATCCACGCCTGTTGTGTGGAGCAGAACTCATGGACTTGCAGCAGCATGAGGAAGCAAGTGTCATTCAACATCATTTACAGTAAGGAGGCTAGCACTAACATGCTTAGACACATCATGTGTCCTATCTTTCCATCTACTGGTGGTCTTAGATGAAGGTGTTTGCAATAAGTGATGACCCCAAGGCTCAGGAGTCATGAAAGGAGGAAATACCCCCTCTAAGTCCCTGTATCTCTACCCCACAAGATTCCCTAAGCCTCTTTTCTACATACCTTGAGATCTGTCAATGCCTCAGAGCCACCCTGTAGCTAGAGTACCCTTACACCTTGGACAAGCTGCTCATGGAACAACCTGAAAAGAGGGGGCACTTGTTCCTCTCTAACTACAATGTTCCCAGCTCCACCTCCTCTCTTTAACTTCCCCCTGCCTCCTCATGGATGCATGTTGGGGCCAGCTCTCCTTTCTGTTGTGTGGGGAGCCTTAGAGGGCACACAGCTGGTGCTCTTACTCTACCACAGTTCCAGCCTTCCTTTCCTAGGTAAGTGGTACCACTGTTGTTCCTGTCTCCTCAGAAGTCATATCTACTTCTACCCATCTTCTCCTCTGCCTTCTCACCATCCATACTCTGGGTAAATCTTGGAGCAGAAACACAAGAGTGTTCTTGACATAACCACTACAGCTGGGGAAACTGAAGGCCCAGAGAGTAGAAGGACCTTCCTGTAGCCAGAGTGGCCCAGCTATGGAAGCACCAAAGAGTCGTCAGCCTTGGAGGAAGATGTGCTTTGAGTATCATAAGCAGAGGACAATCTGGGCTTCTTCCTGGAGGACAAGAATAGACATCTTCTTCCCATTGCAGTTGTCACTAGAACTGTGACTTCATGAGTCAGTCCTGTCCCTCCTACCTCAGCCCAGGAATGGAGCACTTGCATAAGGGAAGTCCTGAGGCTATACTTGCTACTCATGGGTGTTGAGCTCCATAGGCACAAACCAGATACACATCATCTTTATATCATGAGCAGCTAGGACTCCTACCTCCTCCCCTTCCTTCTCATATATTTTTGGTTGTGAGCCTAGCCTTTAATGGCTGAGCCATCTCTCCAGCCCCCCTCCCCTTCCTTCTTATCACCCCCCTGGTACTGTGAAACACATTCATTGTGCACATTGTTGATCCAAGCAGGGACTCACTGCACAGAGGGCAGCAAAAGCCATTCTTGTGTTAAGTAAGCACCAGGAGCAGGAGGATTCCAGACACTTCTTCATCTTGGATTATAATTTCCACAACTTGTAGCAATCTAGTGTGCCAATCACAAAAATCAAGACTCTTATCTTTTTTTAACCTATACAGTCAGGAAGCTGGGGCAATGGAAGACTAGAAGTCATAGTGAGCCCATCTTCCAAGGCTCAGCAAAGCTCCCTCAAACAACTGGAGTCTAGTCTGTGTGGAAAGACATTATTCACAGCTAGGAGAACCTTGAGAGCAGCTTCCTAGGTTTCCATAGGCTAGGGGATCCATAGGCTTTGATATTTGAAGACATCCTGTTTTTTTAGACAGACAGGAACAGAGCTCAGGCTGTTCCAAATGGTTTCTCTTTGTCTTGGGATGTTTTGTTCTCAGCCACCCTAGGACCTTCTTGCAAGGACTTTGTATCTACTGAGATGTGTGTGCTATAATATTACTTGTTTCTTTCTCATACACCAGAAGGCCAGAAGTGATAGGAAGGAAGTTTATCAGCTTGTTCTCTACTGTTCTCCAGCACCAGCATGGGGCCTCATTTTCTCATCACTGGTAGGCACTCTGGTCTACCTTTCCTGTGTGTCTATATTTGTCTACATTTCTTTTCTGCCAGGGAGTTTCATCTCATTCACTGTCTACTCTACCCTGTGACCACAGATATCCATCACCTGGATTCTAACACCATCATAGCCCAGCATTTCCTTGCCTGTGTTGGAAGCTCACTAGGCTAGCTTTCCTGAAACACTCAGTAGGATGCTCTTCTCACTGAGGTAGGCAGAGCAGCTCTTCTAGGCATGTAGGCATGGGAATCTGTCAGCATATCTCAGTGAGCATTGGGTCTCTGAAATGGGTTCACCTTTCATAGCCTTCTTTCTTCACAGCGTGCTATCTTTCTGATCATGTTTGCTACTGCCAGAAACTTGCCTGGATTGACTTCCTCTTCCCTAGGGATTTTAATACATCTGGGTACCAATTTCTGGACCTTCACTTAGCTCTTCAGTAAGAGCTTTCCTGGTAAAGCTTTGTCCTGCCCGACACTTGCACCAGCTCCCTGGCCCTGCATCATTTGCCCGGCCACTAGAAAAGTAATTTTTATTTTCACAAACAGTGCCTGGGGTACTGCTCAAACTAGTCGAAGCTAGGTACCTCAAAGTTTCATGAGGCTTAGGTTGACAAACTGTAATGGAGTTAATAAGTTTAGTATGCAAATTTCCATTTTATGTTTAATATACATATATACATATTATTTTACATATATTGGTCTAAATAAAACACAAAGGTAACATACTATCTGGTAAAAGAGATCATGGTATCCCATGTACACCACAAATGGCCCCACCTATGCTCCAAGAAAGTAAGCCTCACAGTCCACTCAGAAGCAGCACTAGTAATGGCCTCTGACCTTGTAGCCAGGTACCTCAGTCATAGGCTGTAGTGTTTGAGAGGCCTTCAGAGTGCCCTATCACTGTCTGAAACCAGATGAACCTGTAGCTGCGCCTATGACCTCAGCCTCAGCTCTTATTTAACTGAACAAGTGGACCAAGCTTTCTCAAGTTTTAAATACATGTTACAAGACTTATGGGGTTTTCTAAGGTGAGAGAGAGGAAGAATATATATGCATACCCCTCTAGGCAAATGATTATACATATATATATCTATATATCTATATATCTATATCTATATATCTCCATCCTACAAATAAATAAGATAATGAAAACAGGAAGGCTTTCTGGTATCCTACCAATCAGATATAGACAAGAAAGAAGGTCATAGCTGTGCTGTCCAGTGTCATGGCCACTGACCTCCTGAGAGTATAGAGAAAGAAGTATGGTCAGCCCAAATTGAGATATGCTATAAATATACACTATTGTTGAATTTAACAAATTCAGTAGGCAAACATCTCTACTTGTGCTGAATGTACATATTATTTTATATATGTTGGTCTAAATAAAATACAAAATAAATCTCCTTGCCTTTTTTTACCTGTTAACTTGCAGCTACCAGAAGATGGAGTTCTGCCCAGTCTCACATTGTATCTCCTCTCCAGGACTGGCTATGGTATCAATCATGTCTGGGTTGTTTTGTTTTGTTTTGTATCTTCAAGGAAAGCACTGGTGATGTGTGACTGTGTGACAGAAAGAGGGAGGTACACTCTGTCACTGCCCTGTCCTTACAGCAGAATGGACTGGGCCTCAGAGGGGAAACAGCCAGACCTGCTCTGCCTGTCTCTACTAGCCTGTCCTCCAAAAGACATCTTATACGTCCTGAAACCTGTTTCTTACTTGTTCTCCTCTGCAAACACTATCATGTGGTGTCCATAGAAGAACTGGTGTCCCTGAGAAACCTATGGTCTAAACAGCTCCTTAAATGAACGTGTGTTTCAGCACAGCTCACAGGTGTGTGCCTGTGTCTCTATGCCTCCTTGTGATCATTGTTAGGACTCACTGAGCTGCTGTGTTCTTCCCTTAGAAGGCACGATGCCTCCAGGGAATCCTCCTGTTCCTCTGGATGTTGAAATGTGTTCATCTCCTCAGCTCTCTAAACACCATGACACCCTTCTCAGCAGTGACCTGTTCCCCTCTCTTCAGAGTCTTGATGCTAGTGGTAAGAATCTTCTCCCCTTCTCCAGTGATTTTCCTAGTCAACCAATACATTGACTTGCTCTGGTCAGCTAGGGAATGACAAACTCCTCATGGGATCACACACCATTGCGAATTCTAGCCACCAAATTCATTATGGTGGGTTTTAGATAAGAGATAGCAGTATAATAAATTGCATCTGTGACAGCAATAGCTATGGTTTATTAAGCACTGGCTTTGTGTTATGCTTTCCCACAGCATATTATAATTATTTTCTGTGGTCATTACCACCTACAAATCTCTCTGTGAGTGCCAGGGATGGTGTGGAGGGCCTCTTGTATGTGAACACGCTCCATGATCACAACGGGCTGCGGTCAGGAATGGTGGTTTTTATTCAGAAGATGGAACAAGGAGTTGTGAGAGGAGATGGGACTTGCCTTGGGACTATAATTTTCAGATGCTTTGATGGCTACATGCTGCTTCTACATCCATGTATCACCCAAGTCCTTTACACAGAGTCTTCTCCAACTCACACATGTCCCAGTTGGAAAGGAGTTGGCTCTAGTCCCATAGGCCTAGTGCAGTACAGGTTCTCACCTCTGCAACAGACAGCATGGGCATCAAATCTAAGAGAACCACTTGGTCAGTTGGCTACTGTGAGAAGGCTCATGTTCTCGGGCCCTGGGCTCACACAGGCCTACAAGGGCCCAAGTACAAGTCTCCTTCTCCACAGAATATAGACCCCAGATCTTGCTGGGCCTGTGCTTACAGGAGCAGGTCAGCAAATGAGAGAAGAGAGCGTAGACCTCAGCGTCTAAGCTACATGTCAACCCAGGCTGCTTCTACCCAACTCACAGACCCCACCAGAGGCCAGTTAATACACCTGCCAGGAAACTGATGGCTTGTGTGTGTCTAAGATGGTGGCTTGCCTTAGAAATTATATACCTCTATATGGACTTTATTTAACAATAAACTGTTATTAATACCATTTAGCATTATATCAAAGTGCTTTTATGTTAAGAAAAGCCCAAGATATAATGAATGATGCCTAACTTAAGTGGCAGCACTTGCACTATCTAGAATGTATGTGTTGTAGGAACTTCAGGGTCTAGTCAGGCCCCTCATCTTGATTTGCTGAAATGTAGACTAACAAATTGTATTTTGTTGTTGTTTGCTTATCTGCTTTGCTTTTTATATTTAAAATGCTTACATTTATTTAATTTTCATTTATCTGTTTGTTTGTTTATGGGGGAGGGCATGTGCAAAGAGGTCAGAGGACACCTCATTCTATTCTTCCATCGTATGGGTTCTGGGGCTCATAATGAGGTCATCAGGCTTGACAGTGTGAGCAAGGGCACAGTGAAACCACTGAGCTAGACCACTCTGTGGGTGGAAAGAAAGGTTTGTTTGGGAGAAATTCAAAACCGCCAAGGCTATTGCTTGGGGTGGGGGGTCTGGGAGAATAGCAAGAGGTGGGGAGGAGAATCTTGACAGTTTTAAGGGTGATTGGTGGGAGGGAGTATGTAAGCAGGAACAGCCTGGAAGTTAGAGCTAAGGCGGGTGAGGTGTGTGAAGCTAGCATGGGGACTCTGATCCATTCCAGGAGTGTGTTAATAGAGAACTAGCTGCCCCATTGCCTCAGGTAGTTGGCTATAGGAACTATCCGGCAGCAGTCCTTCTGTTGACCTGGTCAGAGTCCCCCCAGAGCTGAGCCCAGACTGTCATTTAGGACATTGTCAGTGGCACTGTCATTTTAGGGGCAGCAAGTGGCTTTACTCACCAGGCAGAGTTGTCATCCCATTTTATTGCCTTTCAACACAAGGTTTTTTTTGTAGCCTAACTTGTTCTTCAATTCACTATATAGCCAAGGATAGCCTTGAATTCCCAATGTTCCCACCTTCACCTCAGAGCACTGAGACAGCTGGCACATTCCACCACACAGCCTAGACTGTGCTTTCTTCCTCCATAGTCCCATGGAAATGTGTGCCTGGCACTTCAGAGCCAAGGGTATTCAAGTGCCAGACAAGAGACAAGGAATTCTAAATGCAGGGCCGTGAAAACAAATGGAGGCCAGTGGTACCTGAGAGAGCCAGCACTATAACAGTGTGTCATTCACCTGAGAATGTATCAATCCCAGAGCTGGTTTTAGTAGAAGTGTCAAACAGTCTGGGCCACTAACGCCACAACTAAGACCCAAGTCTCTGTCTCTAACAAGGAAACCACAAACTTACCCAGAACCAGTTTGCCTCTAAGTTGTCCTTCCTGATTCTTAAGTTATTATCATTACACAGCCCTTGCCGGGTACTAGACACATGGGCGAGAGACCATCACAGTAGTAGTGGCCCCATACAGGAGAAGTCCAGTGTACAGGCAAGGTGCTCATGGCCAAAGACTGAAGGGGCAGATCACTGATGCCAAAGGCAGACAAAAGAGCTTAATTACAGCTGGTCATCCATCACAGGCCCACATGGCTCATGCATATAAATTGTGACCTGGTCACCAGGTAGCCTTCCAAGCTTTAGTGACGGAAGGATGAGGGCGTCGGGCTGGAAGACCTCTGACAACAGAGCAGGGAGCACAGGCACCTTTCAGAGCTCCTGGGTCGCTTGCAAGGTGAAGATACCAGTAGAAACACAGAAAGAGAGCTAGGAGGGGCAGCCTGGATGGAGGCTGGCCTCTTTGGAATGAGAGCCCAAACAAGGAAGACTTGAACAACATATAAAATCTCTTTCTCTAAGCCTTTAATGACTTAAAATCATTTAGAAGTCCCCATATAGCCCTCTTCCCTAAAGAGAGTTGATGAGTCAGTGTCCTGGGGTTTTCTCCCTACAGCTGGTGGGGGCCCTATTGCTGGCCGCCCACTCCCACTTGTTCTGGTTTCTGCTCTTCACCCGGACATTGTCACATGGCACTTCTGCAGAGGCATTTCCTGGGATACTGCTTCAATTTCCAGAAAGAAGTCAAAAAAACTCATGGCACAATCGTTTGGAGTCTGACCACGGAGCTGTATACTGTTACTATGGGATCCTCTTTCTGTTGCTGGCTACTCTGGGTTTCGGAATGGTATGTAGATGCGTTGATGCATCCTGGACTTTAAAGTCACAGTTTGTAAAGATTTCATCTGTTATGAAGACAAAATGGCCTCTATTCATATAAACAGGGCCAGGCTGCCCAGGCTAGATCTCATGGAAACAGAGCCCTCCAGAATCCACCTGATCTGCCCTTAGCAAGGGCTAGGTACAATCTCCATTCACTGAGAACAGTCCAGCAAGACCACAGCTACTCAGGACACTGCCTTACCAGTTCCCAGCTGCTGACCCAAACCTCTTCTCACTTTTTACTGCTCTGGCTGCTTCTACTGGATCTCTCTGCTGCGTACCTACTCTACTCGTTTTTATAAAGTGGTGTTCCGTGAGGCTCTTTCCCAGCAAGCTGGTTCTCCTCTTAAACTGTAAGAAGGCCTCACCGAGGTGTGGTCCTAGATAGTCCTTTGTGTCTCCCTTTTAATTCTAGCCACATTCCAAATGAGTATACCAAGAACTCAGCCTTCCCAAGGTGTTTTCTGGCACATGCTAAAGCTCAATACAAGTTAAAGGAATTGGTTCATACTTTCTTGGTGATGTCAAATTCTTTGTTCCTTAAAGGTCTGCTAATGTTCTCATTAACAGAGGTTAAACCAGAAGTGGCTGCATGTGCTCACACTCTGAAACACTTGGTCCTTCCAATGGTCCACATTCCCTGTTTACTACTTTCCCTTCATCCATCCATCCTTCATTTCTTTCTCCACCCTCATGACCTACACTCCCACCCAACTATCATTACTATCATTTATCTGTTTACCCATCAATACATTCAGTGGCCCACTCATTTAACTGTCTTTCCATCCAGCCATTTTTAGCATAGGATAAGAGGTACAGATGGGGAGGGAGTAGACAATGACAGAGACAGAGACAGAGAGAACACTTGTATGTATGTGTATATATAGAGGACAGAAGACAGTCTTGACTGTCATTCCTCAGACACTGTCTCTTTCAAACATAAGGCCTCTTATCGACCTAGAATTCACCCAAGTAAGCTATACTGGCTAGCCAGTAAAACCTAGAAACTCACTGTCTCTTGCTTCTAAGCCCTGGAATTACAGCCCTATGTCACTGTACCCAGTTTTGTTTCATTTGATTTGCTTTGGTTTTTTTGAGACAGGGTTTCTCTATGTAATCCTGGCTGTCCTGGGACTTACTCTGTAGACCAGGTTAGTCTCTAACTCACAGAGGTCTGCCTGCCTCTGCCTCCCAAGTGCTGAGATTAAAGGCCTACACCTGGTTTGGTTTTTAACATTAGTTCTATGGTTCACCATCACCCTCAGACCTGCAGATACCTGTGTCCATCTGCCAACTGCCTATGCTCCCAGTTCTTCATGTCTTGCATCGTTCTCCCAAAGACTGAAGAGATTCGAGCAATGATGCTTATGAGAGACAATGACACATTTTTAAGAGATGGTTTCGATGTGTTTCTGAATAGGAGAAGTCCCCTATACTGTAGGATACTCCAGCAGGCTATAGCTGAGTCAAGTGATGGAAATCCAGAAGAAAAAGGAAAGGGAGGTCTTGGGGAGGAGTACTGACATGTCCAGAAGGTATGGCTCAGCAGCAGTAGGGGGAAGGGAGCTCTGGGTCAGTGAGTTTGCAAGCTTTGGCTCCTAGGGCCTGTCAACACAGCTTCTTAATTTCAATGGACAACTCCACATGAAGTTCTATGGGGTATACAAAGCAGACACATTCTAAAGGACTAAAATTTTGCTTGTTTGAGCTATATTTCAAAATAAACTGGATGTGAACTAAAAGGTTTCAGTCGGTAGTGAAGAAATAAATAACCTAGGTACCCATATCCAAGGCATGGTTGGGCTCATCTTATAGCACACATGAGGACACAGTAGCTGGCCAGGTCTCAGACCCCTGCCCATCTCTCAGACATAGGCCCAACATGAGTTGAGAGCATGTGTCAAACAGGAAACGACACTGAGACAATAATAGCATGCTTCAGAATAAGATGGATTTGCACTGCAGAGCTCAGTCTGTAGTTCCACCTGTGGAGCATTTTCCTGACTGTGTCTCACCAAACAGTTGCTGAAAAGTCGCTAAGCAGCACCAGCAGCACACATAATGTCTACTTCGTAGTCTATCAAGTCAACAAAGTCATGTCATAGCTTGCTAACACAGAGTTTGCCTATTTTTTTTCTCTCCTCCAGCTGAGAGCTGCCTTCCTGACTGTTTTCCAAAACAGAAAGTCTTTTCACAGAAAATCTCTTGTGACAGTTAAAGACATTGCTGTTTACATGTGGCATAAAGTTCTCACCCTTCTGGGACTGGAAACAACTTTAGGAGAGACTGAGGTGGCTACGGACCATGTAAGCTGCGGGACCTTGAGCAGTAAGCAGTAGCACACTCAGGCTGATGTCTCTACTGTACAGTATGCTTTCTGCTATGGGGATTCTGTCACTACAAAGACTCAAAATTAGTCCTCAACCCTGGCGGGTCTTATAGATGCTTCCCTTGAAATATTAGAGAACTCACAGGATTGGCAGGCTCACCCTCTGCTCACCACATCCCTATAATCATCTTGTAGCGTTGAAAAGGTAGAGTCTCTGTTTTCTTTTCCCCCTTGGGTTAGTCACTTGCTTTTGGCACTTGTTATCAGACCCAAATTTCCACCCAAACCATGGAGCCCTCAGTGCTTTGGATTGGGCACTCCAGACACTAATGCAAACAAGTCAAATGTAGGTATTTTCACAGTGAATTCTCAGCTGTCATCCATGACTGATGTTTACATAGCACTCAGTGCAGTCCTGAAGCCTGTCAGAAGCAGTCATGGTGCTGTGTGTTTGGATAGGGCTCACTGCCCGTCATGGGCCCATTATTGCCTTCAGACTCGTTCAATGGTTCTTTGTCAAAGCATCATTAACTGTAACACTTATGAATGAAGCAGTGCATGCACACCACCAACAAAGGAACCAAGACCGACAGAAAGAAACTGGCCCAGCACCCAGGTCTTTTAACTTCTGGGTCCCGCATGTTTTCTAACATAGTGAAAACTTTCTGAAGTCAGATCACTAAATGGTTTAGATAATGAGAAGAAAGAAAAAAAATAAACTACCACATTCCAGTTTGCATTTTCTAATCTGTCTTCCCTTCAGATTTATTACCTGGATGAATTTTCAAGTCTATTGGATGAACTTCTGATGAAGATCGATGGTTTGTCTGACAGCCTAGAGCTTTCTATCTTAGAAAAACAGTGGAGGAGGACAGTGGAGCTGAGGGCAGGGAACAGTCCTTCAGTTGGCATTTCAGAGTACCAAGCTACTGGGGTAAGACTGCACAAATTATTTTTGTTAATGTTCTACACCACTATTTTTATATTCTAAAGTTGGTTTGAAATCATGATGTGGATTTGTATAAAAACCCTCTAAGAATAATTATTAGTAGAAAGATGTGCTCCAGCCAGAATTGGTTAAATTATTTAAAATACATGGCAAGACTTCAAGTTTCCAATGATAGCGTAGATCCATCCCATCATTTCCATTTATAACTGTAATCAATAAAGAGACGGGGAATAAAAATGGAAAGCACATCTTCGCAGAGATAAAGGATGTCTGTTAGCATAGAATGTGACTGGCAATGCTAAGAAGCCCTCTGATGCACTGTGGATTCAAAGCTAGAGAGAAAGGGTTCTACCATATGCAAGAGCATACATGGGGTCTCCAGATTAGCATATCTGGGAGTGCCAATCAAAGGAGAGGGCAAGGGGGCATACCTCTAAAGCCAATTGCCACAACAGGATGTTCTCTCATGGAAAATAATTCAGTGAAGAAAATCCTTCTTTGAAAATAGAATACAAAACTAAGAAGAAAGAGCACAAAGATAAAATAAAAAAAATATGAGTAAGTTGACAAAGCGAGCAATAAGTTACTATATATCCAGAGTTATGGAAAAATGCATTTCTACACACAGTGAAAAGATGAAAAAGAACAATAGATTTGCAAGAAAAGAAACAAATTACTCAGCAAAAGTAACTTAAAAATAGTTAAATCTTATTTTAGGAATCATAATGAACAGAGAGAAATCTGAACACGACAGCTGTATACAAGTCAGAGAAGAGATAAAGATTTAGATCTGTACAGATGTTTCCCCACTGACAATGGGCCACATCCTAACAAGTCCACTACAACTTGAAGTATAGTACATAAAAAGGCATTTGGTCCAGCAGGACTGCTGACTGGCAGAAATAGCAACACAGCATGACATAGGACCAGGTCCCACTGGGCCTAATCAGGATCTGCAACTCTTGAGTATAGCCTCTGCAGAATGCACCACCATTTCTTAAAAGATCTATCTATCTAATATCTATCTGTCTGTCTATCATCTATCTGTCTATCATCCATGTATCTAGCTAGCTAGCTAGCTAGCTACCTATCATGTGTGTGTGGGTGGGGGGGTGATGTATGTGGGTGTATGCCTGTATGAGCTTATGTATACCATGTGTATGCAGGTGCCTTTGGAGGCCAGAAGAGGGCATTGACAGTCAGATCCCCTGGAACCCTATTTACAGGCAATTGTGGACAATCAGATGCTGGTGCTGAGAAATGAACCTAAGTCCTGTGCAAGGGTCAAGCTACCTCTTAATCTTCAAAGTCTGAACTACAACCTTAACACCGGAAAATTGTAGTTTAAACCATCGTAAGTCAGGGACTGTCTGTATATCTAACCAGGAACTCTGTCCCAGTGTTAAAAATAATCGCTTTAAATCTGTTAAAACTAGACAAAATATAGCAGAGCTAGCTACTAGACTTAAAGTATAAACATTGTTCCATTGCCATCTAGATAGTGTCACTGGCTACTTCTACATGATTTAAAACTTAAAAGCTGTTTGTTTTATTATTTATTATTTCTAATTATTAAACTGAGTTGAATGCTCATAGGATAGGAAATACAATGGCCAACTGCATGAGAAACTTAAAAAGCAAGAATGCACACAGGTAGAAAAAGATAAATATCACTTGATAGCCTGTGTAATGTGTCCATAACAGACTTTTAGAAGAAAGAGAACCATGAGAATGTCCGTGCCATAAGATTTGAGAATAAGCCAGGGCTACACAGAGAAACCCTATCTCAAAACAAACAAACAAACAAACAAACAAACAAAAAGACTTGAGAATAACAGGATTAGAACCAAACCTGATGTATACTATTAAATCAGTACTTAAAGGAAAACCTCAATGAGAGGAAACAGAGTCTATATTCAACCCAGTTCACCAGCAAAATTTACAAGTACACAACAAAACAGGAGGGTGAGATTGTAAACATGAAGCACAACTGAGCAAAGTCAACAACCAAAATAAAGTGATCCAACAGAGGCAAATGTGTAAACCATCATCTTATCCTACAGCTAAATAAGTGTATACAGACCACCAAGGGTACGTCAGATCTCCGTGTATACAGATACATCCCACTAGGAGCATGTCAGATCCTCATGTATATAACCACCAGGGTTACATCAGATCTCCACATATACAGATGCATCCCACTAGGGTTACATCAGATCTCCGTATATGCACACCCCTAGAAGTACATCAAATCTCTGTGTGTACACACCATGAGGGGTACTTCGGAGGATTTTCATTAAGATTAAGAAAAGCCAAAATTTGTTCAATCAAAAGTTCCTCAAAGACATCTTTAAATGGTCCAGGGCCTTAAACTAGGAGCCTCAACTGTGCTTGAGTTGCTTTTGTGAATACAGTTAAGACAAGAACTCTAGCCAGAGTTGTATCACAGGCTCCCACTTGAACATTTCTAAGGCATAAGCCTCCTCTCAGGACCCCCTGTAAGCACACTTACGGACGTCTGTGTCATGACTCTTAGGGTCAGAATTGCAAGTGTGTCTGAGTCAGTTTCCATGTGCATAAACCTGTGCTCTTATGAGCCCTTACATACTCGCTATGCACCAGAGTCCTTGCTGATTTCCTAACACTCCGCAGTGTTTATGCCAGTGACTGAAGGCTCATACGTGTAATGTATGCCCCAAGGACATCAGTTTTATTTCCCTCCCACTGGAAAACACAATTGTTTTCTGAACAGTCACTTTATGAGACATCCATTTATCAAAAATGTATTACACAAAAAGCCACCGTTAACTGGGTTTGCCAACGCCTGTAACACCCAGGTTCCACAGCACAAGTTAGCCATCCTGCTAGGAAGGAACTGGGTGTCAGTGGTACCTGAAGAGGCCAAGCCCAACTGGGTTTTGCAGAACAGACTCCTCTTTGTGTGATGAAAGCCAAGGAAAGGGTCCATTTGATTTTCCTAACTCCAGGGCACTTGTTTTTTATCTTAACCAATAATAATTAAGATTGGTATCTCTCCAAGCTGGCAGGATAGACTGCCTGGAGCTGTCGCTAACCACCTGCAAATTGCATTGTTCTTTGTGCTTAAGTGACTCATAGCAAGAGAACGCTGTGGCTGCCAGGCCCACCGCCTCTTCTCGCCCCTGGCTCATTGCTCATTCTGTGCTTCTTGGCTCCAGCCCTTGCCTCTTTGCTACCTTTACCTATAGTCAAATAAAAGTCCCTACTGTACTTGTTGTGGCCCAGGCCTCTCACCACTCAACTTGCCTTTTCTCTTCAGAAGCTAGCTAGGCCTGAGGCTACAGGGCAATGGGGGGCTACAGAAGATGTTGGGGGGGTCTCTGCTGCCTAAAATTTTCTCTTGACTTGTCTTTGTGAATACAGTTAAGGCAAGATCAGTCAGGCAGAAAAGGGCAACTTCATCTCAGGGCACAGCTAATCTGTACAAGCAGGGTGCAGCTCCTCTGTAGAACACCTGTCTAGCACCGGTAAGACCCTGGCTTTCATCCCTAATAACGGAATTAATTTTTTAAGTGTAACTACTTAGTCTCCTTCTACCAGGATGAAAGTGCAGAACCTTTTAATAGGTTGAAAATCTGGGTTAACGGTCTGTATTCAGGGGATGAAGCACAGGCCACCTGGGTTTATAGAGAAGCCTCGTGTGCTGAGACCAAGCTTCTGTTTTCAGGCAGGTGGTGCTATGAACTTGAATTCTCAGAGTCACTGTTCATTTCTTGCAGCTGCTTCCCTTAACTCTGCCAGTTTGTGAGGTGCCCTGGGGATGATTTCAAACACTTGGCTTTCCACAGGATAGTCAGGGAGCCTCTGCAGAGACTTTGTGATTACCACTGGCTTCCATTACCTTACCCTTTCATCACGCAGTGTTTTCTGACTGGTGGATGCAAGCTAATTTAACACACTGAGATGAAATCCTGGAGGGTGAAGCAGTCTGTGGGTCAAGTGAATCCACCCCAGCCTTCACATGAGGAAAATGACCCTGCTTCTTCCAACATGGACATGGAAGTCTCGGGGTCCCACTGTGGTCCCACTCAGACCTGTTGATGGTGATTCATTTGTGACTACAGAGTACGGACATTGGGCACATAGAACTTTTTGAAAGTCTCTTGTGTTGCACAAGTCCAGAAACTGCACACGTGCTCATATGTCCTCCCTGGGACATTGAGAGCACAGTATCACTCCCCACATGACAGCTGAGCACAGCAAATGGGGTTAATATGGACATCTTCTTTTCTCTATGTATGGGTTTAATCTAGACTACTAACATTGAGTGTCCACGTTCCTTCCTATGGCTGCCACCACTCTGGGGACTGAGGAGGCAATGGTGAGCAACACTGAAACCCTGAAAAGGAACTGCGTAATTCCCAATCACAGGAAATAAGAATCTCAGAAGGATGAGCAAAAATCTAGGCACCTTTTGTGCTCATTGAAATCTGGGTATGATCTCACATCTGGGTATGATTTCCCACAATACAGAAAGAGGCCACTGATGGTGTGATCGAGGAATGAAACCCAGAGGCCTCTGGGAAGAATGTGTTCCACAATTCTCAAGAATAAGGGGCCACTGTGTTCCTAGATCTGAGTAAAAACGATCTTCCCAACGGGATTCCTGTACTGGTTCTGCCTTGCTGACAGAAGTTACACCATAGTTCGTGTACTCTCTACTACTGTGCTTCTGCAGAGCACACGGCCAGTAAATGCTTAGTAAACTGACTGTCAGGCAGAAAGCAATAGTGCCTATGGCCAGAAGGGGCTCAAAACTAAACCAAACCAGGAAAACGATTGACGGACAACTTTGAGGGCAGGGTTTGTGAGAATTTTGGAGTTGTTCTTACAGAATTTTTTCTTTGTGAGCTTGAAACTATTTCCCACTGAAAAGCTTTTTGAAAGTCTCTTGTGTTGCACAAGCCCAGAAACTGCACAGACAGGGTCACCGCAGTGAACAATAGTTCTAATAGTTCTAAGAGGTTTGTTTCTTTTCCCCTTAAGCTTCACTATATTTTAAAGTATATCTTGGTGTTTTTTTCTTGGAAGGACATCACAAGAAAAGCTCGTTAAACTTAATAGAACTGCCTAGATGTGATTTACAACTATTGGGTATATCAGGAGTGCCAGAAACGTAACACCCAGCCCTAGATGCCGAGGCAGGGAGCCTTCTGAGATAAGCATTCTCGGCTTCCACACTGCGTCTGCTGAGACGACTTAACGGGGAAAAATGTCCTGTGGCTCTTGATTTATCCTCTTCTGGCACACAAGAGCCAGCAATGTTGAAATAATGGTACACACACCCCCTTTCTCTGGATGTATGCAAGCCTAGCATTTGTGACACTGGATATAAACCAGGGCTTCTGTGTCACTGTGAGCATGGAACTTATTTACGAAAGCTGCATTCCCTCTAATGGGTGGTGGGGGAGTGTCATGGGACTGGGATCTTTGAATTTTTCAGGATTAGACTCTGCTATCAGCCAATTGCTTTTTTGAAGCAGTTTCTGTTTCAACAGCTTCAAGCAAACTTCAACAATGATTGCCCTTAAATACAAGATAAAGGGCTGTATTTGTTCACTGGAGTACAGTAACAAATATCACAATCAGAAATATGATGTCTCACAGTCTGGCGACCTGGGGTCCATGGCCCTGGAGGAAAGAGCTTGCCTGGCCTTTTTCCCGGCTTCTCAGCATTCTTGGGCTTGGGGCAGCCAGTTCTAATTGGCAAGCTCCCCATCTGTGTTTCTCCAAGGCCGGGTTTTCTCTTTCTAGAAGAACGTGGTTGTGCTGGATTAGAGCGCACTGTGATGACTCCATCTCAGTTCCCACAAAGGCCAGGCATTGAAGATTAGCACTTCACCAGTTTTCCTTTGGGGAAGAAATAATCCACCACAAGCATTTGTGCAACTGTAGCTCTCTAAAGACCAGGGTCACACAGTTTCACATTAAGTCCAGTGTTCCTAAGAATTCCAACAATTCAACCAAAGTAAAACAAAATACTTAACTTGGTGTTTTGTTTTGTTTTGTTTTTTACTTTCTCATTTTAGTCTGTAAACCTTTTATACAAGTGACACTTGGTAGCAATAGGGAATCTCAGTGGGTAAAGTTTTACCTGCTACCAAGCCAGGCAACCTGAGTTCAATCCTCAGCACCTACAGGCAGAAGAGGAGAACCAACCTCTGCAAGTTGTCCTCTGACTGCCCCACTTGAGGTGGTACATGAGCACACATATGCATTCAGCATGAACACACACATGCACGTATACACACACACATACACACACACTTACTTCCAAACACAATCACATATATACACACACATGAACATTAAAGCACATACACACATACAGTGGTCTTTACCCTAAGTACTGCATGGCTGCCAAAGAATATTCATAGTGCCTCAAAGGGAACAGAACACAGGAATGTAATGGCCTGAGAGGTCAGGATACTTGTAAATCACATGAGATCCCCAAGACACACCTCAGCCATGTCATCAATACAACACAGTGGGAAAATATTAGCTCCATTTCACTAGCAGCTTGGCAGCCAGTGGTAAATAGAGCCTCAGGAGTTTCTGCACTGATGTCAATGCTAACAGGCATGCCCTAAGTGATTTGCTATCCAGTGGCAAGTTGGTGGTTATGTAAATAAGACCAAAGAAAGGGAAAATCCAAGCAGAGTCAAAGAATTCCCTAGTCCCAGGGCTGTGTACACTCAGCCAGCCCTCCACTGGGTTTGTCTTAAGAGGAAGACAGAGGCTCTGGGTTACAGATAGCATACCTAGAGATGCCCCAGTCACAGCCAACACCAGTCACTGCGTTGATGTGGTGGTTGTTTTATCTACTTTTCAGAAATTGGGAAAATGTAGAAGGAAGTTGTGCAAACCTCTGTCTGGACTCTAGGAGGGAACTCTATCCTGGCTAACCACCTCCTTGGCTCCTGTCATTACTAAACGTTTTGCTTTTAGTAGAACTAGTTTGAGTTATGAATACACTAGCCCTTGGCCTTGACCAAGTAGTGACCTCAGAAAGTATTTCTCTTGTAGTAGTCGTGAGTTGAGGAGATTCCCTGTAGTCTCTTCTGCATGCTTGCACAGATTAATGGACACTTTCCCCATCGTTCTGGTCCTGCTGCCTGACTAGTGCATGAAATCTAGGTCAGAAAGTTAGTAATGGCTGCTGCGTTTTGAAACACACAACACCACCCTTTCCCCTGCAAGGCCAAAATTTTCTTGTTGCATAACTTCTGGGTGACACAATTCATGACTCTTACAGGTATCTGGTTCCCTGGATGCTGAGTCAGAGTGAAGAGGGAGGAAACAGGATGCCTGGCATAGAAAGATGTATGTTACATCTAACCACAGAAATGAAGACTATGTGACACCGGCAGAGGGAAAGATACAGGTCTCAGGGTGTTTGTGCGTGCATGCCTGTGTGTGTGTGCATGTGCACCACATGTGTGCAGTCCCCTCAGAGGTCAGAAGACAGCATCAGATCCCCTAGAAATGGAATTACAGATGGTTCTGAGCCTACATGTGGGTGCTGGGAAACACTCCAGCCTGGTACCAGCAAGAAGTATTAGTAGGAAGGGATTATAGTAAATGGGAAATTGGTTTAAAATATTCATGATTTTCTCAGCAGCCAAGAGAATGACAGTAAAAACAAGACTGTTCTACCCATCAGATTCAGCCTCCAGCTCTCAGCCATCCTCTCTAAAGCTGTGTTTGCAAGGTGAACTCTCCACACAGGAAGTCTGTTGAGCCTCTGCAGCCACCGGCCATCCTGAACCACTCTCGTTTCCACCTCATGAGATTCCAGCGTTTCTTTCTCATGGCCCTGAAACATGTGTTTCCACTTTCCATGCTACCAAACTCTCAGGCAGAGGAGGGGAGGCAAGGCTTGGCCCTTGCAGAGCCTGTAAGCTGGCGTCATCTTGGAAGCTTCAGAACCCTTGAATTCTTTGAGATCACAGTAAAGTGTCTGTATCAGTAAGCAGTGTCTCCTCACACAGGCAGCATATGTGCTGGCCCAGGCACAGAGACACAAGCTGCTTGAATATATAAGCCACCTTCAATGACAGTATGATTGAGTAAGCCAACAACTTGCTCCCTAAAAGCACAGTGCATTTCTGCATATTTTTTTTTTTTTGCCATGAACTACTCTGTGGTGTTTACAGTGACTGTATCCCATAGATACACTGACATAGGAAACTCAGCCAGCCAGTTGCTGCAGAGAATTGTATTACCAGCACATACTGCCATTATGATTTGACCTGATGCACACTCCTGGACAGAATGAGTACCAGAGATGCCTTGCTATCAAAACACTGGCAAAATATCTGCTGACAACAAGGCCCAGTTCCCTCCCATTCCTTCTGGATGCACATTTGCCGATGAAGCCTGAAAATAAATGGAAACATTTGTGCTGGGCAAAGACCATGGTTTATTTTGGGTTCTCTTGGCTTGTCCATTGACCTAAGGCTAGGAAAGAATATGTTTTCAAAGACTTGAGATTCTCTCCACAGGACAAGAAGTCCTGATTCATCACTTAAGAAGAACTTGTTCATTCAACATCTTTTGTTGTCGCTGCTTTTGTTGTTCAAATGAGGTCATGACTGTTCTTGGGTAAAATTTTTAAGTCTTCTCTGGCATTCAGAGTTGGTCTGCTTTGAGAAGACAATAGTCTTGGTAATCACAAGAAGGGTCAAGTCCTGTGAGATCCATGGGCTCAATGGCCATCTTTTATAACACAGGGGCCATTCCTGAAAGTGAAGACTATAGATCT